TAAAGGATGTCTGGAGCGTGAGCGTCATCATGAAGAATAAGAGAGGCTGGGCAGAGTGCCCTTGGGGAGATCCACTTTGAGTTGGAATCAGAAGACAGGGATCAGCCTGGTTAAGGTGTGGTGGGGGCAGGGAAGTGTGTGCCAGGGAGAGGGCCGAGTTGGGGCAAAGGCCCCGAGGTAGCAATGAGTTTGTTGTGTAAAACGACAGAGGGTTTGTATGGTTGGTGCAGAGCCAGTGATAGCAAACAGAAGCGCGGGCAGGAGAGTGCCAGGTCACGGGCACCTTGCGGGTGTAGTCCGGAGCACGGGTGTTACTAGGTGCGAAGGTGCCGCTGGGTGGTTTGGCTCAGGGAGCTTTCTGGTATGTATTTTTCACGCCTTTTAAAGGCTTCACGGAGAGTGAGACGTGGGCGGTCTAGGAGAAGCTAGAAAGCTTGCCTCTTTTTTGCGGCCTTTTCAGCCTGAGTGTCTTGAGCGCTTGGCTTATGGGGCCTTGCTCTGCTGGCCTGGCGGGTTTGGGAGTGTCCACCGCGTCTCTTTCTCTTTCCCTTTGTGATAGGTCCAGGCTTTCCTGCCAGCGTGGCTGGCTGAGCCAAGCTGCGTTGGAAAGAGTGTCACCGAAGGCCTGGTGCCTATTGACGATATCCCGGAAGTCCACCCGGACCTGCGGAAGAGGCTGCGGGCTCAGGGCATCTCGTCCTACTTTCCAGGTGCCCCTGCCCTGCGCAGGTGGGGTGGGGTGGTGGTGGGAGCAGGGTTTCCTTCCAGAGCACCTTCTCCCAGAACCGTGCAAGGCCATCGCTCAGCAGCTGTCCACACAGGCAGCCTGTGCACATGTCCAGTGGCCGGTGTGGTCCTGGCCTCAGCACCTCCAGCCTCTCAGCACTCCGGGAGGCTCTGCTGCGGACCTTGAGCGAGAGCCCAGCCCAGAGGTCACAGACGGGGAGGCGGCCGTCTCCGGTGCCTGTGCTAGTACTGGGTGTCCCTGCACCGATGTGACGTGCGTCTCGCCGTTCCTTGTCCAGTGCAGGCAGCAGTGATTCCCGCTCTCCTGGAGAGCACAGCCAACGGGTTTCTGGTAAGCAGAGGCGGCTACCGGCCTAGCGACCTCTGTGTGTCTGCCCCAACGGGCAGTGGGAAGACACTGGCCTTCGTCATCCCCGTGGTGCAGGTGAGCGCAGGGAGCCCTCGCCCTCCAGGCGGGTCTGCAGGCAGGAGCGGCTGACGCGGGCATGGGCGGACGCGGGGGGCGGGCTGATGCGGGCGGCTGTCTACCCCGCAGGCCCTGCTACGGCGAGCCGTGTGCCAGGTTCGGGCCCTGGTTGTGCTGCCGACCAAGGAGCTGGCCCAGCAGGTACGTGGGCCCATGCCTGGAGGTCAGACCCAGGGGCTTCGTCACTGCGGCGCGGGGCCTCAGGTCGCGCTGGTGATGGCTGCTTTTCCTCCAGGTGAGCAAAGTGTTCAGCGTCTACACAGATGCCACTCCTCTTCGGGTCGCCCTGGTCACCGGGCAGAAGTCGCTGGCCAAGGAGCAGGAGAGTCTCGTGCAGGACACGTAGGTTCCTCCGGTCTGTGGGCTCCTCCGAGAGGTAGGCTCGCTCTGTGCAGCCACATCGTAGCCATCTGGCCCCGGGGAGCGGAGCGCCGCCGTCCACAGGGTCCCCATGTCGGGGGGCGGGGGTCAGTGCAGGGCGGCCCTCCTGAGCCACTCTCCGCTCCACAGAGCAGACGGCTTCCGCTGCCTGGCAGACATCGTGGTGGCCACCCCTGGCCGCCTGGTGGACCACGTCGAGCAGACCCCAGGATTCAGCCTCCAGCATCTCCGCTTCCTGGTAGGTGGCCCACGTGGAGGGAGGCCCGGGCCCAGACCCGAAGCTGACCGCGGTCCCCCCCACCCCGCAGGTCATCGATGAGGCCGACCGCGTGATAGACAGCATGCACCAGGCCTGGCTGCCGCGGGTGGTGGCCGCGGCCTTTCCCAGTGAGGGCAGTAGGGATCCCTTTGCTCTGCTCCAGAGAACACAGCCCCGGGCTGTGACCGCAGCCAGGTACCAGGCCCTGCACTCCGCTCGGCGCCCAGTGGGGCCGCCCTGGGCTGGTCCCCTCCGCTGTCCCCCGTCTGAGACGCTCTCCCACCGGACTGGGGTGGGCTGGTCGGGCTGTGCTGCTTTCCCAGCGTCCCCTCCCTTTCCAGCGTCTGCTGCCCCCAGATGCCACTGCAGAAACTACTCTTCTCAGCCACTCTGACCCAGAACCCCGAAAAGCTGCAGCAGCTCGGCCTCTACCGGCCCCGGCTCTTTTCCACGGGCTCGGTGCACGGGGGCCTCAGAGACCCCGACGTGGACGTGGCCGGGGACTTGGGCGGGAAGTACACCTTCCCTGCGGGGCTCACGGTGAGCAGGGCACTTGGAGGGGGGAGGGGGCGCGTCTAGGCACCGGGCTGTGGCCAACCTCGCGCCGTCCCCCGCAGCATCGCTACGTGCCCTGCAGCCTCCGCCTCAAGCCGTTGGTCGTCCTGCACCTGATCCTGGAGATGAATCTCTCAAGGGTTCTGTGTTTCACCAACTCCCGTGAGAACTCCCACAGGTGAGGCCCACGTGGTGCAGAGACTGGAGGGGAGAGGAGGTGGTTCCCCCAGCCCACCCGGCTCTGGCCTCTCCCGCCCAGGCTGTTCCTGCTAGTCCAGGCTTTTGGGGGCGTGCGCGTGGCCGACTTCTCCTCCCGCTATGGGCCTGGCGCTAGGAAGCTGATCTTGAAGCGGTTTCAGCAGGGGAAGATCCAGCTGTGAGTACCTGGGAAGACAGGCCGGGGTCCTGCTCTGGGGAGGGCGCTCGCTCCGGCGTCAGCCTGGGCTCCTGAAGGGCGCCTCGGGCCCTCCCCAGCTCCTTGGCGGCGTCCCCAGCAGGGCGGGAAGGGGCGTGTGTCCCTGCTCCCGGCCTCAGGCAGGGCCCGCGGCCCCTCGTGTCCCGCCAGCCTCATTAGCACCGACGCCACAGCCCGCGGCATCGACGTGCAGGGCGTGCAGCTGGTGGTGAACTACGACGCCCCCCAGTACCTGCGGACCTATGTGCACCGGTGCGGGACTGGCCTTGGGTCTGGGGAGGGGGTGGCTTGCGGAGAAAGCCTGGTCCCAACAGCCCTCAGGGGCTGGGGGCCACGGCTCTGGAGGAGGCTGTGCTCCGTTTCAGGGTTGGAAGAACCGCCCGCGCCGGAAAATCCGGACAGGCCTTCACGCTGCTCCTCGAGGTGCAGGTCAGCCTGGGGGTCTCAGCCCGAGGTGGGGCCCCGGCGGGGCGGGAGCCTCTTCCCCTCACGTGCTCCTTCCCCGCAGGAGAGGAGGTTCGTCCGGATGCTCAGGGAAGGCGGGGTGCCCAGGCTGGAGCGGCACGACGCCCCCAGTGAGCTCCTGCAGCCGCTGGTCCCACGGTACCAGGAGGCCCTGTCCCAGCTGGAGAGGGCCGTCAGGGTGAGGCGCCGCGGGGGCTCGTCTTGGGACAGCCGAGGTGGAGGGAGGAGACGGCAGGGGGGCCCACGGCCCAGAGGGGTCCGGCACCGAACTGGCTTTCCGAGCGGGCGTGGGGATGGGGCGTCTCTGCCCTCGGGGGTGGAGGGTGGGGCCGGCCGCAAGGAGTGAGCGGCGGGTGGCGCCTGCCAACCCCTGCCAACCGCCACCCCTGCAGGAGGAGCAGAGGCAGAAGGCAGCCTAGGCCGGGGCTCGGGGCTCTGCCCTCGTGGTGGGGGAGCTGCCTCCTTTCTGGAAACATCCCAAGCACCGGTTGCTGGACGCACGAGCAGGAGACGGGGATTCCTCAGCTGAGCGAGCCTCAGTCCCCAAGCACGCTGCTGCCCTGGGCCCAGCACCCTGGACACAAGGCTCCGGCCCAGGCCTGAGACTTTCCAGGGGGCACAAGGTCAGCCCCCTGTCGGGTGGTCTTTCTGGAAGCAAGTCTCCAGTGAAACTGTTTACGCTCCCCTGGAGCTGACGGGGTGGCGTGTGCCACGCGTTAGGCTGTAAGTTGGGGATCAGCCTTGAGGTACCTTCAGGAATTCAGTTCTTCTAACAGTGTGAGCCACCACCCTGCGTGGGAGAGGTGGCCCTGAGTCCCTCGCTGTTGGGGTGAACGGTCAGCTGCTAAGTAGCCGTTCCCCGCGAGGCGTCACAGAGACCGGAGGATGCGCTGCGAGGTCATCGCAGCTGTACTTCACGATTAGTCACCGCGTGTGTGAGACGAGTGTCCAGGAAACAGGCTTCAGAGCACTGACCGCCGTCTCTGAGAAAGCTTCGTTTCCAAAAGTCACGTGTTGACAGAGCCTTAATGGGAATGAACCGCAGCTCCTTGTGTTGGCAGAATAACCACCATGAGTCCTGGCGTCCCGTGTGCTCGCTGTCGCCCGAGTGGACGTCATGGGGCAGAGTGGGCAGCTTACGGGAGAGCACGCGGACCGGGACTCGGGTCGCACCAGCCTGGACCTCTTGGGGCTGTAAACGCACTCTGCATACCGAACCAGCTCACATTTCAGTCCAGGCTTCGCACGGGACCCGGGGGATGGTACAGCCATGCACAGCCTCTGAGAGGCGGCTTCCCGGTCTGTGGATTGTATCTCAATAAAGCATCTGTTTAAAAACAAATATGGACTTCTTCCCTGGTGACGCAGTGGTTAGGAATCTGCCCACCAATGCAGGGGACACAGGTTCAAACCCTGGTCTGAGAAGATCCTACATGCCACAGAGCAACAAAGCCCGTGTGCCACAACTACTGAGCCTGCATTCTAGAGCCCACGAGCCACAACTACTGAGCCTGTGCTCTAGAGCCCACGAGCCACAACTACTGAGCTTGCGTGCCACAACTGCTGAGCCTGTGCTCTAGAGCCCGCGAGCCACAACTACCGAATCCTGTGTGCCTAGAGCCCATGCTCTGCAACGAGAAGCCACCACAATGAGAAGCCCGCGCACCGCAACAAAGAGTAGCCCCCGCTTGCCGCAACTAGAGAAAGCCCGCATGCAGCAATGAAGACCCAATCAGCCAAAAATAAGTAAATTAATTTTTTTAAATAAATAAATAAAATTTTAAAAAATAGTGAACACACATGCCCCTGGGTGATAGGATTGCTGGAAATACCAGATTGCCTCCTCAGCCTGCCTTTTCCTTTCCATTCAGCCACGCTTGTGTCAGAAGACAGGAAGAGGCCCAGGCAGGTGACTGAAGACAACGGCTGAGCCTTTAGAAGTTTCGTAATATTGATAATTGCCAGCAGAACAAAGAACTCCGATGTCACCTTTACTGAGCATTGCGGAGTGGCCGGGCGCGTGGGGACAGGAGAGAAGCTGCAGCGTGTGCGGAGGCCCCGAGCCTGCCCACGGGTTCTGGGAAGAGGTTGAAGTGGGGGCTGGGGGCTGGGAGCATGCAGCCACTCATGGGGGCACCGCAGGCGCTGCCGCTGCCGCGGGAGACCGAGCAGAAGCACCTCGGCTGTGGCCTGTCCCGAGCCTTCCTGCCCCTCACTTCCGGGAGGGGGGGCCCGGGAGTAGCAAAGTGACCACCAGGCGGAAAAGACATTGCCTGCTTTCGCCCTTCACTTTGAACTTGGAGATACAGCGCCTCCCCTGCACCTGCTGGGTCTCTGGGGCCTTGGGCATCTGGGAAACGGGCGGTAGTGGTGTCTGTCTTCAAGGCAGGCTGCAGTGTGCAGGTCACTTTGCTGTTGGGTTTCAACAGTGACTTGCTGGGCATTTATCTGGAAAAGAAGACGACTTTAGAGAAAAGCAAAGTAGCAGGAATTAACAGCGTGTAAGCCAATCACTCATACTGCAAAACAAACTCATAGAAAAAGAGATCAGGTTTGTCATTACCAGAAGCAGGGGGATTGGATGAGACGGTCGAAAGGTACAAACTTCCCTTTATTAGATAAATAAGTATTAGGAATGTAATGTACAACATGACAAATATAACACTGCTGTAGGTTACACATGATGTGTATGAGAGCTGTTAAGAGTAAATCCTGAGTTCTCAGCACAAGGAAAACATTTTTTTTCTATTTAATGTTCTATCTGTGTGAGATGGCGGACGCTCGTTAAACTTACTGTGACAATCACTTCATGTGTAAGTCAGATCATTATGCTGCACACCTTAGACGTACATAGCGCTGTAGGTCAATGACATCTCAATAAAACGGAGAAATAAGCAGCAAAGAGTGAAGGGGGCGCGAACGTGGCAGACCAGCCTCGCAGGCATTCCTGCTGCCACCGCACGCACGGCAGGGTGGGCACAGATGCTCTGTGCTGGCAGGAACTGAGCTCACAAAGGCTCCAGGGGGACCTCAGACCCCGGAACTGCATCCCCCCGAGGGTTAGAACTGATCAGGGTTAGGACTGAGCAGAGCCGGGCCGGGACCCACCGGTCCAGCAGCTGTGCTGGTCGTCTGACGGCCCTGGGATGGCTGTTCGGCCCTCCTGGGGGTACCCCTCGGCCAGGCCGGCCCACGAGCACCGAGGCACGCAGATGACAGCGTGGCCTTGGTGCAACCATTCTGCTGCCCTCGCTCCCCTGGGCACGCGGGGCAAGGATGGGGAGCGAGGCACCTGCAGGTCTCGTCACCCAGGAAAGCCCCAGGTGCTGCCTCTCAGAAGGCTGTAGGGGAGGTGCCATTCTCTGGTGCAGCGAAGCCTCCCTCCTGCTGAAGAGCAGTCTAGACTGTGCCCACCGGTGCTCCTGGGAGCGTTCCCTGGCAAGTGTGTAAGGGGGTGCTGTGGCCTGCCAGCTTCTCCTCCCCCGGGCACATCGACGCCTTCTGGTACAAGAGACAGAGGAGGAGGGTGGCGAGGCCACAGCCGCAGCTCTGGACACATGTGCCGTGTCTGCGAACCCGCACCCCCAGAGCATCACGACAGAGCCATGAAAAGGCAAATAAGGGGACTGTCAGGTACCATCCAATACTCCGTCTACGACTGGATGCTGCCCATCACCCCACACTCCTCTCTGTGAATTCCTATTCCCGCTCCATTCCCCCCCACAGAGCTAATGTATTTTATGCTTGGAATTATTTTATAGACCCCCGATCGTGCGTCCCTGCAATAGAAATGTGCTCCAGAATTGACCACAAGGCTCTAAGTGTTCAAAAATAATAATCTTCTGGCCGCTGAGCCTGCGCGTCCGGAGCCTGTGCCCCGCAACGGGAGAGGCCACGACAGTGAGAGGCCCGCGTACCGCAAAAAAAAAATAATCTTCTGGATTGAGAAATCGGTACAATTATTATTGGTATGCAAGTAATCAAAATGACAAATGTATTACAGTTATGGTAAATAATTACTAAACATAAAAAGTAAAATTCAATAGATGGAGAGGGCTAATCTGTTTTCTTCAGTTAGTTCCTGTGCCCACAAGGCTCAGCGTCAACTCTATTCTTCTTTTTCCAATTTATAAATCAAAACACTGAAAAAATCCCATTCCCATAAATAAACAGATGGCACCAGAGAGCTTTGTTGTCGAAACGTCACTCGATCTTTTGGTCCCTTTCTGAGCTCTGTGAGGTCAGTTGCCAAAATCTACGTCCAGTGCTCTCAGTTGGAAGGATGGGTCCTCCAGGTCGTGCGGAGACACAAAGAAGCTGCCACCTGGAAGCCGCTGCATCCCCGCCCCCAGCCTGCCTGAGAGCGTCCTGTCCTCAGACTTGTGCCCACGCGAGCGGGCACGGTGGGTGGAGGGACACCCTAAAGAAGCGGCTCCCCTGAAGCCATCCGTGCGGCACCCCACGGAGCCTCTGTTTATCCCAACCCTCGGAAGAACTCTCCGGTTTCTGTAGTTACCACTGAGAAGTTAGCCATCGGTCTAACTGTCCTTCTGCAGGTGATCTGTGTTCCCTCCACTCCTGTGACCTCTCCTTGCCTCCTGAGTTTACCGTTGGCCTAAATGTGTCTGCGGGGAATCTTTTCTTTATCCTGTTTGAGACCTTCTGGCTTTCCTGAATCTCTGGATTGGCACCGTAAGCCGGTTCTCGAACGTCCTCAGATATTACCTGTCTCACATTCTCTTCTGGAACTCAACTCCGACATTAGACCTCTCACCCCTCTGCCATCTGTCTCTCCACGCATCTTTCTTTCTTCTTGTTCTTCGTGTTGCAGTAGGTTGATTTTTCTCCAGGTCTCTCTGTCACTAATTCTCAAATGTACTGTTTACTCTCCCATGAAGTTTTTAAAAACTGCAGTAGAATTTGCATACAGGGGACCTCTCTGGCAGTCCAGTGGTTAGGACTCCACGCTTCCACTGCAGGGGACACGAGTTCGATCCATGGTTGGAGAACTAAGATTCCACGTGCCACACAGCTTGGCCAAAAAATAAAATTCAAACTGCTCTAAATAAAAAAAAAAATTTTAATAAAGAATTTGCATTGAGTAAAAATCACCCCCCCTTTTTTCTGGCTGCACTGGGTCTTTGTTGCTGCGCGGGCTTCTCATTGTGGTGGCTTCTCTTGTTGTGGAGCACGGGCACTAGGCGCGCAGGCTTCAGTAGTTGCGGCACGCGGGCTCGGTAGTTGTGGCACGCGGGCTCAGTAGTTGTGGTGCACGGGCTTAGTTGCTCCACGGCATGTGGGATCTTCCCGGACCAGGGTTCGAACCCGTGTCTCCTGCATTGGCGGGCGGATTCCTAACCACCGTGCCACCAGGGAAGTCCCCCAAATCGCCCTTTTTGATGTATGGTTTTATGAGTGTTGACAAAGGCCTGTGGTCATGTAACCACCAACGCAATCGAGAACAGGACATTTCCATCACCCCCACAAATCCCCAATGGCTCTTTTGAGGTCAGTCCTCCCCCCCCCCCCCCCCCCCCCCCCCCGCCCCCCCCCCACCCCTGAGACCCCTGAGCTATAGTCTGACCCTATCGTTTTGCCGTCTCCAGGACGTCATATAAGTGAAATCATAGAGTATGTAGCCTTTTGTGTCTGGCCTCTTTTGCACAATACATTCGAGTTTCCCCCCTGCCGTCTGAGCACCAGCAGCCTGGTCGGCTACCTGAGTGCCACGTCATTGTCCGGAGGGGCCGTGGTTTGCTTCTCCATCTGGCAGTTGAATGAATGGGCTGCTTCCAGTTTGGGGAGATTACGAATAAAGCTGCTATAAACATTTGCATATAGGTTATCATGTGGATGTGTGTTTTCACTTCTGTGTAAACTGTGAGAAGTGAGGTTGCCGGGTCAGAGAGTAAATGACTGTTTAAGTAAAATACATAAGAAACTGCCAAGCTGCTTGCAACGGGGCTTGACTCGTGGGCGCCGCCCCCCCGGGAAGGCACGGGAGCAGGCCACTCCTCACCCTCACTAGCCAAGGTCCTCGTTTTTTAGCTGGTGTGTCCTTGTATCTCCTTGCGGTTTTAATTTGTATTTCCCTAATGAAAGGATACTGACATCTTTTCATGTGCTTATTTGCCATTCTTAGAGCTTATTTGGTGAAGTGTCTGTTCAAATCTTTCGTCCACTTTTAAAAATGAGTCTTCTTTCTTTTGTAAAAAAAATATGTGGTTGCACCACGCCTTACTTGCAGTAGGTGGGTTCCTTAGTTGCAGCTCATGGGCTCCTTAGTTGCAGTTCGCCAGCTCCTTAGTTGTGGCACGCAAACTCTAAGTTGAGGCATGCATGTGGGATCTAGTTCCCTGACCAGGGATTGAACCCGGGCCGCCTGCATTGGGAGTGCAGAGTCTTAACCACTTCGCCACCAGGGAAGTTCCAAAAATGAGTTATTTTCCTGTTATGGAGTTCTGACAATTTTTTAAAAAAATAAATGTATTTATTTTCATTTTGGGCCGCGTTGGGTCTCTGTTGCTGCGCGTGGGCTTTCTCTCTAGTTGCGTTGAGTGGGGATTACCCTTCGTTGCAGTGCGCGGGCCTCTCATTGTGGTGGCTTCTCTTGTTGTGGAGCCCAGGCTCTAGGCACGCAGGCTCGGTAGTTGTGGCTCGTGGGCTGTAGAGCGCAGGCGGGCTTAGTTGCTCTGCGGCACGTGGGATCTTCTTGGACCAGGGATCGAACCCGTGTCCCCTGCATTGGCAGGCGGATTCTTAACCACTGTGCCACCAGGGAAGCCCTCTGACAATTCTTTACTGTGAAATGATAAGAAGTATATGTTGTATGTTGGTCTCTGCCCCCAGCTCCTAGAACCCTTGGAATCCACTGAGTGGCAGGGGTGCCAGGAGGGTCTTTTGTTCCAATGAGGTGACTTGGTGGGCTCCTGGCTGGGGGTTGGTCACCAGAAAGACCAAACTATGATCAGAAGCTTGGAACCTTCAGCCTCACCGCACACACACACACCCCCCATCCTCTGGGGAGCAGAGAAGGGGTAGGCACTGAGGTAATAATCAATCCGGCCCATGTAACGGAGCCTCCACAAAACCCCAAAAGGACAGGTTCGGGGGAGCTTCCAGGTTGGTGAACACATGAAGATTCTGGGAGAGTGGTGCCCAGAGAAGTCAAGGAAGCTCCACTTCCATTCCCCACACTTTGCCCTATGAATCTCTTCCATCTGGCTGTTCCTGAGTTATATCCTTTTATCATAAACCACTAACCTAGTAAGTAATCTTTTCCTGAGTTCTGTGAGCCGTCCTAGCGAATGATCCAACCCAAGGAGGGGTTGTGGAATCCTCCAATTTATAGCCAGTTGGTCGGTCAAAAGGACAGGTGACAACCTGGCACTTGTAACTGGCATCTGAAGGGGGTCGTCTGTGGGGCTGGGTCCTTAGCCTGCAGGCTCTGTGCTAGCCTCGGGCTGTCAGCGTCAGAACTGGGCTCTTGTAGGACAGCTGGTTCATGTCACGGAGACCTGGAGAACTGCTTGGTGTGGGAGACCCCCATGCAGCTGGTGTCAGAAGTGTTGTGAGTAAAGGAAATGCGTTTTTTCTTTTATTTATATATCCTATTACAAGTGCTTCATTGGCTGCGTCTTTTGCAAATGTTTTCTCCCAGTGGCTCTTCATTATCTCAATAATGTTCTTCACATAGCAAAATGTTTTTAATTTTAATAAAGTTCCACTTTTCCTTTTTATTCTTTTATAGATTTGTGCTTTGGATGTTGTAGCTAAGAAATCTTAATTTAACCCAAAGCTACAAAGATTTTTTCCTGTGTTTCAGAACTGTGAGTTCCACATTGAGGTCTCTGATCCATTCTGCGTTAATTTTTGCATATGGTGTGAGGTAGGGATTGAGATTACTTCCACTAATTTTTAAATTTCAACTGTTTTATGTTTAATTTCTAGAAGAACTATTTGGTTCACTTTCTTTTTTTATCTGCTTGGTCTCTGGTGACCCCTTGTCTCTCCTCCACGCTTGTTATTTCCTTTGTTTCTTTAACCATATGAAATACATTTTGCATTTCTTATTCTAGATCCAGCAATTCTGGCATCTTAACGTCTCTACAGGTGTGAGTCAGACCCTCACTCCTGAGGCTCTTCACTGTGTATGCTGTGATTTTCTGTCATGAGCATACATTCTGGGGGCTGCTGGCTGGAGTTCCTTGAGGCCTGGAGTTGAGGGTTCCTCCAACCAGGCTAACATTTTCCAAGGCCAGTCCCCTGGGCTCAGACATGTGCTAATGGCTTCCCGTCCCTCACTCAGTGATTATTCATGAGAACACCACTGGACCAATTCCACCATCTTCCTATCTGACACCAAGGGAACTGAGGATGAGAGGGGAACACGCTGCCCGAGCCAAGAGGCAGTGGGTGTCTTCAGCCCCTCCACTCCATCACAACTTGGGACTAAAGCCCAGGATACAGGTGATTCCCTATTTCCAAATATGTTTGTATAAAGTATGTGTATTTTATAGACAAATGTATTTTATAAGATGCTCAGATCTCACTTTTTTCCATCATAATACATCATATAAATTCAGGGGAAACAGTTAAAAGTTTTTCAAACCACATGATCCGATATAGAATTTCTATCCAGAAGAATTCTCAAACTCAGTTTGAAGAAAAAAAAAATTTTTAAAGCATTTAAAAAATTTTTATTTATTTTTGGCTGCGTTGGGTCTTTGTCGCTGCGTGTGGGCTTTCTCTAGTTGTGGCGAGCGGGAGCCACTCTTCATTGTGGCGCGTGGGCTTCTCACTGTGTTGCCTTCTTTTGTTGCGGAGCATGGGATCTAGGTGCATGGGCTTCAGTAGCTGCGGCACGCGGGCTCAGTAGTGGCTCGCGGGCTCTAGAGCGCAGGCTCAGTAGTTGTGGCGCACGGGTTTAGTTGCTCTGCGGCATGTGGGAGCTTCCCGGACCAGGGCTCGAACCCGTGTCCCCTGCATTGGCAGGCGGATTCTTAACCACTGCGCCACCAGGGCAGTCCCTGCACACAATTCTTAACATACGTACCAAAAATCGAAAAAATCTTGTAGTTGTGATTCTTTTCTGAACAGTTATTCCAGTGACTTTCCAGCTTAATATCTGGAGGCAAATTTTCCTTAACAGGATAGCAAGTACCAATATCTTCAAATATTGATATGCTGTTCCATCATAAGTCCCACTAATTCACAATTTAATATCATATACTGTACATACTCAAATTGTCCATCGTTAACAGCACATTAACAAAGTTACTAGAACTGTACTACCACGACCAAAGATGTTACAGAGCACACAGAATTCTGACCAGGAGAGCCAAGATCAAGGAGTGAGTGGTTTGCTTCAGGAAAAATTCTACCAAAAACAACATGGGACGAGAAGTACTTTAAAGTGTTGGGGGTCAGGGGGATGGGATGAATTGGGAGATTGGGGTTGACACACATACACTATTGATACTATGTATAAAATAGATAACTAATGAGCACCTATTGTAGAGCACAGGGAACTCTACTCAGTGCTCTGTGGTGACCTAACTTAGAAGGAAATCCAAAAAAGAGGGGATGTATGAATATGTATAGCTGATTCACTTTGCTGTACAGTATAGAGTAACACAATATTGTAAAGCAACTGTACTCTAATAAAAATTACCAAAAAAAAGTGTTCAAGACATTAAATGCACACCTGACTCCAAATGCCATGTAGTAAATGCTTTGTATTACAGGATATAAAAGCTACCCCCATCTATGGAATGTTAAGCTGACACCCAAGACAGTCAGAGCCTCCCGTATTCAATATCCCACTATTTTCTGGTTGTACCAAAAAATAAGTAACCAGCCAATGATTTCACCTCTTAAAAAAAAATTTTTTTTTTTACACTTAAAAAATGGGATGAGGGGGGATTCCCTCCTTTTTAAAAATGTTTCTAGAGCTCCTAAAAAACTGTCATTTACGAAACAGTTGGTAAAAATATTCCTCTGGATCGTGCAGGAAGAGAGACAGGGACCACTGACAGGATCAGGTGTGTGATACTAATCAGACTTGGCTTCTCTCTCTCCTGCGTCAACAGAAGCTGGGCTGTCCTCGTTTTTAGTTTCTCCATTTTCTGCAGGTACACCTTTAGTCTCTTGGTTAGCCACTTCAGCCTGTTTTCCCTTCGCTCCCCTTTTCCCTTTAGTTTGCACCTTTTTTTGAAGATTTATTCTTTCCTGCCGCCTTTTTGGGCTTCGTTTCCACTTCTGCAGGAGCCGGTTTAGCTGACAACCTTTAAAGGAGAAAGTCGTATTTCTCTTGCTACCTTGATGTGAACATTAAGAAAACACTTTTATAAATAAACGAACATCCTCTCTGCTTGGCAAAAGGTTACAGAAATGCGTGCGCAATACCTCTGTGTCACTCTGTAGGCGTTGGGCATCCCCACTCAACGCACGGAGCACCCAGTAATCATCAAGACCCAACACCACAACTGGAAGGCAGTCACGTGGGCTGAGAGGTGCTCCACGTTCTCACGTGTCATTGGCGGACGCCGGCCCCGTGAAGCCCGGGAACAGACCTGGGAGCTGGGGCTTCGCGCGCGAGCTGCGCGAAGCCAAAGCAGTTTTCGGCGAGGAAGGGATCCTCACTCAGCTCTGGGGCCGGGTTGTGAAGTGTATGCTAGGCCGCGCGGTCTTCGGGCTTGAAGGCAAAGCTGAGCTCCGTTCTCGCTCTCCGTCGTGGGAAAGGCCTCCGTGGGCAGGGGTGACGAGGCGCCTCTCCCGACAGACGCCCCGGCGGGGCCGGCCGAGGAGACGCCGCAGCCCGGACTCCACTCTGCCTCCCGGGTGTGAGGCGGGGACACCCCGACCAGCGACCCCTCCAGACACGCGGCGCCGACGGCGTCAGCACCGCGGACAGCGGCCTCCCGGGGCCGGCGGGGCAGGGGGTCCGCGGCCAGGGTCACGGGGTCGTTGAGGGGGAGGTGGACCGGGGGAACGCTGGGGCAACGGGCTGGCGGGGAGGCCGAAGGAGAGCCGCGCAGCCCTAAGCTCCCGCCCCCGCCCCGGCGCGGACAGGCTGCGGGCCCTCACCGCGGCGGCCGGGCGACGCGGCGGAGAGTGCCGGCGGGGACAAGAGCGGCGGCAGGCGAGGGCGGGCCCGGGCCACCCGACCCGACCCAACGCAAGCCGGCGGCCGGCTTGGACCCAGTGCGCAGGCGCGGCGCCGGCCGACCGGCGCCGGCAGGCGGGGCGAGGGCGGGAGGACCGGAAGCAGCGGCAGCTGAGGCGGGAACTGCACGCGAGGCTCCCGGCCCGCGCCTGCGTACTCCCGCGGCTTTCTTCGCCCGCGGTCACGTGCGCGCCAGCCTCTGTTCGTTCCTACCGTTCGCCTGCAACCTTCCGTCCACCCGTCCGTCCGCTCCTCCCCTGCCCACCCACCGCCTCATCGCACACTTAACTGCCTGTTGCGTTGACCAAGCACGTCCTGTCCTTGCCCTGGCAGGACCTGCGGTCTAGGGAGAAGGGGGCACACATCGGCAAATGGATGCCCGGTTAGAGGAAGTAGGGCCGAGCGGCTGAAAAAAGGAGGTGGAGGTTGAGTGCCCATTTTAAGTTAGGGGGCGGCAGTCAGAAAATGCCTCCTAAGGCTGTTTAGCTGGGATCTGAAGACCCACAAGGATGGTTTTTTCCCTTGTTTGTGACCAGGGAGATGGTCCAGCGGGTCTGTCCCTGGTTTCACTCTGGCTACCTTCAACCACCACCTGCCCTGCAGACACAGTGAGCTTTCAAACTTGTAAGTCAAGCTGTCTTCCAGGCTTCTGCTTAGCATGAAGTCCAGATCGCCGGCCGTGGCCTTGTCCCCGTTTCTTCATGGTGCTTACACCATTCTGAATCATTTTATCATCTGTCTGGACTACTGGAACGTAACCTCCTTTTCTACTTTGCTCGTAGCTATAGCTCCAGGGCCTAGACACACAGTATGCACTCAGTATAGCATCCGCTGAATAAACCAATAATTTACCCATCGAAGAGCCAAGTGTTGCTTTTTTTAAAAAACTTCCACCATTAGTGATAAAGTTGGCATGTATTATGCTTCAGTAAATACTCACTGCACAGGGACAGAAGCACAGAGCAGCTGAGGAAGTGCTGCTGTCTAGTACAAGGTAGCACTGGAGAACAAGAACATTACGAAGAAAAATAAACGCACCGGGTCCTTCCTCCTCGTGTGGCTTTGGAACACAGTGGCCAGGTGGACATGGTCTCTGAGGAGAGAAATGGTGATTTCACTGAGAAACTCCATCCCTTCTAGTTCTGGCTACCGTCTGGGGGAGGAGCGAGGAGAAGAAAACCTCCGTTCGCAACACTAACTTGGTTTCCCTGTGTCTTGTTTTCTCTTCACACAAATGAAATGAATATGACTGGTATCTATTTTAACCTGAACAGTAGCTTTCTATGAAAGACAAAACAAAAAAGCATATAAAAAGGTCAATTTATTATACCTTTTGTTTGGTATGGGATATCAGTGCCCTTTAAAACCCTACTATTCAAGTACAAATGATTGTTTACAAAGTATTTACAATTTCGGTCTTCTTCCTTTATATTTTAAAACACAACAGCTATCTGGTTACAACAGTTAACAAAAAGTCCTGAAGGTGGCAAAAGGGAAAGCCTCTGCCTCAGGAGGCTCACTCCAGCCTCCTACCTCCCCCGCCCCCGGGATCCTCCAACCACCACCCAGCCTCCCTGGAACAAATGTACTCTGAATTAAAGAAAACCTGGGTGACTGCTTTTTCCATGGTGGCCAATTCCAGTTTGACGGTGTTTTTGCCTGCTGTCTTTATATTTTATGTTCTGAAGATTTCTCTCAATCCTTACCACGCATTGGGTGGGAACCCTGTTCTACAAGGTAATGTGGGATTCTGACAACAGTAACAATCTGAGGAAGCCTGGAAAACATCGTCCTAAACTCACACTTATTCTTAAATATGGAAAGTTTAACCTTTAAAACAGAAAGCGAAGAAAACAATACACCGGACCCTTTACCTAAATGACTGTGGAAGACTAGGAGGTGAGTGCTGACATCCAGATGTTACTAAATCGACTGATACCAGCCAGTAACGCTATTTTCTGTCCCATATTTTGCAACAGGGAATCGCTGAAGAAAACACACTTCTTTCACTCACATAGTAAGACAGGGCAGGAGTCCCACACTGCAAATATTCAGACCCTAGTTCTGTTCTCTTAGAAAGCTTTTGAGAGATTTTTCTAAATTCTCTTCTAGTGTTCTAGATTAATAGAGGACTTCTACTCAGGCAGCTATGTCTAGGACATTCTAAACACTCAACACTTCACCATCATCTACAGAGACCGTCCACACCCCAAGAAGGGTAAGAACAAAACCAACAGGCTTCACAAGTTAAAATAAGCTGAAAAGGAGAATTCCTTTTTAGTTCTGCACATTTGAGGATTTAAAAAAAAAAAGTAGGAACTCTCCTCAGTACCCAGATACGAAGCACAGAAAGCCTTGTGCAGCCGCACTCCCTCATTACAGCACATGCTGAACCCACAATGAACAAGTCAGAAGGCAAATTATCGTGTTCAAGTAACTAGAACGTTAAATCCTGTCCACTTTGAACAACTGGTCTTTACTTTTTTCCAAATTTCTCACCAAGAACTCAAAAATGAGCTGCCCGGTTGGCTTCACTAAGGTATCAATCGCCGTATTGGTGTCCACATATATTGATGGGAAACAAACAAATTCGGGACAGGACACTTTCCTTTGTGTCATATAAAGTGATATAAAGGGGGAGGAAACAGACTGATTAAAAATTTAAAATCTCTCAGTATGCCGGAACTGTTCCTAAGTACACACAGACCTAACACAACCTGATTTCCTGGACCAGAACTGTAAAAGACGCACAGAGACGGAGCAGAGAGGGTGTCATCAGACACGCGCCTTTTGCTTGGGTGGACACTTCCAGGTAAGCAGACATCGCCAGCCAATCAAGCCCTTTGCAGTTGCCACAGTAAAAAAAAATAAAAACAGCAAATCCAGGGCCTCCTCTTTGCCCCTCAACCACGGGCCCCCCACCCCAAAGAGCCTGGATGGCTCCCTGCTTTACGCAGAACCCCAAGTGGGCGACATGCTCACATACGAGACATGGCAGTCTAGTATGAAGAGCTTACCACACCCATTTCTGTGGGTAATACTTGTAGGTGCATACACACAGCACCTGCACAAGGAGGCTTCTCACCTCTGCACGTCACGCCTGGGCTGGGCACGAAAGCAAAGGGGCGATGGCAGGCCGCCCCCTTAGCAAGGGTCTCACCTCACCGAGCACTCAGCAGTGCCATCTGCAACGTGACAACACTTGCACAGCACTCTGGGCCCCGAACCATTCCCAGACAGGAGCCTCACAAGGTTTGCTGGCGCTGCTTCAGTAGCCTAAGTCCAATTACAAGTTTATCCGAAACCCGGGAAAATATCGTGGATGTGCTGGGGTGGGGAGCAGCCCCAAGGGTTCCGTTGACGTGGAAACCGGTCACTCTGAGGGAAGCCGCGCGCGATGCTCTTTGCAATGAAAATGCAGTCACAGATCATTCCCCTTCAACACAAGCTGGGAACGCGTCATGAATGTGCTTCAATGCATGTCAGTACTAAATGTCTCCTTTAAGAGTCCAAACAAGTCACATTTTAGGAGGGAGGGGAGAAACCACGTTGGTTTTCCCTGATCTGAGATGACCTACCTTTGATATCAGACAGTCTTTCTCCTCTCGAAGGACCATAACGTGCTTTCAGTTAGGAATAAAGAACCAGGCAGAGACAGATGCTGTCAGACCACATTTTAGCTCCACAAGGTCTATTTTATGACTCACTGCACCTTCCAAATGGCTACTTGTGATGTGCAAAAAACACTGTACACTAACAGAGAAATTCTAAATGGCTTTCAAGACCCAGCAGTACTGCCCTGGAGGAGAAACTAAAAGGTAAAGCATCGAGGAAACACTGCCACTGCCGCTTTTTCATGTGACGGGGGCGCTCGCTGAGGGTCGCCGCTCCAGGCGCTGGACGCCCTGCAGGGCACTGTCCCGGGGCTCAGTAAATAAGTCCACCCCATCTGGGAGGGGCGGTGGCAGGCACGGGCGGCCCGCCTGGGGCCGCGCCGCGCTCCCGACTAGGGGCACGGAGGCTTGGTGGGCGTCTTTAACCTGACGGCGGGGACTCTCATCTGGAGCTTGGGCTGCTGGTTCGGGCTGTCGGAGCTGGCCGGCACCTGGGCTGGGTTGGGAACACCGGGGGTCTGCAGCTGGGCCGCCGCCGTGGTCACGACTTGCTGCTGCATGAGCTTCTGCTGGACCACCTGTGCTGTTGCTGTCACTGCGGGGATCACCTGGACCTGCTGCCCGGCTGCTGTCGCCTGGGTGAGGGTCACAGTCTGTGGGGAAGCCTGAACCAAAACAGAAACACATCTCCTAGAAAACGCAGATCAGGTGACATGAAAACTTAGACGTCCTTGGGGGTGGGGGTTAGAAACGTAACTAGCGCGAATGCTTCCGTGAAATGTAAAAACCACCTGACCTATCAAAATAGGACCTCTGGTTTCTAACCAAACAAAAATAGAAAATGAAACTACTGCTGCTTTTAGGCTGCAAGCGGACGCCTCTGGGTAAAGGATGGCCGGGGACTGGTGCTGCTGGTGTCCGGCTCCTAATACTATCTGGTTTCTTGACACCTGCATGCCAGTGTGATTCTGAACCAACTACAATTATTTTAAAGCACTGCTTTTATATGGCCACATTTTTAGCAGTAAAAAACCGGTAAGAACCGAAAGCTAGGCTCTGTTGGGAAGGTAAGTCCTGGCTGTCCCCAGTAGTATTTCTACTCTAAGACCCAAGGTCGATACGAACGGATTCTGTTTTCTTTCTTTGTTTCCCTAAAAGGAAGGTGTGGTGGCTTCAGCTGGCAGGATGCACCTAAGGTTTACTGGCTGAACGAAGGAGCCCAGAAATGAGCCCCCTCAGCACATGTGACACTGAGTCCAAACACATTTGTTCAGGTTTTTTTTCCTGCTAGTCTCAGGATATCAAGTGTTTTCTCCAAAGTTAATTTCCTTTTCTGTATTATGAAAATCACAAGCGGTTCTCTAGGAATTAAAATTCTATTTCCTCGGATGAAAAGCAAGAACTCTCTTTGTGGGAACCCCCGACAGCCGTGGGTCTCCAGGTCCTACCTGTTGGGAAGCAGAGGCAACCTGCTGGATGCTGGCCACGGGTGTCTGCTGCTGGACGACTTGAGGGAGTTTCGCAACCTTGGACAAAACAAAAAAGCCAAATGGAGACGCCAAATGAACGTGTGCGCAAAAGAGATTTCTTGCCCTCTCTCCTTCTCAGTTCTTAATGCAAAAAAAAAAACCCACAAAAACCAAAAAAAAAAGACGGTGGTCAGACGACACAAAATAGCAGGTCTCAAAAGTGGGCTCACCTGGAACCCCGAGAGAACCAGTTATTTCACCTTTGCACTGAGTAACGACTGCCTTCCTAATCGGTAATCACATGTAATTTGAAGCTTATTATCGGTCTCATATTTCAGACAGTCACATTTTTCTTTTATAAAAATCGCTACAAGTCTATATGAGAGAGTTACATGGAAGACAAAGTGCCTGGGCGCCACTCCACGTATGCCTCCATTGTCAGGGGACCCGGACCAACACCCAGGTTCAGCCCTAGTCCAGAGACATCTACGCCCAAACTCTAAAGTGGTTACTTCACCATTTTTCTACATTCTTCTTCATCATGATTGAGATCTTCCTCTTTACAAAACAAAACCTTCCACCCAATGGTCACTTTTTGTAAACCTGCCTATCCTGCTGTCCTGCTGTAATAAGACAATTCAGGCCACTTGTGTCTACTCAGGGCTTCGGGGACACCGCTTCACAGAAGCAGAAGGGGCTCCCGAGTGGGTAGCTGCTCGGGGCCATGGAAAGCCCCCTCAGGTCTCTAACTGGCAGAACAGGGATGAAAATAAGTCTTGCCCAAGATAATCCTGGAGGAAATGTGAAATTATATGATGTACTTGCAAATGACAAGCTCCCAAGTAAATATGAGTTCTCACGGCAATTAAAATGAATCAGAAGGCATTTACTAGTTTACTGTAACTTGAATCAAAAACTGTGACCCGCACTCACTGACATCAAAGGAACCCGAGTGAGCCTGTGCGCTTCCTCTGATGGGAGAGACGTCTGGTCAGCTACCGCAGCGCACGGGCCACAGCTCAGATCGGCAGCCACGAAAATGCTGAGATGCCACGCATAACACCAAGGTGACGTCTTAAAACGCATCGATAAACTTGCAGGAAGTCCAGAGCTCCCAGTGCCAAAACTTAAGCAAATGGGGGACCCCGAGCCATGAGAAGGCGCTACGGCAGCTCGTGCCCGAGACCACGTGCTGCAGGGGAAGCCTTGCACTGGGTTTTCATGGCCTCCCGGGTGCAGCAAAGAGACCAAGTCCAAACCCACTCTCAGGAGGAGATAACAAGAGGGCTGCCCGATGCCCCCCACAGCGGCAATCCTGGCATTCAAAGGGTCTGTGAGGAAGCTGCCTGCCTTAGGCCTCGGTGCTAGGCAGGGGAGGGGGAGACACAGGCTGGCAGACCAAACCCTCAAGCCACAGCTGATGTGGTCCTGACAGCACCCATGGGAGCCCAGCACAAGGAAGAACCCACCTTCAACCCAGACCTCAAAGCCTTCCAACAAACAGAACTTCAAGGGAAACTGGCTCACAAGAAGACAACTCCTATAATGAAAAAACCCCACAGTTCCTGAAGCAAGAACAGCAGAAACAAGTAAAATCAGACGCACACGGACTTCAAATAGAGGAATTATCAGACACGCACAAAACAGTGTGCCGTCCTGTGCAGCCTGAAAACACGTATGGGAACGAGAAACTACAAAGACCAAGCAGATTTGAGACAAAAACAGAACTTCGAAGAATAAAATACTTATAATCACCAAAATTAGAATTCAATGGACAAGCTTAACAGCAGGTTAGACCTAATGAAAGGAAAGCTCAGTGAAAGGGGAGGCAGGTTAGAGGACATTACTCAGAATGCAGCACAGAGACACAATGGAAGGAAAGCACAGAGACTGAAGAGACACGGAGGGCAGGAAATGGGGCAGAGGCGGCATCTAAAGAAACGGCGGCTGGTCATTTCCTAAACTGACAAGAGAGATCAATGCCCAGATTCCAGACGATCAGCAAATTCCAGGCTAGATCGTCACAGCATTTATAAAATGCCAAAGACAAAGAAAAGATCTCAAAAGGAAACAGAGGGAAAAAAGACAGGTTCCCATCGAAGCAGCGACCCGCTGGACAGACATCTGACTTCTCCTCAACAACAAAAGACCAGGAGCCAGGGAGTACTGTTAACGTGACGAGAAAATAAATGTCCATCTAGAATTCCATACAACGCAGAAGCATCCTTCAGGAACAAGAGTGAAATACAGGCATCTTCAAACACTACGGGAAACTCCACAGGCTGTTCTTCACGCAGAAGAAAAGTAACTTCACATGAAAAGTGAAAATGAAACAGGACAGAAGGGAACCACGTGACTGCAGCGGCACGTGAGTTGAGAGGGCCAGGGAGCAACGGTGTTGACAGACCCGTGCTCAAGAGCAGAGCAGAGACGGTGGTTTGTGCTATACTCTGACAAGGTAAATCTGCACATGGAGATTTTAGGATAACCACTTAGAGAACAGAAAAAAAAACATGTAATTTTCAAACGAGTCAGGGGAGGAAAAAAACGCAGAATGACAAAAAATAAATAACATAAATGGAATAAGAGAAGGCAAGTAAGGCTGGAAAGAGAAAACAGAACAAGTTGAAAACGCAAACAAAATGGAAGCTAAAAGCCGTTCCTCCCAGGCCTCACCATAAAGGGAGTGAATGTGTCACAGGTGAAGGACCCAAACTGAGACGCGGGACAGTGCCAGTGAGGCGGCGTCCAGCGACTGTCTCTGTGACACACGGGTAGAGTTCTCGGTATGAGGCACAACAGGCTGCCACACTGAAACAGTACTTCAAAATAATAAAAGTTAAAATTTTAATTTATGTGCAGCCAACAATAGAGCACCTAATATAAAAAGCAAAAGTAGAAAGGAATATAAGGAAAAACAGATAAACCCATAACCAGAATGGGAGGGGGGTTTTTCCTCCATTTTTTGGGCTGTGCCAGGCGGCATGTGGCATCCTCAGTTCCCCGACCAGGGATGGAAGCCGCGCCCCCTGCAGTGGAAGCGCGGAGTCCCAGCCACTGGAGCGCCAGGGGAGTCCCAGAATGGGAGATTTTAACTCACCCCTCTCATAACTGACAGAAGAAGCCAACTAGTAGGCACAACACCCCGGATAAACCTGACCTAGAGGTGACAAAGGGACCCCACGCCGCCACAAAGCACATCTCAGCGCACTTCACTGCAGGATCCGTGCTGGGCCGGGTCTGGAGCGTGAAGAGCAGCGGAGGGTTTGGCCCAGGAAAGGCTGAAGGTCAGGGAAGACAGAACTGCTGTCCCAGAGCTGGAGGAGGAGGGGCTAAGGTACCAGAGGCACACACCTCCAGGGGGCCGTCCAAAGGCAGCCAGGATTAAAACCCTGGGCGAGATGAGAGCTGGCCGCAGATGCGAATCTGGACTCATGGGCACAGACATAGGCTCAAAGCCTCGAGACTGGAGGGACCACGAGGGGAGGGGTGCAGACAGAGGGTTTGTTAAAAAGACAAAACACCACAACCAAAGGAACAAAAAGTTGTAGCAATCTAGATAAAGAAGAGACTTTTCTTACTGTGCTGAAGAGTGATTTTAAAAACCCAACCCGCAGAACGACCATGAGGAGAGCCATGTGGCCGAGCTTCCTGTCTGCACCTGTCACACTGTCTTGCAGGCATCGCCAGCACGACAAGGCGGGAATAAGAAACAGAAGGACGAAGGGGAAGATGCCAGCCGCCAGGACTCACAGGTGATGTGATCGACACAAGGGAAACGCAAACCAACTAGAACAGATTGAGGCTGTGGGATTCAAAAGTCAACATACAGCGTCCTACAGACACAGACGAAAAGAGGGAACTTAGAGCAGAGTATCAGAAAACGCCCGTTACTTAGGAATAAATCTAATACATGCAATAAGATCTTTATGGAAAAAAATCAGAAAACTTACTTAAAGGGCATTAAAGAAGATTTAAACAGCAAATGAGGTATCATGTTGGTGAATCTGAAGTCAAGGCTATAGAGATGCCCACTCTCCCCCAAACTGATCTACAGAGTCAATGCAGTTCTAACAAAAACGCCATCAGTTTTGACCACGGTGCGTATACTAAATAAGCTGACTCAAAATCGATACGGAAGTGCAGAGAGCGGGAAAGCAGGATGCTCCCGACAGCAGGAGGTGGATGCCGAGAATCATCGTGCAGCAGAGTGGCGAAGAGAGGGCAGTGTGGGCTCACAGGGACCGAGACCACGGTGCTCAAGAGAAGCCCCCGAGGAACCGCACGTCACGCGTGCCTGGTCACACGGTGGGTCGGAGGAGCGAAGGGACTCCTGAATGAGTAGTGTGAAAGTAACAGGGCGTTGTGTTCACGTGGAAAAATTAAACTGAACCCCTATTTTTGGATCATTTCCAAAAACCAATTCCAGGAAGGTTAAAGACATAAATGTGAACAAAAAAATTATCAAGTTTTTAGAAGATGATCTAGGAAACAGCACCATGACCTCTAGGAAGGATTTCTTAAGCAAAGCGCAGAAGGCACTATTCAGACACAAAAAGATTGATAAATTCCAATACACTCAAATTCAAAAGCTCCATTCGTAAAGTGAGTGAGCAGATAAGGCACAAGCTGGGAGAAGTGTTACACACAGACCCAAAGGCAGACACCCGGGACGTACAGCCCCACCGGGAAGCCCCCGAACAGGCTCGTCCCAAGGGAGGGGCCCCAACGGTCAGCAGATTCGCACCGCTGCCAGAGGAAGGCAGACGGCAGGCCGGCACGGGCCGAGGCTGAGGGACCACAGGAGCTCGGTGGGTGGGCGTGCCCACAGCCCCGCACCCCATCCCGGGCGTCACGCGTGTGCCGGGACCCAGGAGACGCGGCCAGTGCCGGGCAGCCGGCGGCAGCGGAGAGACGACCACGACCCCTGCAGGAGCCTCACCAGCGTAAAGGCTGCCACCGCAGCAGGACCTGAGCACAGTCCCCAGGCCACGCCGCAGGGCCCCACGACGCTCTCCATGGGGCGCTGGTTGGCGGCGCCCCCCTGCTCTACCTTGGAGCGCCCGCCGCGTCTGCTCCCAGCCCTCAGGCTCCCCGCTGCTCACCTGGATCTGGGTCTGCACCTGCTGGGTCCCAGCCAGTTTCTGGGCCTGGGAGATGGGCGTGGTGAGAAACTGGGTTTTAAGGGCTGGCTGGGTGGCGTAGGTGACCTTCTGTGGTTGGCCCTGAGCGGCAATCTGCTGTGCTGTGATCTGAGGAAAGAGAGGCCGCCCAGGGTTAGAGCGGGCAAGGCTCTGGGTCCCCTCCTCAGAGCCACCGGGCCTCCTCCGTGCGCCCCGACTGCCCCCAGACGCCCGCAGTGTGACCACCCCGGCTCCTGGCCCTGCCTGCCCGCTGCCCTGTGTTCTTGCTGCTGCCCCCCCGGGGGGCCCGGTCCTGGGTCATCTCCTCCCCTGCTGGGAGGTCCCCTCATGGCCCAGGCTGGGCTTCATCTCCCATCCTCTGAGGCACCTGGTGCCACGTCTGCTCATCATGTAAGTGAGCGAACTTGACAATACAGAAAACACACACCGTTTCCCAAATCTAACTTTAAGAATTTGGCCCATACTCAAAACTATTTAGCACAAACAGAAACAAACCTGTACGCACAATCTTTACATATTTAGTCTAATTTTCCGTTTTCCCTGCCAGGAGCGTTTAAATACTATTCAGAAAGCCATGCGTGTATGTGGCCCATATATTAGGTTTACAAAGCCACAGCTATGGACAGTTTTAACGTCTCAGAACTATTCTTTCAAGTTACGTGGACATACCGATTGGCACTTTGGCTAAAGCCCTTCTCCTTCTCTCTTTCAGACGCTGGCTAAGCCCCCGCGATGACCCAGCCCGGTCTCCGTCCTGTCACAGTGCCTCCCAGCCCGGCACGCCCCACCCGAGAAGTCACTTCACGTCTCTGCGCGTCTGTCAGCTTCTGGAAAGGGGCACCAGCCGCCTGCAGAGCCCTCAGCACATGGGGACAGGGCGCTGGCTCGCTCCGGTTCAGAAAACAGCACAGATACGACACGAAGGTCAGTAGCCCAGACGCCATCATCTGTGCATCAGGCTTTGCGCCACCAGGAGCAGACGAGGCAGAAGCCCTGGGGAGCAGAGCGCCTTGCACTCCGCTCCTGCTTGCCAGCGCAGCCCCGAACCCCCGCCTCTGAGGAGGACTCGCCTCTGGGGCCTCAATCAGCTCAGAGCTGCCTCCCAGCCTTCTGAGTCAGAAGGTCGCTGACAGCACTCCTCTCACAGTACCCCTTCCCCTCTCTCCCCTCCCTCCGTCCATCCGCTGATGGCACGTGTGTACACACGTACACACACACATGCACACAGGCGTACACACACACACACACACACACAGATGGTCCTCAGCTGGCTCCTGTGCACCCAGATGGGTCACACACCAGGAGCTACACCTGCTTCCCCGAGTCCTTCCGGCCCCTCCCAGTCATGCAGTTCCACAGCCTGCGTCCTTCACAGTTGCCCCCACGAGCCGGCAGGACATGGGGGCTCCCCCTCTCATGAACCACGCCCTCCCTCCAGGGCCAGCCCCAAGGCCGTCCTACGTACAGCCCAAGGCCACAACCATGGGGTCTCCGGTGCGTGGAGGCCAGGCAGCCACGCAGGGCCGGTTCGGGACCCTATCCATCTCCATGCATCCCACGTTTGGCAGCGGGGCCCGGCTCACGTGAAGAGGGGTCAACCGGGAGCCCGGTACCTTCTGCTGGACGGCGGCCGGGCCTGGGGCGGCTTGCGGCTGGATGGCCTTCTGCTGCTGGACGGCCTGCTGCTTCAGCTTGAGCAGCTGCTGGACGTGCACAGGCTGGGCCACGACAGTCTGCCCTGAGAACACAGGTCCGGTCATTGAATCACAAGCGCCAAGTAGGGACAAGGTCTCAGGGCTCACAGTGAGTTCAGCTTCAGTGATTTCTGCACAGAAAACTACACGCTGAAATGATGCTGAGCGAAATAAAGCCCCCCTTACATCTACTTAAAATGTTTCTAGGTTCACAACGACATTTGGACAAAGGGTGGGTAAGTTAAGAAAGTGAACGGTTAAATCGAGGGACACTTCTGCTAAAATACACCGTGACACACCCGAGATGGCTGTGGGCCACAGCTACTAACTAGAAAAGGCTTGTCAGCCCCACTCAAGGCTGTGCGCGGAGTGGCGGGGGGCAAGGGGTGGCATGAGACAGGCACCTGCGGCTTTCTGCGGCTGCCCGATGGCCACACTGATTCCAGCAACGTTCATGGGCAGCGTCGTGACACCCGGCGAGGAGACCACGGCTGCGGGCACCGACACCACCGGGGGCTTCGCCAGTGCCACCTGGGCCGGCTGGGGCGCCGGGGCCTGCATCTGCCCTTGAGCCTGCAGCTGTGAAGTGGGGACCCGGGTCTAGACAGTGAAAACAATGGGAGAGTCCAGAGACGTTCAGCATTCCACACGTCTGCAGACATTTCCCCACCAGCGGTCAGGTGGTGAGAAACTGACACATTCACAAAGGTGCCGCGTGGCGGTCAGCTAATGGAAAACAGCTCACTGTGGGCCGCCTATGTGCCCTGACCATCACCAGCGGACACAGGGAGCGGGGCTCGGCGGCCCCCGGACGCCCGGGCGCACTGCTGCTCAGATGCGCTCCTGTCCCACAGCGAGCGTCTCTGCCTCCTGCATCTCAGAGCCTGACAGCACCCCACTCCTGCCACACTTCCTACGCTCGTCTCCTATCCCTCAGCGGCCACGGAAGATCAGCCCGAAATTACGACCTCGGCCTCCCACCAAGGGCCACCCTCGGTCTCCACCTCCTGCGACTTGCTTATCACTCGGCTACCAAGCACTTTTTTCCTTAAGTTATATTTTTTAAAAGGAAAATGGAAATAGATCCGTTTTTATACGTACAAAAACTCAGACTACCTAAGAAAATACGAGGAAGTAAAAATCAGCCATAACCCTAAGGTGCCCATATGTGAATGTGGAAATGATACCCAGCCGACCAGACCTTGTCCTTATCTGTGCGGCTTGCCGGGAAAGTGTGTAAAATGGGATGAATTCTAGGTATCTGTAAGCTGACTCTCCTCCTTCTACAACAACCCTTTTCCAAAGCTGTGCACGATCCCACTGTGTGCACGCTGTACAGTCTATGTAGTCAACTCCTCACTAACGGAGATTCAGGTCCCCCTAATACTCCTGGTGCAAGTCTGTACGTTTATTACTTCGTACTGGTTCTATCACTTCTTTAGGATACAGCAGAAATAGGATCACTGGGTAAAGTAACGGGCACGTTTCCTAGCTCAACTGACTGCCACCCCCTCCGGGGGAGCCGGCTCCTGCTGGCAAGCCCTCCGCCCGAGGCCTGGGCTGCCTGAGGCGGGCCGTCGTGCGCGATTACCACTCAGCTCGTTTGAACTGGCATTTTCTTGTGAACACAGGTAACACCAAGCTGGCTTTCACAGTTTTTATCCACTTCTATCCCCTCTCTTACAGACTTAAAAGTGGAGTGAAGCACACTTGGAAGCACAGCCTGGGCCCCCAAAGCCCCAGATCACAGCTGTGTTGTGGGTGACAAGCTGTAAGATCTGGGTAAGTTCCTGAAGGTGTATGCCTTGGTTTCTGCACCTGCAAAATGGAGCTAGCATCACAACACCCACTCCTGCCTCAGCACCAATCAGCTGACAGGCGGAGAGCCTACGGCAGCGCCTGACCCAGAGCAGGATCCCTAATGCTAGCCGTCGCCAGTGCCAGAAAGGGAGCCGCCCGCGCTGGGCACTGGTCTGCCTGATGTGACAGCATCTGGGCTCCAGGACACCCCCTCGACATGTGCCGAATGTAGCTGGCATTCCCAGACACCCCCTTCACCACACCATCGTCCCCTCCTTCAGAAACCTTCAATGCCTCTCTGGGCCTGCAGAGCACCGCGACCCCTGAGTCTGGCTCTGGGGCCTCACTCGCCCCTCCACCTCCCCTCTGCTCTGACCACACGGGCCTCGTGCCTGGCCTCTGCCCCAGCAGCACCGGGACACTTTCCAGGGGCCACATCTCGCCCTCCCGTCGCCCCCCCCACGTAAAGCCTGCTCTCTCTCCGTGGTCGGGCTCGCTCCCACCGCCCCCCACAGCCTCTCAGGCCACCATAAGCTCTGCGACACCGACATTCTGGAAAGCGTGACTGTGTAAATGTCTCCCACGTGCTGTTTCGCCCTCTCCGAGGAGAACTTAAGTTCCTGGGGGAACGACCGTGCCTTTACTTGTCACTCTGCCATAATACCTGCAAGGGCCTGAGCGAGCAACAACGGTTCAGTTAAAACGTAAGAAGACGCTGCTCTGGAAAAACAAGCGTATCGACCGGAACTTACGAGCCGGGCCACCTGGAGGTTGGCCACGGTGGTGCCCGTGAGCAGGGCGCCGGGCCTCGGGGCCGTGACCGTGGTGAGCTGGGGGCTCTGCTGCTGCGTGGGCTGCGGGGGCTGCACCTGCACTTGTGCCGTTGGCTGCGGGGGCCCCGGCGGGGCCTGTGCTGGGGGCGCCTGCTGGGGCAGCTGCAGTTTCTGCTTCTGCATTTTGATCAGGTGCTCCTAAAACCCAGATAAAGTAATCTTTTCATCAACGTCAACTGTATTCCATTTCGTATATATCTTGGTTTTAAGTTACTGTTCTACTACCCGTTCAATGTCGAAGTAAACAGTTGCTGACGTGCAGTATGCAAACCATCCTCCAGGCCTTGCCAACATTTTTTAAATGTTCCCTTTACCACTGATGAAAACTAGCAACAGTGATTCTCACAGATTAGCAAATGCACAGCAAAATTCCTGGGCTCTTATCGCTTACAAGCAAGGCGATTCAAATCTGCGGTACCACCAAAAATTCGTTAAGTCTTAAAATTGTAGTCCCTCTTGAAGTTTTACAATGTACCGTAAGATATGCATGAGCTCTAAATTTTGTACTCCAACTGTCTCCAAATGAAAGTTTAATTGGTAAATAAACCCATGTCTTTAAAAGAAGTCAAAATATCAAGATAAAGATAGCTCAGGAAATATTTTAGGGGATAAAAATGTTTTAAGGAAATTTATATTGAGTTATTCACGACCCTCCGATCTCGTTCAAGGTGCTGAAAAAGAAAAGGACTTTGCCACTGGTTTAGGAGAGGGAAGGGAAGGGAGTAACAGGACCAGGCAAGCGAGCTGGTGCATGGGGCTCTGAGCAGCTGCAAGAGGGGAGCAGGGGCAACTGAAGGCCCCGCCGCCTTAGAGCGCGAGGAGCGTTGGTGGGGGGGGGGGGAAGGAAAGGCCGTGGGGCGGGAGGACCCTAACTCAGCGCTGTCTGCTGGTCGCCAGCTTCGGCGGTGACGGACACGTTCTGGAGCTGGGCTGTCCAATGTGGCGGGCACAGCCATGTGTGGCCTTGCGCCCTTGAGCTGTGGCTGGTGTGATGGAGGACGGAACGCCTCGTTTCCCTGGCGCGCATTCGGGTGCCTCCGGGACGAAGAAGTCTCAGCTGGTGCTCGCATGTCCTCACCGCCCTCCAGCGCCCTAGTCCCCTCTGTCACCCGCAAGGGGCAGGCCCGAGGTCAGGTACTTACTGTGGCAGGCCCGACAGCGAGCTGGAATTCTGAAGTACCATCTTGCTTTTATTACACGTTTTTCTGGTTACTTTCTGTGTTGAGTACTAATGCTTTTCCACTTGTGGCAGGAATATAGCATTTCCTTTTAAAATGAATGTGTTTACTTATGTAACAGCACAGGTCGTGCACAGACTGGCAAGATTCAGGGGCATCAGCACCCACATGAGAGAAACGACACCGCACACGAGCTACTCCTCAGGAAGCCAAGCTCCACCACCTCGTCTCTTAAAGCTGTCGAGGAATACTTTTCACTGACATTTTCTCAGGTTGGGAAAAGAGCACAGAGCCTGAGCACAGAGCACAAGCAAGCGAGTGGGAAGATCCATCCGGAAACGGGGATTAAGGCCTCAGAAAGCTGTGAACAAGCTGGTCGCGTGATCATGGAAGCGGCCCTGTGTGCAAAGTGATTTCTAAAGACAACACAAACACACTTCCCACATAAAGACGATGGCAGACTGTGCAAAACACACTCTGAATCACATGACACACCAAGGCATCATCACACAGTGTGCGTTCGGTTTTCTAGAGGACGCTCACCGGTGTCAACTTGCCCACCGCCTTGATCTGCGCCGGCGCCTGGCCCTGGCCCTGGATCTGCGGGACCTGCACCTGCGAGGCCTGCTGCTGCTGCTGCTGCTGCCGCAGGAGCTGGAAGTGCGCGGGCGTGATGGTTTTCCCCGGAAGCTGGACCCCTGTGGCTGAAGAGGTCGTCTGGTGAGACTGCGGCCCCGCACACGCGTGCAAGCCTGAGCCCTGAGGGGCCTGAAGAGCGGGACAGGCCACACAGGAAACCAACCCTGCCTTTACCTTGGGACACTTGAGTCACCAAAGACCGGGTCGGGGTCTGCACCGGGGTCAGGCTGGTAGTGACCACAGCCGAGGCCGTCACCGAGGTGACCGCTCGAACACCCTGAGTCGGTGCCAGGGACACCATGTCGGACGTGGCCGTGGCGGGGGACCCGACTGCTCTTGGCTGGGTGTGGACCACCTGGGCAGGAGCAGAGCCTCCCGAGGTCTGGAAAAGGCGAAGAGAAGAAAAGTGTCAGGCTGCTGTGCAATATTCAAGACTCTTTACAGTCGTCGGGCGAAGAGAAAAGGGCGCCAAACGCTAAATCCTAGAAAACGAAGCATATTCCAGGTTCTGGCCTTTTGACAGATTGCTAAGAGACTGTTTCCCTTGTGAACTCAAAGCCTGTGCCTAGGGCTAGCGTGGATGCGTCGCTCGCAGAAGGGAAGATCATGACGCTGCCGCCCCCAGTCTAAAACACTGCCCGTCCCCGTCCCGCTGCCCTCACTCAAAAGACCTTTTGGTCCCAGGAACCATCTAGATGCCCGTGTTTATCCCCCGGAAACAGACAGGCCCCTAACCCCCCACGGCCATCCCCAGGCAGGTGCGGAGGCTGCAGCCCTGGACCCGCGCGGCATCTCGACTTGGCCTCCCTATGTCCTCGTCCCTTGGTGCCACGGCCGCCGCAGCCCCTCAGCGGACTGGGCCCAGCTCCACCGAGTCCGCCTCTGAAAGCACCCTGAAATGTGATGCTGGCCCCTGCTGGTCCCCTTGGTGCAGACGGTCATTACGTTTTCCTGTTTAGTTTGTCCCTAATCTTACATTTCATTACCTACATATTTGAATCCAAATCCAGTATCTTATTGTGCTTTCTATTCAACTCACCTGTTCTGTATTTCTTTTAATCATCTTTCTTGCCTTCCTGCACATTACTTTCTTCTCATCCCACTTTCCCCTCCCAAAGTTTGGAAGTTATACTCTATTCTTATTCTTTTGGTGGCTTGTCTTAAAAATTTTATCAAGCACTTACAAAAGTCTAATCCATAATTTCACACTTTTCCTGAACAATAAAGGGATTCTGGAACGTTTCAACATCCTTAGCCCTGCTCACGTCATTGCATTGTGTGTGTCATGTCTGCCTCTGTTGACCCTACAGTATGTTACTGCTGTTCGCAAAGTCCGTTTGCACCTCAATTAGTTCATGTAGGCGAGATCTATAGGGAATTCTCTTAGGCTTTGTTTGGAAACGTTTGTTCTTCAAGGTATTTTCAGGGCTGGCAGTTATATTCTCCCACTACAATGAAGATGCCATTCCATTCCAGGAGCTGGTTCCTGGCTTCATTACCACCACTGAGAAGTAAGCAGCTGTACCTCTGAAGGCAACCTGACTTTTTCAGGCTGCTCTGAAGACCTCCTTGTCGTTGGCATTATGTAAGCGTGGAGTCCCTTTCATCATCCCTGACCGGGATTAGTTGAGCTTTGGTGTATACGGATCAGTGTCATCACTCAGTTCTGGGAAACTCTTACATCTTCACGTACTATCTCTGCTCAGCTTTCTCTCTGCCTGGAACTCTGATTAACCTCTGATTACATCCTCTCACTCAGTCTTCCGTGGCTTTAAATTCGCTTCCGTACTTCCATCTGCTGTCTCCCTGTGCTGCATTCAGGATAACTTCTTCTGATTTATCTTCCAGTTCACTAACTCTCTCTTCAGCTGTGTGGAAAGTGATATTAAGCCCGATTATAAGACATTTATTTTTCAGTGCTGGTAACCATACTTTTCATTTCTTAAAGTTCTCTATATTCTTTTAAGTATAGTTTCCCGGTTTTTACAGACATTCGCAAGCTTCTCTTTTATTTCTTTAAAATAGAAAGTATAACCGTTTTATCATCTATGCCTGCTAACCCCACCATCTCAAGTCTTAAAGGATCTGCCCAGTGTCTGTTGCTTCTGTTGCTTCTCACTCATGGTGCCTTCTTTCCGTGTGTTTGGTTATCTTCTATTATATGTGGCTCATTATACCTGGAAATCACTGTGGACATTCTAAGAAGTCCAGGATGAAGGCACATTCCTCCAGAGAATCTGCATTTGATTCTGGCCACTTACCCAGGAACACTGCTCATCCAGGTCTACGTCACATGATTTAAGGGGCTTTGGGAGCCCTTTTGGGGAGCCATCAACGTGAGCTGCAAACTGACAGCTGCCTTGGGGCTAGAGCTCCACAGGAAGAGCCCCCGCCCCACCCTCTGCTCAGCATGATGGATTTTACTTCCGGTTCACCCTGCCCTAAGGACTTAGCCATTTGGGGGCCTGTCTCAAGGCATCAATGCCTCCTTTTAGACTCTCCACCTGGGTGAGTCGAGCCTTGGGCTTGAACGGGGGCTCCCCCTGTCTGAGAAGGTGAAGTGTACTCCAAGGCGGACACAAGGGCACCCTGTGTATCTCTCTGGGTTGCCTCTTCCCTTAGATTTTGGCCCAATAATTATTTACTCTTTTGTCAGCTCCTTGAAATTTTGAAGAGGATATTTAAAAATTTTATCCAATAATTTCAGTTCTTTTCATTTGGAGAGTGGTATAAATAACTTAACTCACCTTATCACCAGAAACAGAAGTCCTTTCCTGCACTACTGAAATAGCTTCTCTCTAAACCTTTCTGCAATAATCTATTCTACACGTAAAACATCACATGAATTCCCCTAAAACACACCTCTGCTCGAAGATTCTCAAGGGCTCCCCATTGCCTGGTGAATGGAATCCACATTCTTCAGCCTGGAACCCAAACACCATGACAGCCTAGGCTCACTGTCACACAAGACCAAGCGCGTGCAGCCGCTCAAGAACCTGTGAGAGGCTGTGGGAACCACTTCTCTGCTCATGCATCTTGTGCTCCGTCCAAACAGAACCGCTTGCTATGCCCAGTATACACCACTCACTTTCCCACCACTGAACCTCTGCTTGTACGACTCGCCCTGCCTTCCAAAGAGCCATTTTGGTGGATGACATCCTCCTATTCTGTGGAAGTCCAATGCTCCCTTCTCCAGAAAACCTCCCTGTTATCTGTACCTCTTTTAGGTGCGGCCACAGGACTGATTGCAAGAACCCCATGAAAGCAAGCCGTGTGTTTGAGTCCTACTTCTAGCCCCACATCACCAGGGAGAGTATCTTGTCTGTAAGAGCTGTTCAAAAAATACATTGTGGATAAATTGCTTTATCTTTTAAAAATATGACTACAGAAACAGGTCTTTTCAAAATAAAATACCAAGTGCAATGATTTGGGCTTGCCACCCTCACAGAAGTAGTGACACTGGTCAGAGGAAATGATCCTAATGCCACAGGCCTAACTAATAGCTTCTGCATCCAGTGAATTGGCTGAGTCTAAAGTGGTTTATTACAAAGTAGAAAGAAAAATAAATGAAATAATCCGAAGTCACATTCTAGAAAAGCTGTTTCCATATTCACTCTGCTGCTTCGAGTATTCTAATTTTTTAAACCCAATTTATTGAGTGTAACTCACATACAGTAAAGATCACCTGTTTCAGGAATACAGTTCTATGAATTTTTATAAATGTATGAGGCCGAGTAGCCACCAGATAGATACAGAACATATTCTGTTTTCCGTCCGTAAAGTCTTGCCTTTTCCATGTGGTTTAAATGGAATCACACACACATGAAGGCTTTCAAAACTCCTATGAGCCAGCACAATGCCACTGAGATCTGCCGTGCAGCAGCACGAGCCAGCAGTCTCCTGCCCCGCTGGGCAGTGCCAGATGGGCCGGGTGCACCATCTTCCCTTCTGCTCACCTGCTCAAGGACATTTGGGCTGTTCCCTTATGTCGTAATTATGAAGACAGCCACTAAACACATTCACGCACAGGTTTTTTTGTGCAGACGTGTTTTCATTTCTCTTGGGAGAGAACCTAGGAGTGGAACTGATAGGCTGGAGAGTAGGTGTACGTTTAATTTTGTAAGAAACAAACTGTCTTCCAGACTGACTGCTAAGGTTCTGCATTCCCATCAGCAATGAGGATTCCAGTTGCTCTGCATCCTCACCAGCGTTTGATACTGCCAGGTTTTTCTTTTCTTAAAGCCATTCTCAGAGATGTGTAGCAGTAGCAGATCACTGTAGCTTTAATTTACATCTCCCTAATGACTAACAATGTTGAACATCTTTTCCTATTTATTTGCTCTCCATATGGTGTGTGTGTGTGTGTATATATATATATATATATATCTCTCTCCATATGTATCTTCCATGGTGAAGTAACTGCTCCAATCTTTTGTCCGTTAAAAAAAATTTTTTTTGTCCACTTTTAAAAGTTGTTTTTCTTATTATTGATTGAAAAAATCTCTGTATAATCTAAGTACCAGTCTTTTATCAGATATGTTCTTCAAATATTTTCCATGCCTTGCTTTTCGTTTTATTAACAATATCTTCCAAAGAACAGACGTTCTTGATTTGATGAAGCCTCGTTTATTTTTTTTTATAATTTGTAGGCTTTGGTATCCTAGGGAATCTTTGCCTAAACCAAGCAAAGATGTTCTATGTTTTTTTCTAGAAATTTTATAGTTTTGGGTTTTACATTTGGGCCCATGATCCACTTTGAGTGACTTTTCATATACAGTATTAGTAACAGTTCAAAGTTCATTCGGCTTTGAACGTTTCCCCAGTTCCTCCAGCACCATTTGTTGAAAAGACTGCCCTTTCTCCATTGAAATCCCTCGGCACTCTTTTTTTTTCTTTTAAAATTTTATTTATTTGTGGCTGCGTTAGGTCTTCATTGCTGTGCGCGGGCTTTCTCTAGCCGCGGGGAGCGGGGACTGCTCTTCGTTGCGGTGCGCAGGCTTCTTGTTGCGGTGGCTTCTCTTGCGGAGCATGGGCTCTAGGCGCGCGGGCTTCAGTAGTTGTGGCTCACGGGCTCTAGAGAGCTGGCTCAGTAATTGTGGTGCACGGGCTTAGTTGCTCCGCGGCACGTGGGATCTTCCCGGACCAGGGCTCAAACCTGTGTCCCCTGCATTGGCAGGCGGATTCTTAACCACTGCGCCACCAGGGAAGCCCCTCTTTTTTTTTTAAAGAGTTCTCCTCTCTATTTTTAATTAATTAATTAATGGCTGCGTTGGGTCTTCACTGCTGCGTGCGGGCTTTCTCTAGCTGCGGTGAGCTGGGGCTACTACTCTTCGTTGCGGTGCGCGGGCTTCCCATTGCGGTGGCTGCTCTTGTTGGGGAGCACGGGCTCTAGGGGCGCAGGCTCAGTAGCTGTGGCACGTGGGCTCAGTAGTTGTGGCTCACGGGCTCTAGAGCACAGGCTCAGTAGTTGTGGCGCACGGGCTTAGTTGCTCTGCGGCATGTGGGATCTTTCCGGACCAGGGCTTGAACCAGTGTCCCCTGCATTGGCAGGCGGATTCTTAACCACTGCACCACCACGGAAGTCCCTCCCTGCACTAAGAGTCCCGCCCGGCACTCTTAGTAAAAATTAATCAACTATGTACATGTGGGTCTATTTCTGGACTCTCTATCCTACTCCATGGATCTATGTGCCCATCCTTTTCCCAACACCACACTGTCTAGTTCACTACCAACAACACCTTCATAGGAAACACATTCCTCAGAACCCAACAGGGACATCACTCCATTTGCCAAAGCACTGCTGACTTTGAAGCAGCTTCTCACTCAGGGCACATGTTGTCTTTAGATCTGTGACTAAACTGCAACTCAGGATGTAAATGTAAACTCCTTTATTTCCGTCATTTATTTTTGTTTTCTACGGTGACACCACAGACGGCAGGTGTGTCCAGGTGAGCGCCCTGTCTCCTGGTTACATGCTCAGAGGTCTTGTGGCTCTGCGTCTCTCCCTCTGTCCACATCTGGCCCCTTCCTGCTTCCCACGCATGGGCCTAGACACCCATAAACACACTGCCCCGCCTTGTGCCCGGTTGTGCAACGGCGCCACGTCCACACACACGGGCAAACCTGCCGCTACGGCATGTGGGCACCCTGTCCGTGGAGTTGGAGACGTGCCCTTGCACCCCCTCCCTCCTCCTGGAACCACGGTGGGGGATTTCAACACACTCTCTCCCAGAAAGCACACGTGGAAACCATCCTCTGCACCCCTCAATGTCCTCGGTATTTTATGAAATGCAAACTAGATCAGGACTTTCTGTACCAATGGAATGGAATTTTTTTTAAGAAGCCAACAGCTACTGCAGCGTCCTGGGTCATGCATGCCACCAAAAGCACCCAGGATCAGGGACAACTCACAGTCAAGGCTCCAGGTGCCACGGGTGAAGCGAGGCGCTTGTTAATGGACTGGAAGGTGGCAGCGGGGACGCCGGCGATGGTGTTCACGATCACATTTCCGCTCACTGTGCCTGCGGGGAGAGGACACGAGGTAGGAGAGCAGGAAAGAACTCACCTCCAATCGCGGCACCTCACCCGTGAGACTTCTTACCCGCGGGCATGCTTGTCCCTGTGACGGATGTCTTGATGGCTCCTGCCTGCTGAAAAAAGAAAACCATTTGAATTTCAGGTCAAGCTTCGCCCTGCGTGAACACTCCAAAGCCTTCCCCCTCATCAGGATCAAATCCAAACCCTTGGTCACGGTTACTCGGCCCGCACGGCTGACTTCAGCCCCCTCCCCCCACCTCCTCCCACAGTGCTGAGTCTGTCCCTCGGTCACCAGGCTCCGGCCACACCGACCCTTCTGAGCCCCACGTCTGCCAAGTTCAGGGCCCCTGTGCTGGCCGTTTTCCATTCTTTTCTGACTAATGTCCCTTGGCCACAGCCCAGGGGTCAGCCCTGCAGAAGGTCTCTTCCTGACCACCCACCACTGTTCTCGTGGGCAGGGAGCAGCCCTCACACCAGGCAGGTGTGCTTAGTTTTCTGAACAACGAAGAACGGAGCTGCCAAGTGCACATCGAACGCCACTGCGGCAAATGTAACAAAGAACACGGGGTGGAAATGACCCCCGTACAACAAGACCGTCCCGCGCCGGGCAGCAGTGCTTCCCCACGTGGGACTCTTAACGTGTCGCCAGGCACACACAGAGGGAACGCGGCAGGGCACGGCGGCGACAGCGCAGGGTGCGTAGGATCGACACGTTGCCTTTCTTTTTTTATGCACTTCACCACCTTCCTCTCACGGGCACTGAAGATGCACACGCGCGTGCACAGCTCTGGGGGAAAGTGGGGCAGGGTGGGGAGAGGGAAGTCTGCACTAACAGTGCCTGCTCTTCGAGTCCGTAGGGACAAGAGAGGGTGACCTCTTCACGCTTCACAAAGCCCTAACTCCACACCTCCCGCTCACCTCCACCTAAAAGAACGGCCTCGTCTCCCACATCGCTGCCCAGTGAACCCAGCCCAGAGGGCGGAGCTGACCCAGCACCGGAGAGACGGGGTGAGGCATGCGCTTCCTTGAGGGGGAGACTGGAGGAGACTGGGCTGGCCTCCCACTTCCTCTGGGAGGAAGGTCCGCGGGCTGGAAGCCACAGGACCCTGGACAGGGGCGTGCTGGAGCTGACCGCTCTGTGTGCCTTCTCACCAGCACTGCAGCGCTGCCCACCGTCGTGATCGCAGGGGGCGCCTTCGGCGGCGGCGGCGTGGGCTGCGCCGGGGGCTGCGCCTGGGCCTGGGGCTGGATGGCGGGCGGCCCCGCAGGCTGCTGGCTGCCGGCCGACGGGGGCTGGGGCAGCGGTGGGGGCGGCTGCTGCGGTGGCGGTGGCTGCGGCTGCGGCGGCGGCGGCGGTGGCGGCGGCTGTGCCACGGGTGGCTGCTGCGCCTTCTGCTGGTCGGCCAGCGCCTACGGGGCAGGAGGGAATGGAGCCGTGTGGAGGAGCTGGCCCGGGGGGCGGGGGGGAACCCCTGGCCCCCGGCCCCTGGCCCCCCTCGCGGGCCTCCCGCCGCCCGCTGTACCACACACACCTTTTTTTCCTTGGCGATGCGCTCCGCCCGGAGGGATGCGACCTGAATAGGAGGCAGGGGTTTGTCGTAGTTGATTCCACTAAAGACAAGGGAAAAACGAGAAATAAACTGCGAGTTCTAAGTAGACAAACGCGCTAGAAATCCAAAGTCCTCATTTCCGACAACGCCGAGTGCCGGGACGCCAAGGCCGGGGCCCGAGCGGCTCGGCCCTGGAGAGGAGAGGCTGCCAGTCCGCCCCAGACCACGGCGGCTCCCACTCCCTCGCAACAAGGACCACCTGCCAGAGGCGGGCCCGGGCCCGGTCCCCTGCAGCAGCGGCACTCGGCACGGCGCCTGGATACCACGCGTCCCCGAACACGTGGGGCAAGAAAGCCTCTTGGCGCCGTGCTCCTCACTGCAAACCAACCGCCCCCGCCCCCAAAGCCAGGCCTGCCCCCGCCTGCACTGAGCGCCAGCCCTCGCCCCGCGGAGAGCAGCCGGCCACCCGCCCAGTGCCGTGAGCGGCCCACAGCCCTCCGCAGCCTCTCACAGAACCCTTGCTTCCAGGGGCTCCTGGGCTGACGGTCACCTACCAGCCTTGAATCCTGCCGCGGGAGGCTGGCTCTGCCCTCGTGTGCCGCCTCTGCATTTCGGGGCGGCGCAGGTGTCGCTGCTGCGCCTGTCTGGCCCCTCTGGACACCAGCCCTCCCGCGTCATGTGCCCTAGCTCACGCAGTGTGTCCTCTCCCATTCTCTGACCTTGCCCACGTCAGTCCACTCAGTCCCCCGACCCCTCGAGGAACTCCTGCAACCCACCCTGCCGCCCCCATATTCGCATGCTGGCCCCCCTCACCCCGTGTCTCTCCATCACGCCTGGTGGTAAAGCCACAGCCTCAGCGCACTCCCCACTCCGCCTGCCCCAGGCCTCCACCACTGGGGGGAATCCAACCGCTGGGCATGGCGACGGTCCAGCCGCCGCAGCGGTCCCTGCTCCACATCCAGCTCCCTCCCAGGACACACGGCCTGGCCTCCCACTGCTTACAGACCTTGACCCTGGCCACTACCTAGAGACAACCCCTCGGCACACCTGGCCTGCATGTGGCCAAGGCCAGCCCGGCTCCACCCTCATCCTGTCTGCCAACCTCTCCCACTGGCGTCAGACACACAAAAACAAAACTGAGCCACCGAGATGCCCTCCAGGTCTGCATTCACCTTGCAGCCTCTCTCCAGCTCACTCTGATCGGCCTCACACCACCCCTGCTTCCGCCCAAACTGCGGGCCACCCCTGTGCTGCCCTGCTCCCCGCCGTGGTGGCACCATCCCCAGACCTCCTCCCTCGCATCCTGCAGGCCAGCCTTCTATTCGCCCACCCTGCCCTCCGTGCCTTCCCACCCGCCGGCCCTCACTCGGAGGAACAAGTGTCCCTTCTCGCACCCGCCCCGTTCTCCCCAGCTCAGCCAGGCTAGGTTCTGTTCCCCTTCAGGATGAATCCTCGCCCTCCGTAAGGATTACTCAGAGTTTGTGTCTTGTGCGAGAGAAACAGGAGGGCAGGACTGGGCCCGCCTCGTTCACTGCTGAACCCCGGCCCGGCCTGTTTTTCTTGTTAAGAAAACCGATTAATGAAATCATCACCAATTTGATCAATACACACATACGGAACATGTGCTCTGCGCCTCTAGCCTCTAGAACCCCTACGTCCACGGAGCTCCTGCAAGATGCTGAAGGAGTCAAGTAAAAATGCAAAGATGATCCGCTCCAGGAAGAAACACAGAGAGGGGCTGGGGCGCGAGTACCAACGAGGAGAAGGTGACGTGTGAGGGAGGGCCTGGCGGGGGGCCGACGGGTCCAGACAGACGGTCCCAGATGGAGCGACCCGCAAGGCCGAGCCAGCCGCCAGGCGGAGGAGCAGGCCGTGGAGGCCGGGGTGCACGGAGAGGGAGGGCAGCACAGGCCTTGGTCCTTGGTGCGGCCGGGGGGCCCTCAGCAGGCACAGGCCCGTGTCAGGCGGTATCTGCAAAACCTACCTGGTGACGAGGAAGGCTTGAGCCAGAGGAGCAACTGGGCTCCATCTGAACATGTGTTTTTTCCCGATATTTTATTAGAAAAAGGCAAACATGCAGGAAGTTGCAGGGATTTTATAGCAAACGCCCATGTGCCAAGCAACTCAGACCGTACAGTTCTCTTTCCCTCTGTCCGCTCTCTCACACCTACCCATCTCTCTACCCATCTACCCAGTCATTTTTCTTCCTTTGCAAAATTTCAAGGCAAGAACACTCACCCCAGGTCTTCCCTGGTGGCGCAGTGGTTGAGAATCCGCCTGCCAACGCAGGGGACATGGGTTCGAGCCCTGGTCCGGGAAGATCCCACATGCCGTGGAGCAACTAAGCCCGTGCACCACAACTGCTGAACCTGTGCTCTAGAGCCCGCGAGCCACAACTGCTGGGCCTGCATGCTGCAACTACAGAAGCCCACGCGCCTAGAGCCCGTGCTCCACAAGAGAAACCACCGCAACGAGAAGCCCACGCACCGCAGCTAGAGAAAGCCCACATGCAGCAACAAAGACCCAACGGAGCTATAAATAAATTAAATAAATAAACAAATAAATAAATAAATAAAAAGAACACTCACCCCCACCCCCAACCCCGGTCAACTGGGTACATTTCTAGGGCGGGGCCAAGCAGACGTATGCCAGCTGAGAGGTGGCAGAGCCGCTGTGACACTGTCAGACTGCAGGCAGGACACCCTGTCCCGTGAACGGGGACACGAGTGTGCCCGGCCCGCCTCACCTCGACACCACCCCCAGCTGATGGCTGGACACGCCATTCGCACAACAATTCACTGAACTTGTAGGGTTTAAGAAAACATTAAAATGAAATCATTTCAAATGATGAAAACTGTGTCACACATACAGAAATACCTTTCTGCCAACACGGAAGCGTGCTTGGGGTTTTTCTGAAAGGGATTCATGCCAAGCCTGTAACACACAGAGAGAGAGAGGATTACTGAAGAGAGGACAATGCACTGAAGAAGGAAGGGAAGGCCAAGGACGCACAGAGGAAATCAAGCCCCCGACCCCATGGAGCCGGCGCAGGGGCGCGGGCCGCGTACAGAGGCTTGATGGGGGGGCTCCTCTTGCCCGCAGTCATCTTCATCAGGTCAAAGTGGCTCGTGTACAGCTGGGTGTGCGTGGCGTTCTCGTCCTGAGCGTACATCTGGCCCGTGCGCAGAGGACGGTTGTTCTTACTCTGAAACAGGATGGGGGTGGCACAGCAGGGTCAGACGCCGACCCTGCGAACAGGGTCCCCGACTGGGAGGTCTAACGTGAAATCCCCGGCTTAAACAATGAGTCCCTTCTTCCCACCCTTCTCTCTGAGACTCAACACAGATGAAACAGCAACGACATAGTGGCCGTCGTCCACCGACCGCAAACACACTCCCCAGCCTGGGCTACGCCTTCCCGCCCGTCCCGCCTCCAGCTCGGCAGACAGCAGTGAGGCCGAGTGGCCGGGTTGACACAGCCAGCGGCCTGCAGCCAGCGCGCCTTCACCCTGGTCGGCCCCGGGGCACCAAGTGGCGGCTGTCCCCCAGTTTGGAGACAACTGTTTTTAGAAAAATGAAAACCAAGATTCGTTAAAGCGTGCTTATAGAAACAAAATAAGTAATTTCCATGAATTAGGAACCCAGGAGCAAACTTCATCAAAGCCCAGGATATCTGCCGCTGCCACGCATGCCCTGGCCCGTCCCAGGCGGGAGACGCGGTCATCGCTCCCACCCTATGACTGGGCGCCGGCCACAGGTACACGCCAGCCCGACGCCGCGTGCCGAGGCTTTCTGCATGGAGGCCACAGACACCCTCCTGAGGACAGGCGAGGAGCTGAGAGGCAGCAAGGCAGGGACAGAGCAGACGGAGGAATGGAAAGAGACAAATGCAGCTCAAGGGAGACGAGGAGAGGCAACGCCCTGGAGACCTCCTCAGCAGCCACGCGGACTCGAGGGGCCTGGCTGCCCCGCAGGTGGCCTCCTGATGACAGACACCACGTACTCGGCTGTTCTGCACTCGGAGTCTCTGATGCCCGCGGCTGGGACCAGAGTGTCTAGCGCCTGTCAAACCGCTGCAGTGGCCAAGACCCCAGGAAAGCACAGTGATGCACGAAGGGGGAGGCACCGACAGGCCCCCCCTCGATGAAGCTAACAGCACAGAGCTGTGCCCGTCTACACAGCCAACCCGGGAGGGAGAACGAAGCGCTAGGACGGCGCCGGGCCACAGACAGACAGCACACAGAATCTTCCAAATGACGCAGCAGCGCGGATGCTCTCTGTCAGGCAAGATCTCGGCGCAGGGACTCCGGCCGGCGGGAACGGGGACTGGGACTATGTCTGCCCCAGCTCAGGGCCGCGCCCAGCACCCCGCGCCCCTCCCTCCCCCTCGCCGAGCCACGTGCCCCGCAGGAAGGGGGCCCTCACCTTCCCCTCCTCCCTCGGGATGAGCACGTTCTCGTAGCGGTTCCGGCACTGCTTGGAGGAGCGGTAGATGCGGCTGCAGGAGTTGACGACGTCGCTGACGAGGTCCCAGTTGGGCGTGTGGGCCGGGGACACGACTGTGAGGTTGAGCGGCAGCTCGAGCAGCTGCTTCACGGCCTGGAGGACCAAGGTCAGGCGCCGCGGGTCAAGGTGCTGCGCGTCAGCGGCTTCCCCGCCCTCCCAAGGGCCCTGAGGACGCAGCCAGCCCAGGCCGAGGCCCAGGACTCACCTGCAGCAGCGCCCAGTCCTCGCTGATGAGCCACTCCGGGTTGTCGGGACCAGACTCGGCGGCTGGTTTGGCAAAAGTGGGCAGAGGCTTGGCGAACTGTGTCTGCTGCTTCAACAGGATGTTCTTCTTCTGCTCCTTCCCCTCTCGGCGGATCTTCAACATGCCGGGCGTCGCGCGGTCGAACAGTGACCGCGGGGGCACCACGGCCTCCCCGTGACGCTGCTTCTTCTTCCTGCCTGCGGCTGCACGGAGAGGCTGCTTCAGCCAGCAGGTCGGCGGGGAAGGGGGGCAGCAGGGCCGCGGAGGAGGATTACCGAGGCCACCGGGAGCGCCGAACCCTCTCCCGCCACAGGAACCCACCTGACGGGTCCGTCTTGTGTCTCCGGCGCTCCTTCCTCACGTACACGGGCGGCAGCTTGGACTCCGGGATGGGAGTGCTTTCGTACATGAGACACATGACCGAGTCGATGTAGATGTCGTTGTCGTCCTGGGGGGGCGTGGGCGGCGTCCAAAGCTGCGTGCGGAAGGGAGAGCCCTGAGCCGTGTGGCCCCAGGAGCAGCCGCCCGACAGGGCGGGAGGCGGGAGGCGAGCCCAGGGACACGGGGAGGCGGGCACTCACCGGCATGACCTCCGTCTGCCCGTCGGCGCCCTCATACACGAACTCCTACAGGAGAAGGGGAGCTTTTCAGGTCCACCCAGCCCTGGCTTCAAGCTGCAGCCACCAAGCATCTACCTTCACGTCGGTCAAGTCTTGGAAATAAGCTCGCAGCGTGGCTGTCGAGAAGCCCCGCGATGCGTCTGCGCCCCGGCCAGCGGGCAGCGCGGCGGGGAACGCCCGCGCGGGTAAGGGGAGCCCTCGGGCACACGTACCGCGCGGCAGGCGTCCTCCCGGGTGTAGGTGAGCAGCTGCTGCTCGGGCTCGCGCCGTGCCCGGGCCTCGCGCTCCCGCAGTGCCCGCGCGTGCCGGGCCTCCCACTCGCCCACGGCGGCCAGCACGGCGCCCTGGAGAGACAGCGGTCGTTCCCATTGCCGCCCACGCCCCCCACGCCCCCCAGCCCTGCCCCGCCCCTGTGCTCCCGGCCCAGGCCCTTCTCTTTGTTCCCAATACGTGACCGAGGAAAACTGCACCTGCAGGTTCCTGAGGCTTCTCCCTTCCAATCAGTTTGTACACAGGTGGGTCTGGGTTTTATTCCTTTAATTCTAGGCAAGTCACACACTTAGTTCCAACCCAGTTTAACCCTGAAGAACTTGAGATTCTCACGTGTTAAGATGGTCAGAAGCTCCTTCTCTTACCTCACTATTTCTCTCCTTCTCTTGATCAGTGGAAGTATGGAATAATTCCAGGTAATTCAAAGCATACTTTTCAATTGGTGTGAGCTGTTTCAAGATGTATTTTTTGAATACGGTTAACAGCAAGTTCACAAGGATTTAGTTCCTCTTATAACCCCCCCACCAACACTTGAATCAAAACAGCGACTGTTCTTGGTCAAGATGAACAAGAAATATCTCCCAGAAGCGTCACATGTTTAAAGTATTTAGGTGCAGAGAAGCAAATGAAGTAGAAAATGCCAAACCTGTCCCATGAAGTCCGCTAACTCCTCCAGTGGCGAGGGCTCCTCGCCCCACCGGGAACCGTCGGGGCGCCGAGACCCGGGCGCCAACTCCTCTGCCGGCTCATGTGCGTCCTCCTCCAGACACTCGATGCTCTTGAGGGCCTGCAGGAAGTGCGCCCTTAGTGGACGTGACTCGGATGCGCTTTCAACACTTCAATTGAGGGGTACAGCCCTCACAGCTGACTACGTGCCCACACTGTACACCGAGCCTCCCACGGTGATGCCTGCTCTCCTCGGCCCCCCTCGCACGCCTGAGACGGCGGCGCCGCGGGCACAGGGAAAACGGGCACGCCCCCGAGAAGAGCCACAGGCACACAGGCTGACACGCACAGCCCGGCCCCCAGACTCAGAGAACCGAGCAGGATGGGGCGTCTGGCTGCATCTCACACCCGCCACCCACCACCCTGCCCCGGTCCTGACCATGAGAACAATTCTTCGTCGTGCACGAGATACAGGCCGTGGTCTGTGGTGAAGACAGAAACCAAGCCCCCAGAAAACGTGCTGCAGACGGCGACAGACACGCAAGGGTCAGTGTCACCACAGTTCAAGAAGCGCCCATTAGACTAGCAGATGCTGCACGTGCCTCTCCCGACACCCGACAGCCAGGCTGGCAAATGCAGACACACGCTCACATCGGGGTCGGGGCTGGGGGGACCCTGCAGCTGAGAGGATGTCGGTTAAGACTGGTACCTCTTTCCAGGGCAATTGGGCAACATCCGCAAAGTTTAAAATGTAACCCTTCCTCACACGATACCCAGGAAGTATTTCCAGACAGACCGTACATCTAAGTATGAAGAACAAAACACTGAAACATGGAGAAGAAAATAAAGAAGAACCTCTCTTAGAATGCAAAAGCACCAACCATGTGATAAAGATGGTCTGCTGGGTGGCATTAGGACCAAGAATTGCTGCTTGCTGAAAGACAGCATTAAAAAAGGCAAACCACAGGTTGGGAGAAGACATTTTACATGTATCCCACAAAAGCCTCGCATCCAGAATACAGAAAAAAAGCCAACAAGCCATTAAGAAAAAAAAGAATCCAGTTAAAAAAAAAAATAGGAAAAAGACACGAACGAGCACTTCATCAAAAAGCATCCACGCTGCCAATCAACGCAAAGCTCACCAGCCAGGAGCAAACTGCACTTCAGCCAGGGATGCGCCCACACTGTCCCCCACGCCTGCACCTCTGAACCGGCCCCCAGTCCAGGGTCAGCATACAGCCAGGCGATGGTCCCAACCCACATGTCCGCGGGCAGCCCGTCTCCATCCCCCTCGTCCCCCAGCCATACCTGGCCCCTACTGTCCGGACCCGGAGGTGCTGCCCCTCCACCCCTAACACTCCTCCTGGACACCGCATGGCACACCATCTCCGCAGGGTGATGGTGTGTCATCTCTCCTGTCACTAGAATAGAAGCTTTGTGGAGGACGAGAGTTCTTTCTCTCAACGCTATACCCCTTCTGCCTACAACAGTGCCCAACTCACAGTAAGATGTTCAGCCAGAACGTTTCACAGAACCTGTGTGCTGAAACACCACACTGTGCCAACATCCCAGAGATGCACTGAGAGACAACAGCAAGGGTATGTAACACACTCACATTCCTCAAACACACATGCCTTCAGGCCTCACATGTTTCTTCCACGATCCATGTAAGATATATACTTTTAAAATTTATTTATTATTTATTTATTTTTGGCTGCGTTTTTGGTCTTCGTTGCTGCGCACGGGCTTTCTCTAGTTGCGGCGAGCGAGGGCTACTCTTCATTGTGGTGTGCAGGCTTCTCACTGCAGTGGCTCCTCTTGTTGCGGAGCACGGGCTCTAGGCGCGCGGGCTTCAGTAGTTGCGGCACGCGGGCTCAGCAGTTGTGGCTCACAGGCTTCAGTAGTGGCATGTGGGCTCAGTAGTTGCGGCACGTGGGCTCAGTAGTTGAGGCACGCAGGCTCAGCTGCTCCACGGCACGTGGGATCCTCCCGGACCAGGGCTGGAACCCGAGTCCCCCACACTGGCAGGTGAGTTCTTGGACACTGTGCCACCAGGGACACCCCATAAGACTTTTAACAATGGTTGAGTGGTCACCTCCAGGACAGGTAACCTACTGTTTCCCTACTATCATTTCTGTTATGAGGTTTCTACAATCATTTCTGTTATGAGGTTTAGGTCATGCTATTTGACGTTTTTTTTAAAAAACCTGATGCACGTATCACCAATTTTTAAAAGAAAACGGTACATCTATCTGTCCCTCCTGATACCGAAACAGCTGTAAGGTACTTCTGTGCAAGTGACATTATACACAGACAACTCCTGGAAGAAAACGTGAAAGACAGCTGACAGTAGTGGTCTCTGAGAGGGAAGTGAGGGCCTGGTGCAGGACACTTACTTTTCATTATAAATTCTTGAAGGTTTTTTACCACATGCATTTATTACTTCTCAATCACTGGACAGTCAAGTTTCAAAAACAGGAGAGGAGGTGTCCTGCAGTCAAAGGCCCCCAGGAGGCAGGACGGGAGCAGGGTCTCAGGGAGGGAAGCGAGGGGCCTGACAGCAAGCGTGTGCCAGGTCTGCACAGCAGCACTGCCCCAAAGCAGCAGCGCGCGAGCCAAGCACGCAGTCTGTGACCTCAAGTGTCCAGGCCGGAAACACAGAAGGCAAGATTTCAGTTAGAATCCAAGGCGTTGTTATCTCAGCGGGTGACCAACACAGGGAGGCTGAGTACGACAGCTGCTATTCTTTTTGGTTCTGTCCTCAGAGTGGGACGTGTATCTCACACGCACGCCGGGGCTCCCTGCAGCGCGGGGCATCCTCCCCAGCAACGCTGTGACAGAGGTGCTGACACAGCAGGGTGGAGGGGTCGGGGCACAAAGTCACACAGGACGGCGAGGGGTGGCCCGAGAAGCGTGGGTGAAAACGGCGACGGTGGCAGGGTGGGCAGCGAGGCCCACACCGCTCTCTCGCGCGTCCTTCACCTATTTTTACAACTAAAATCCCCCAAGCCAAAAGCAGGGAGGGAGGGGCTGACAGGTCAGGCGCGAGCGACTGGAGCCTGGGGAGGGGGCAGCAGCAGTGTCGCAGGAGCGGAGGGCAGACCCAAAGTCCCAGACCCGACGCTGCCAGGCCGGCGCTGGCCACCCTCACCTCTATGAAAGGCCTGGCAATTTTGGGTGCGATGGTTTCTGTGACAGAAGGTTCCTGAGAAAGGACGACAAACTCCTCGGCTTTCACTGGGAAGCCAGTGTCATCCATGGGTGGATAAACCTCAAACAGCTCCTGGATCGTCCGCTGACACAGAAATGAGTAGCACTGAGCTCGAGACCTCCGTGCGTGGAAAACCGCCAGCAGCCACCCCCTCAGCCGTTAAACCCACCCGGTTCCCGTCACTGCGTGGCAACCCCGCCCCCCCGCCCCAGGCCTCCTCGTGGACGAAGGTACCTGCGTGAGGAACGCCATGGAGTAGTCGTTTCCCTGAGCAGCCACTTCTCGGATCAAATCTTTGGTTCCATTTTTCAACAATTTCTCTTCAATGGAATTGCCACTCACGAGCCTACAAACCAAATACACACGTGACAGCTAAGTCCCCGGGAGCCGAGGACGGCACGAGTGCCACGGTGCCTGGACCACCCGGCAGAACAGCACCTGCGTGGCATGGCTTGTCAGCCCCACTCTGCGCTGCTTCCTTCCTTCGTGTGGTGCCCAGAGGTGACCATGCCTGTCCCGCCTCCCGCACGGCAGGAGGGCGGGCCCCGGAGGCCCGCATGCCACCCATGCTGGCCATCCATGTACCCCACCGGCCTCCACCTGGAAAGGCCCCCAGAGGCCTCCGGACCCTCGAGCCCCGTCTCCTTCAGTGCTGATGGTGGCGGGCGGGTGCCCCTGCATCACTGTGCACCTCTCTGCACTGCGCCCCCAAATGAACCCGTGTCCAGTGGCTGCAGCCCAAGGATGCGCGTCCCCTGGCTCCTGCTTTGTGCCCCCGGAAAGCTGCATTAACCATTCCCACACCCATGATCAGCGCTTTCACTAAAAAATGATGTTAAACTTTTACTATCGCTTTGGGGAAACTTCACAATTTTACGAACCAGGTCTTCCCGTCTAAGAACTGAGCACATCCTCCCGCTGGTGACATCTCTCAGCTTATGTGCCCTTCCACGATTTTACACTCTACTTCCTACACATCCAGCACCTTTACTGCTAAGGTCATTACTGAGAGTTTACAGATTGTGTCTCCTGAGAATAAAACGTTTTCCCCCGTTTCTAGCTAGTAACTGCTAAAGGGCCAATGATAAGGAAGGGATTACACAATGAAACATTATCCATTTATATAAACAATGTATCAAATTTATATTTATTAACACAGAAATACACTCATAATATACTGTTAAAAGAAAACAGGATTAAGACTGGCTGCTGGCATGAGCCATCTAAAAAAAATCAGGGAAATGTCTGGAAAGACATACACCAAAATGCTACTAACTGCCGTCTGGGCAGGATACTTATTCTCTCCATGTGCTTTCCTTTTTTTTTTTTCTTTTTCTTTTCAATGAACAAGTAATACATTTATAATCAGGAAAAAATTAAAGCTATTTAAACACAGTGCATGGATGACGACGTCTTGATGAAAACGGCGAGGGTTACGCACGTGGGCTGGAGTCCCCGTCCCAGGCTGGCCGCCAGGGACCACACCCTCGGTGCCGACCCCACACAGAGGTGGCAGGAGCGCAGGGGAAGGGGGGCGGCGCGTGCCTGGCACACTCGGGCACCAGACGGGCAGCCAGCGGGGGCCGAGTGCTGCTGTGCTCCCCCAGTCGACACTCCCAGAGCTCAGAAACAATGGCAGAGCCTTCTCTGCTTTCCTCAACTGCGTGTGGTTGGCCGCTTATAAGATTTAAGTGCTTTCAATAGAGAATTTACAAATTGCTAACTGTTAAGTTATGATAATTTATATCTGAAAATACTTGAAACAACCTAGAACATGAAGCGCCCTCTTAAGGGTCAGGGACTCCAGGAGAAACACAAGTACCCGTCGGAAGGACAGCAGCTGCATCTCAGCAGCACGACGCAGTCACCGTTGCAAACGAACTCAGCTGCGTCCCAGGCATGCTGAGTGTAAAGAAAGAGCGCACGGGACGGCAGGAACACGCGCCTGCCTGAAGGAACGTGAACAGAGCGTGCGAGAAGCTTCTGCAGTACGCTGCAGCCCCCGGCCCAGCCGCCTGCCTCACCTGTATATGTGCACGTCCTTGCGCCGCCCGATCCGGTCGCACCACTCCTGGGCCTTGGCGTCCATCACCGGGTTGAGGTCGTGGTCGTAGAACACCACCGCGTCCGCCTCCACCAGGCTCACGCCCGTGGCGCGGCTGTGTGTGGAAAGGAGGGCACAGAAGACCCGCCGGTCCCGGTTGAAACTCCTCATCAGGTCCTGAGGCGAAATGAAACCCCGAGTTAGCATCCCTGCCAAACAACAGGCAACCTCTGACGTGTTCTGGTACTTATCAGTTAGAAATTATTCCGTAACAAAACTGTTCGGTTTGTGTTTCTTTTGACACGAGGTCCGTGTTCCAATTACACCGGACTTTAGCATTTTATTGTGGCTCTTCCGGGCACGTGCCGCATCTCTCGCTTACTGGTTGCCGACACCTCTACCCTGTTTAAGCATCGCTAGTCAGCAGGTACAGAAAGGAAAGTGTCCGACCCCACCCGACCTGTGCTGTCAGCTCCACGAGTGGGCCCCACGGGACAGCAGTCTCCCTGGGGAGGGATGCGTGCTCGTTCATGTACCCTCCGGCAATGCCAGGCGCTTTACAGCAAAAGCCCCTGGAGTAAGGCTGAGGGAGCAGCCTCCGGCCTCCCCACTCCCGCAGGGCCGCCAGCTGAAATGGCCTCATTCCCACGACTTCTCTCCTGCAATGACTTCAGCGCCCAAACAGACCTTAGCAGGTGTGACCTGCCCTCTTCCTTCAAGAAATTCTCTATGTAATTTGTTACATCACTCCGGACAGAACTTGTCACTAAGGCCGTGGTGTACCTCCTTCCAGGCCTTCTCAGCATGGGGACGGCTGCCTGTGCTGGACGGCGTGAAGTGGGTAATGTGATATACAGGCCAGCAGCTTGTCTGCACTCGGGAATGCTTTGCCTTGATACTAAAACCTGTTCTGAAACGCTGTTGAAGATGGCTTCCTAGTTCACGCTGTGGGACACTCGGGACAGGGCCAAGCCCTGTGGCACGCAGACCACTACTGACCCATTCTCCTACTCCTGGACTGGGACTTTGCTCCCAACTGGGGCTTACCACAAACATTTCCACCATCAACAACTGTGCATATGCACCTTTGAGTGCTGCTAAAGGAGAGAGCCCTAGATGCAGAATTAGCAGGTCAGGCGCATATCCTTTTTCAGGCTCACAACCCACACTGTCAGCTCGCCTTCTAGAAAGTTGTGCTAATTTGCGCCCCACCAGCAGCGCACGAGAAAGCTGCTCTCACTGTGCCTGACGGAATCAAGCAACCCTTAGCTAACCTGACAGGTAAAGAACGGGCATGTTATTTTAACCTGTAATTTTTTAACTGTAGATCAGTCTGCAGAACTTCCCTGTTTTCATGTGGCTGCCTCCCGAAGGACACCCATCTCCTCCTTGTAAGGACTGCAGGTCACCAATTTTGATTCTGAGACATCTAGCCGACTGCATTTCCCAAATAACAGGACTTACGAAAAAATATCAAAGGATGGAGCTAAAGTCCAAAGACATTAAGAAGTTCTTCCCCTTGTTTAGAAAGCATGACAACACTGAGTTTGCACAGCTCTGAGAAACTAGGTTAGAAACTGGCGATCAAAGTTAACCCAAATGAGTCATAAATGATAACAAAAGAAATGATTTATTTCCTACCTGCCGTTGTTCACTGTTGGCGTTTTCATCAATTCTTATATAGGTGAGATAATGGAAGTTCAAGAACATTTCTAAAATGTCTAACATGAGAACCATCTGCGATAAAATCAGCACTCGACGTCCTTCAGATTTCAACTTCTGAAGTAAGATAGCCAACGCTTCCAGCTTTCCTGTGAAATGAGTAACATCAACAGCGTCTCATACTCCAAAGCAAGTGCATCCGACACGGGCAGCAGTACAGACGGGGTGTCTCGTACCTGAGTCAAACTGGACCAGTCTCAGCTCGGGAAACCGCAGGGAGCGCAGAGCTGTCACCCGCTGCAGCTGCTGGGCGAAGGGCGCCGTGTGCTCCCGCAGGTAGTGTCTGAAGAGCCTCATCTTGTGGCTATAGCGGGAGGGCGGCCTCGCCACCCACAAGCACGGGGGCGCGGCCACCACCGGCGGGATCACGCACACCACCCTGAGAAGCAGAAAGCACATGTGTCACAGGTGGCGCACCTGGGGTGTCTCCGCCGAGCGGCCCCTCTGTCTCAGGCAGCGAAGGCTTGAGAAGGAAGAGGGCAGAACCACCTGGCAGTCGGGAGTCACCAGGGCAGCCAGAGCGCCTAGCTCCAGTCACCGGGCTGCTGGACCACACTATCACAGCAACCACGGGGGCGGGTCCCGACCAGTCCCGGCCAGTGAGGGCTACCCAGATCAAAATGAACAGCGCAGGGCACCCCCCAGGGCAGAGGGATGGGTGCAGAGGCAGCCTGCCATCTTCGGATGGGAATTCCGGAATGCAGGCAATTCTGTCGCCTGGACGGTCTGGGGGAGGATGTGAGCCCTGAAGCTGCTACAGCCACCGTGCCACCAGAAAGGGAGCCAGACTTGGGAGGAGGGGCCCCGCAGAGAGCAGCACCATGACGACTCAGATGAGCCATTACAGCCAACCTGACACCCACCTCCCAACCTGCAGGCACCACCTGCTCCAGAAAAGCCCTCATTCTGGGACTCAGCACAAGCCGGGCTTGCATGATGACTTGCTACCAACTGCATGCAAACTACAAAACCACTTATGACCAAAGCTCTGATCAATGAAATCAAAGAAGCACTAAATAAATGGAGAAATATTCCATGTTCATGGACAGGAAGATCCAATACTGTCGAGATGTCAGTTCTTCCCGACTTGATCTAGACGGTCAATGCAATCCCAGCCAGCTATTCTGTAGCTACCAACCGACTGAATCTAAAGTTTATATGGAGAAGCAACTGCCCGGAAGAGCCAACACGATACTGAATAAGAAAAAGTTGGAGGACTGGCACTACCTGACTTCAAGACCTACCAGAAAGCTACAGTGATCAACAGCACGGTACCGGCAAAAGAACAAGCAAACAGATCAATGGAACACAACAGAAAGCCCAGAAAGAGGCTCTCATAATTACAGTCAATTGACTTTTGGCAAAGGAACAAAGGTAACACAAGGGAGCAAAGACAGTCTTGTCAACAAATAGTGCTAGAAGGCTTCCCTGGTGGTGCAGTGGTTAAGAATCCGCCTGCCAATGCAGGGTACACGTCTGAGCCCTGGTCTGGGAAGATCCCACATGCCGCAGAGCAACTAAGCCCGTGCGCCACAACTACTGAGCCTGCACTCTAGAGCCTGTGAGCCGCAACTACTGAAGCCCACGCGCCGAGAGCCTATGCTCTGCAACAAGAGAAGCCACCGCAACGAGAAGCCTGCGCACCGCAACGAAGAGTAGCCCCTGCTCGCCGCAACGAGAGAAAGCCCGCGCCCAGCAGTGAAGACCCAACGCAGCCAAAATAAATAAATATTATTAAAAAAAAAAAAGAACTGTTATCCAAAATACACAAAGAACTCTTAAAATGCAACAATAAAAAAACAAACAACCTGTTTTAAAAATGGGCCAAAGACCTTAGGAGACATGTTACCAAAGGTATACAGATGACAAATAAGGATATGAAAAGATGCTCAACATACATACCATCAGGGAAATGCAAATTAAAACAATGAGATACCACCACACATCTATTAAAACAGCCAAAATCCAGACCACTGACAACAGCAGTTGCTGGCGAGGCTGTGGAGCAACAGGAACTCTCGTCAGTGCTGCTGGGAGTGCAGAACGGTGCGGCCACTTTGGAAGGCAGTGTGGCGGTTTCTAACAAAACCAAACATTCTCTCACCGTGTGATCTGGTAATCACGCTCCTTGGTATTCACGCAAATGAATTAAAAGCCATGTCCACACAAAAACCTACACGTGGGCGTTTATAGCAGCTTTATTCATAATTGCCAAATCTTAGAAGCAACCACGTTGTCCTTCAGTAGGTGAACGTATTTAAGCAGACTGTGGTGCTTCCAGACAATAGAATATTATTCAGGGCTAAAAAGAAATGAGCTATTAAGCCATGAAGAGACAAGGAGAAACCTTAAGTGCCTGTTCCTACGTGAAAGAAGCCATCTGAAAAGGCTGCCTACTCTATGTTCCGACTATCTGACATTCTGGAAAAGCAAAACTATGGAGACAGTGAAGATAAGTGGTTGCCAGGGTTTCGGGCGGGGCTGGGGCAGAGGGACGAATAGGCAGAGCACAGCGGGGTTTCAGGGCAGTGAAACTACTCTGTATGATCCTCTAACGGCAGGTGCGCGGCACTACACACTTGTGCGAGCCCACAGAACACCCAAGGCCAAAAGCACAGCCCCCAGTGCACCGCGGACCCTGGGCGCTGACGATGAATCACCGGAGGCGCGTGGGCTGTAACGAGCGCTACTCCGGCGCGGGGTGCTGACGGTGGGGGCAGCTGGGGGAAGGCGGGAGCCCTGCGCGCCTTCCCCTCGGTTTTGCTGTGAACCCGAGACTGCTCTAACAAACAGCCTCTGTCTTAAAAAGTCATCTGTAACGTCAGAGGAAAAAGAGGAAAGAAAGACAAGTCGGCATCCGAAGCAAGACAAGTGCGCGGAGGGCGGCAACCTCCCTACACAGTGAAGCAGGGAAGAGCTCCCCTCGGAGGCCCGGAGGCCACGCCCAGTTCCATCGTTTCCATTATTGCTGTTCCTGATCTGAGAGGCCTAAAGAGGACACACCCTGAAAGCTGAGCCTGGGCAAACAAAACAGAAGGGAGAGGAAATACCCTCAGGCTGAACCTAAAAATCAGGCCAAAGCAGTGAATGAAGCTGCAAGCAGGGCCTGACACTCTACGTGGGGCAAAGAGAGACCAGGACCCGGGTCTGGCCGGGGAGGGGCTGATACCGCCGGTGGGCCCCAACAGCGTCTGGGCTTCTGTTTCTCTCTCTCTCTCTTTTCTTGGCCTTACTGGGCAGCATGAAAAACTTCCCCGACCATGGATCAAACCCACGTCCCCAGCAGCGGAAGCGTGGAATCTTAACCCCTGGACTCTTAAACACATGTTTCTCATCATGCAACGGTAAATCATTCCTGTGGTTTCTTAATAAAATATTGTTATTGGGCTTCCCTGGTGGCGCGGTGGTTAAGAACCCACCTACCTGCCAATGCTAAGGGACACGGGTTCGAGCCCTGGTCCGGGAAGATCTCACATGCCGCAGAACAACTAAGCCCGTGCGCTGCAACTACTGAGCCTGTACTCTAGAGCCCGCGAGCCACAACTACTGAAGCCTGCATGCCTAGAGCCCATGGTCTACAACAAGAGAAGCCACCGCACTGAGAAGCCTGCGCACCAAAATAAATGAGAAGCCAAAAATAAATAAATGAGCAAATTTTAAAATAATAATAATATTTTTCTTCTTTTTTTTTTGGCTGCATTGGGTCTTCGTTGCTGCATGCGGGCTTTCTCTAGTTGCGGCAAGCGGGGGCTACTCTTTGTTGCGGTGCGCAGGCTTCTCATTGCGGTGGCTTCTCTTGTTGCAGAGCACGGGCCATAGGCGTGCAGGCTTCAGTAGTTGTGGCTCGCGGGCTCTAGAGCTCAGGCTCAGTAGCTCTGCGGCATGTGGGATCTTCCCGGACCAGGGCCCGAACCCGTGTCCCCTGAATTGGCAGGTGGATTCTTAACCACTGCACCGCCAGGGAAGTCCCTAAAATATTATTTTAAAAGAGCAAAATGGAGAAAGCGGTCTACAACACAATGGTCTGGCCCCCAGCCCTGAATGAGCACGGTGCTGTGCTCTGCACACAGGCCCAGGCCCGTGGGGTACAGAACTGATCCGCAGGGAGGGGCACACAGGCTCCCAGAGGGTGGAGAGGCCATCTGGCGCCAAAGCTGAAGACTCTAAAACAGATTTCGGACAGACTCCAAGGGACAACCCGGGTTTGAAACTTAGAGGAATGAGATCAGCGTCCACAGAACAACAAAAGCTGCTTGGGTGCGACACAGCGACTGAGTAAAGAACGCTTACAGCATGCTACCATACCTGTCCATGACGTCCTGGAGGGATTCCTGACGTTGAGTCAGGGTCAAAATCAGGTCCCTGCGAGTTGTCGAGGGTGGCGTGTACCGGCTCGCGGGCCCAGCCCCCTTCCCATGACCTCCATCAGGAGCCCCGAGCCAAGGCAACTGCCCTCTGCTGGGCAGGGAACAAAGCCCCAACAGGTCTCTGCCGTAGACAGGGCTGCGAGAGCAGCGCCGTTCGTTGACAAAATAAATCTGGTCCAGCCGCTCTTTCAAAAGTCTGGTCTTTTCCTCCTTCATCAAAAACAGAGATGAAAACGGTTACTGAGAAACAGCACGGCCAGTTCCCGGCCTCACCAAGCCCCACGGGTCCCTCACGCACGGTGACCGGCCGCAGAGCACGCTTAGACATGCGGGCCCTGGCTCCACAGGAAACAGTGACAGAAAAGAGAGCAGAGCAAATGGGCGCCGTTTTCTCTGCCAACGTGTAAAGTACTTCTCGAGACACAGTGAGCGTTTCTAATGCCTGGAAGACCAGTAGAAGAATACAAAAAAATGTGAAAGGGCATTTTTGCAATCCTAAAGCCTGGTTTCATCTCTTTTAGTAGGAAAAGCGTCTTTAAGATCAAGATTCTCTAATTTAGAGAGACAGCGTGTTTTTAGCAGCAGATAAATTGATGCTGCCTCGCAGAAGCGGTTAAGTATCACAACGCTCCCGAGTGACAAGCAGCTCCCGAGAACGACTTCCGTGCATGCAGGGGTGGCGCTGGCACCGTGTGCTGGGGTCTGCTGCCCCGTACCTGGGTCGGCCCGGCGACGGGAGAGGCTGGCTTGGAGGCCACTCCAGGTTCTCCTGCGGCCAGGGGACTGACTGCCAGTCGGCTGGGCACACCCACTACAAAGGCAAAAATGAAGGGTTGGCATACAAAACTACCGGCAACACTCTCCGGAACATCGTCAGCTTTCACTAGCACGTTTCTGGAGTGGGTCGACCGTTCACAACCACCAGTGAAGTGCTCTCCCGCTCTCTGGCCAGGGTCTGAGCTGAGCGCCGCGATCTGCCTCCTTCCTTTGGCAGTGCCCGGCGTGACCTCAGACCCGCGGTCACTGCCGTCACTGCGCCAAGCAGCAGCCACGCGGGCCCAGTGCTCCACTGCCCTTGGCATCTCGGCAACATTGACCTGCGTGCCTGGGACAGAGGGATGCCTGGGCCACACGCGGCCTGCTCCCATCAGCCACGCCACACTGCCCGTCTGACAGAGGCTCCTCCGCAAGGGCCTGCGGAAGAGGTGGCTGAGGGCCGAGAAGGGGTCACTTGCGGGGAGCGACAGAGAAGGGTCGAGGTGACTAGAACCCAGTGGCCGGACTGGTGTCAGGTCGGGAAGCTGGGGCCCGCAGAGCAGGACTGAGCGCCCTCCGGGGAGGGTGCTGACACAGCTGGTTCCAGGAAGCAGGAAGAAAGCCTGAAGAACAGACCAACCGAGTAGAGCTGCACGGCCTGGCTGGGAGGTAGAGCGGCCGCCAGGCGATGCTGCCAGCCTCATGGTCCCTCCAGCACCCACCTACTGACAGAGCCCAGTGGGGACGGGGTGTAGAGGCCCCACCCCAACGTCACCACAGACGACCCAGGGCCTGGGGCTGGGCAGTGACCAGGGATTCCACTTGAGAGAGGTCCCTGCCGCTTGCATACATCAACCCAACCCAAGTGCCCGTGCCTGATGTTTGCAGTGTGGGTGTGTCTGGAGAGCAGGGGACCCTGGCGGGAAGCAGGCTGCGGAACAGGCAAGGAGGCACACTGGCCGCAGACAGGTCCAGGTCCAAACCCTGCTCCGTTACCTGTCCAAGAACTTCTAGCACGTGCCCTAAATGTATCTGTAACATTAACAAGCAAAATTTCTCATGATTCCAAGTTTCTTGTCAGAGCAAAACCAAATCAAACATCTAAAGGCTGAGTGAGGGTGGTTATGCTCGACCATTACCTTTGGGAGCAAAAGAGAAAGAAAAGAAACCAAGCTGACACGGGCCATCTATGGAAATCAGAGGCGGCCACAACTGGGACTACGGGTTCTGAGGCATCACAGAAATCATCCACGCTCCCCACTTGCCTCAGAAGCAAAGAAAGTCAGAAAGAAGTTTCATGGACTTCCCCGGTGGCGCAGTGGTTAAGAATCCGCCTGCCAATGCAGGGGACACGGGTTCGAGCCCTGGTCCGGGAAGATCCCACATGCCACGGAGCAACTAAGCCCACGCGCCACAACTACTAAGCCTGCACTCTAGAGCCCGCGAGCCACAACGACTGACCCCACGTGCCTAGAGCCTGTGCTCTGCAGAAACAGGAGCCACTGCAACGAGAAGCCCGTGCACCGCAACAGAGATAAATAAATAAATTTATAGAAAGATAGAAAAGAAAGAAAGAAAGGAAGGGAGGAAGGAAGGAAGAAAGGAAAGAAAGGAAGAAAGGAAAGAAAGAAAGAAAGGGAAAGGAAGGAAGGAAGGAAGAAAAGAAGTTTCAAAACCAAGCCTCCTTCCGGCTCACAGCACTCTACCTGGCGGGGTCATGGGTGCGGGGCTTGGGCCGCCAGCTGGGGGCTTGCTTCCCAGGGCGTTCAGGGCCCCCGCCTGAGACACTGTCTGCATCACCACGGGGCCTGGAGGTCGCAGGTAGGACTGCCCAGGCGCGGACACAATCTGGAGGACGCTGCCTGCAATCACACATGCATGGGGGTCAGTCACGAGCCAAGTGTGCCTTCAACCCCCAGGCTACACCCACTTCCTAAGGTACAGGAACAAGGCAATAAACCGTAAATCCAAAATCAAATTTCCTCCAATGAGGCAATGCCAAGTTCAGTTACTTGGAGAAAAATGAAACTATTTCATTCACAATGAATGAAAATGCCAAGGATCAAAGTCACTTGGCTTAATGTCAAGAAAAGCTCCTCTACTCCTTGCGCTGCCTGACTGATCTCGGGTAATGCAGCGAGTACCCGCTCAGCACCTGTCACGTCTGCTCGAGGCCTGAGGCAGTCACGGGTTGGAAGGTCCCAGCTCCAAGATCACGTACTGGGTGCCTGCCAACCAGACAAGCTGGATGAAGAAATACCGAAACACTCAGGTTTTTTTAGCCCAGATGCTGTGGCTCTATAGCCACTGTTCCAGGAGCCTGCCATTTTCAACCTCTCTGTGATTAAGTCTCCTGGCATCTTTTGCTCCGGAATCGTCCTCTACAAAAACTAGAGTTCACCAGAAGTTTTAAGAGATGACCTCACCCCTTTGGTCAAAAAACCAGAGAAATATGGAATAAAACCAAATGAACCCGTTTCTTTGTGGCGGGTTTCCTGGGGGCCTCTGCTCTGCTGAGGTGCGTGTCCCCAGCGTCCACACAGAGCACCCCAGACCTGGCTGACAACTGAACCTTCCTCCCCGATGAGAGCCGTGAACGACGACGCGTCGGGGGAGGCTGCCTGGGGAGGTGGCCGGATCCCCCTCTGGGTCCTACCCTCCAGCAGAGTCACTGAGGGTTAACATGAACTAAACTGCATCCCCTCGTTTCCTCCGAGAAGCAGTTACTACACGAACACAGTGCTCTCAGCCAAAGGCATGGGAGGGTTTTGGTCTGGAAGTTTTAAAATCTGCACATAAAAGAAAATAATTTCTCCTACATAAATTGCTGGACCTTTGGCACTTTTAGGACAATTTACCTCACAATGAAATTTGAAAGGAGGAAATATTTCTATTTTGATTTTTAAAATAGGAAACTTTATTCAAACGGCAGATTTTATTTAAGAACGACTATCCTCTATTTAACGTGTGTCAAGGGCCAGGCCACCAGGTGATTTGCCCGCTATCTCCCAAGTCCTCTGAACACCAACGAGGTGAGACTCATTAAGGCCATTTACAGGTGAAGCACCTGTGCTTAAGGGGGCCAAAGTCACAGCTGCAGTGGGGAGCTGCCGGGACGCCCTGGCTTAAAGCCTTCGTGGGTCACCACCCGTCAGCGAACCCTACCTTGGAGCTGCAGGGGCTGGCCGGCTGTCAGCTGCCGCAGCTGGCTATGTGACAAGGTGAACTTGTTGCCCTGGAACTGAAGCGTCACGGGGCTCTCCGGCTGGGCGACTCGGCTCGGTGGGCCCGCGAGGGAAGCCAGCTGGGCTATTTTGACCACCTCCCCACCTGCGGAGACGCAGAGCAGACGAGAAAGAAAACTCTTGGGAAGAGTTTTCGATTGCTATACTGACGATCACTTGTCACAGAGAATGACCGTCTGTAGCAAACTGAAGTGTCACAGAAACATTTATTGGGTATTTCTAACACTTTCAGAAAATATTTTAATAGAAAAAAAAAACAATTAAAATTAACACCAGATTTTAATGGTTAACTTCATCATAACTGGTAGAAATTTTAGAGTATCAGATATTAATATAATTAACCAAGCCCTTAAGGAACATTTTGCTTTTCTTTCCAGGCGATAAAAAAGTAGCAAACGTCAGAAGTAGCGGAAATGTATTGGTCATACACTTTGAAACTCTCATATCAACCTCTCAACTTCAGAATCCTTTCAGAATGTGAGAAAGTACATGTCCGATTTAGCTCACAGAGATAAACAAGATTTTATCACTATAGATATAAAATAGAGAACTAGCTTCAGTTATACTCATAACCTTTTCAAAATGTGGAATGTATTTAAGTACATAAATACATCACACTTTATGATACAGTGTTTCACACTAATTTGAACTAGATTGTAGGATTCGGTCTGTAATTTTAACTGAAAAAATGGAAGATTTAACACTGCTTAAAGCATTTTTTTTCTAAAAAAAACAGAACTCAGATGGAGTCATATGCACCTCACTCAAAAAGGTACCACCTTCAAACTGTAATTCAATGATAGCTTTAAAGGCTTTTTTTTTTTTTTTTAAACCCAATGGTTGATATTCGAGTCTAGATGTTCCTCCCATGAAAATTCAGGCCAGAATTAGTAGTGATGCTATAGAGGAGAGTTAACAAAAGGCGAGGAAAACATCCAAGGGTATCTTGCCCACAGAAACCATAAACAGGAAGGGAAAACGGAAAAAGAGATGCAGAGATCTGTGCACAGAACTACGACTCTCCCACAAGCCCTCCTCAGTCCAGAAGTGGAGGCATGAAAGGCGGCCTGACCCTGCGCCCCCCAAGCACGGCTCCTGGGTACACCCCCGGGACTCCTACCCCTGGCCCAAAAGAAAGAAAAACCGCAATGTATGCAAGGGCCCTCCTCCCCTGGGCAATGAACCAGGGTAAGTGCTTCACATTTGCTGGCACGAAAGACAGGCTCATCACAAGAGAAAACTAGCCTGAACCCGGTGTCTCCTCATGACACTACTACTCTCTCTCTCCTGTCTCTCCAGAAAGGCCTCAACACAACTTGTGCCAACCGATAAAGTGCTCCAGGTGGCATCTGAGAAATGGTGTAGCCCAGGACAGTTTCCATCAGGGTACTTCCAACAGCAGGATGGACAGAGGTAGTACCCTAATCGCACTGGTCACAATAAAAAGTTCTATTTAAAAAATGTAAGAAGGTTGCGATGTTTCAGTGAGTGATTACAAAATGTCTCACTTGAGCAATAGTCATTCCAGATTTAAATTTGGTAATAAGCAAGAGACTAAAAGGAAGTCGAACCCTAGTTCACAAGGCTTTCGTTTTATTGCCCTTTGCTCTCCGAGGGGCCCTGGAGGCTGACGGGACAAACCCGTGGCTCACAAAGGAGAAGTGCCATCCTCGGCCACTGAGGCAGAGCACGAGCACGGGAGAGAAGCAAAGCTGACGGATGGGGTCAGAAGGAAGGACAGAGAAAGGACAAGACCCTGGACTCCGGCCCTGAGCGGAGCCCTCCCTCTGCAGATTTAGGGCTGGAAAGGACAGCGTGGCGAAAGGCAGCACCGGACACGGGGTCGGGGAGACAAAGGGAGTGGACAGCAAGGCCCTTCACACGCTGCTCGTGTGAACGCAATGTCCTTGTACAAAGAGGTGGCAGACCCAGGAGAGGCGAAGCCACTTACTAGGCAGGCGCGCCTGGGCCTGCGAGGTGAGCACCAGCCCCTGAGGCAGCGCGCTCTGCCCGGCCGGGTGCGAGGGGGCCTGGGGCTGGGGCTGGGGCGGGCCCGGGGTGGAGGCCGGGGCAGTGGTTTGAGCCCGCAGTTTCACAGGATGGGCTGGGCTAGGTGCTGTGCTGAAGGTCGAGGCGGGCTGGTGTCTCGGAGCACCGGTGGAGGCCTGAGAGGTCTGAAACGGGGTTGCTGGCGCTGCAATCGATAAGGTTGGTTTGTGCAAAGCTGTTAGAGGTTCTTCAGAAAATGCAGTATTAAACCCGAATTTTAAAGAAATAAAACAAACATTACTTCATACCGCCTCCCAAAGGAGACGCCCTCTCTAAAAAGGGGGGTGGGTGGTCTACAGGATGAGAGAAATCTAATTTTTTATCCGTCGTTAACTATTGATATTTTCACTTCGAGTCCACCAGTCCACGACACGGTGCGTTTCTGGAGTAAACGGGAGAGTCACAAGCCGGCCCCTTCGGGCGTGTCCGTGAGAACCACATCTTAACAACGCACGGAGGTCAGGCAGCGCTGGCGTCCCCAGCTGCACGAAGAGCTCTTGCAACAAGCAGCTCTGGCATTTATGAACATCTCAGAAAAACACAGGGGACTTGACATTGAGGACCCCGTGGATTAGGGTTAGAAGACAATTTTTATTACCTTTTCTGCCAATTAACCCTATCCTTCTTCAAGTAACAATCAGGTTACATTGAAGCGGTGGCCCAGAACACAAAAGCAGACTTCCTCAGAAGTTTCATAAATGACTTTGACACGCGTTTCCCGACATAAAAGAGAACGTTTCTGCCGAGGTACATCTTCCCCATCACATCAACAGTAACTCAACTAAGAAGGGGATATCTTATACAGTTCAAAGACATAAAAAAAAAAAAGCGTAAAACTCACGTGAGAACTACACATGGTCTCCTGGGCAGAGCCAGGGTGCACGGTCCCACTCCCGCTCAGAGGAGTGGTCACACGTCCCCACGGGGCCAGGGAAGCACGAAGAACTTCTTCCACAAAAACCCTCTGCGGTGCCGAGCACACCCCCACGAGAGGCATACCTTTTGCATCCGGATTTGCAGAGAACGTGGCGATGGGCGGCCGTCCTCGAACGTGGCCCTGTGGCGTGGCAGTGGCTGTGGGCGTGGCCGTCCGGGGTGGGTGTGTGCTGGGGAAAGCCACGGTGCGGCCCTCGGGCTTCTGGCCGTACTGCACGGGCTGAAACAACCTGGACGCCCGAGCGCGGGCAGGAAGACACGAGCACTGCTGAGACGCGGCAGGCATGGTCTCTTGGCTGGGCCCCGGGGATACAGGGCTGCCCCGCGGGCAGTGGGGTTCCCGCACCCTGGGTGCAGTTTAAAGGGGGGGGGTTTCTAAATGCTGTGCTAAGAAGCAGCGCTCACCAGGGGCCCTGAGGGAGGTGCTTAGTACCTAAAGATGGTACATCTACCCCAACGCTCGGGCGATGCAGGGGTGAATGTGATCAAGTTCCCGTGAACGTGGACTAGAAAAACTGCTTCTAACACATAAAGTCCATTCTACTACTCTTTTGAATAAGAGTAAAGTGGGGTGAAAAGTCAACTTGCACACCTAGGTAACAAGGCAGTACAGGAAATGGAGAGAATCAGCAGAAATGGTAAAGGCACCCCACAGGCACCAGTGGGTAAAACTGTGAAGGGGGATCCACACCATGGCTGCTTTGTCCGACTTTATCACAAGCAACATGCTCCTCCTATTTCTTTAACCTGGAAAACCATGATGGCAGGACTTCTATATCAAAACCCCTGTGCAATGCGCAGCCAGCAGAAAGCCACTAAACGAGGCCGGGCCAACCCCAAGAGGACTGCGGCTTCGTTGCCCTGGCCATGTGTTTAACTGAGGGCTGCAGGCTCCTGTGAGTGTGGGCCAGGCAGCTGAGGCGAGGGTGGTCGGATCCAAGTCGCCAGGGAGGTCACGCAGAGAAAAGGCAACAGCAATGGGCTGCCATCTGCAGAGCCGGCCCGCTCCTCTCGGAAACACCTGTCTGCTTTTCCTCTCGGAAACGCCTGTCTGCTTTTCCTCTCGGAAACGCCTGTCTGCTTTTCCTCTCGGAAACGCCTGTCTGCTTTTCCTCTCGGAAACGCCTGTCTGCTTTTCCTCTCGGAAACACCTGTCTGCTTTTTCTTTGTTTTTAGCTGGAGCACAGAGTTGTGCACAAATCCGGCTGCACGGGTGTGACCTGTCTTGAATCACGTGTTTCGAGTTCATCCATCTGCACGCACCGCTCCTCCCAGTCTCGTGGCACCTGCATCATGTCCCTGGAGGCCCTTGATGCTGCAGTCAGGGGTGGAGCCTCTGCCAGACCTCAGGGTCCAACCGCGCCCCCCCGCAGTGCCCCCCTGCCCTGACGGCTGCCACCACACCCGCACCAGGTCAGAGGCAGCCTGACCACCCTGCCCCTGACCACCTCCCCAGGCAGAGCCCTCCCAAAGGCCAACGCTTCTTCAAGATGATGAAAAGAGCCTCTCCTACGCCCTGCACACCCCTGCTGTTTATCCCAGGATCCAAGGACATCTGGGTAATTTCCAGGAGAAGCAGATAGCCAAATTAGATGATTAGCCTTTCTTTTGACAGGCTGTAGTCCCAGTTCTCGTGTGGAGCTCCAACCTGGTGGTCCCAGGTCTGCCCGAGAGGCTGCGGGGCCGGGGTCCCTTTCAGCAGGAGAAGAGGGGATGCCACCCAGACCCCACGACACACAACCAGCCAGGACCCAGCCAGGGCCGGCTGCTGAGCAGGAAGTGACGCTCCACACCACACTACACACCTGCTGGGCTTCAGTCTGACAGCCGCTGGCCTGCCCGATGGTGGCGGCGCGGTGAACAGCTCCTCGAAGAGTTTCCGTGTCACCTTCTTTTTACCCAGCAGTTCTGACTCGTGGCGAGTCATTTTATTTTCTAAGCCAATAAGATCAAATATAGAAAGGTCGGTTTCCTAAGGAGAAAAAGAAAACAATTTTGCTACAGGAGGCAGGAAGAGCTGACTAGGAATTCAAGTCGATTCCAAACCGGGAAGGCCAGGCCCCGAGCAGCCGTCTTGCTGCGAGGCACCCGCCGGACCTCGGTGTGCTCAGTTCCCCAACTTAAAGAAAGGTGGGAGTGATGGCACGTGGTCATCCCGAGTGGCAGTGGGAAAGGAGAGGGTGGCACTTAAGAGACAGACTAGACTCAGCAGAGAGGGACGAGCCTGGAAAACGCTCGTCTAAACGGACGGAGATGCTCGGCCTCGTTGGGGAGGCTGAGGGAGAGACCCCAGCGTGCTGGTGCAGGTGCAGCGGGCGTGCGGCACGTCGCTATGTCCGGAGCCCTGGGGATGTTCACTCCACCTGTGCTTCTCTCAGACGTTCTCACCCCCACCAGGATGGCGGGAATCAAAGAGGATGGACAGCAGGTGTGGGCAAGGATGTAGAGACGTGAATGCCCCCACCCCCTCACACCCTGGTGGGGATGGGAAACCTGGCAGCCACCATGCAAGGCAGTTGATCCAAAGGTTAAACATGGACTCTACACGTGACCCTGCAACTCCTTGCCCGTCAGACATGCGCCCAAGAGGAGCCCCACAAGAAGGGAGCCCCACGCCCACGCACAACTTGCACACACATGTGCACTCACAGGGGCCAAAAAGCGGAGACCCCCCAAGTGCCCATCAGCTCGTGGACGGACGGACACACTGCGGTCCATCCAGACAATGGGGGAAGGAGATTCTGACACAGGCTGCAACGTGGATGAACTCTGAAAATATCATGCTCAGGTGACGTGAGCCATTGATATAAAGTATCTGGACCTGGTGAATCCACAGAGACAGATGCAGGTAAGTGGCTGCCAGGGCTGGGAAGGGGAGGGGGAATGGGAACGACAGTGCGTGTGGATTTTCTCTTTGGGGTAATGAAATGTTCTAGTATTAGTGGCGATGGCTGTTGTACAACTCTGTGAATATACTCAAACCAACAAACTGTGCGCTTCAGAACAGTGAGCTTTACGATAATGAGCTACCTCAGCAACACTGTTTTTAAAATGAAAACACAACATAAAAACTACTATCCATGAAACACCTCCCCGCCGCAGTGGTATCTTGAGGTAGCCTGCTTCTGACACAACTTTATCCCCCATGGCTCAATTTTTCTTTAACTCAACGAAAAACTCATCCCTACCTGAAAGTAATACTATAGATCAACTACACTCCAATAAAAGAATAGTAGGCATAGTGGTAGGAATCACATTCATCACGTAACTCACCACATACTACTGCTTACCAACCAGGCCCTTCCTCAGACCATCACGTACATTAATTAACCGATTCCTCACGACTTCCCGGTGTGGTGAGGAAACCGAGGCAGACTGACCACCCGAGGCCGCACTCCTCATGGGGCAGAGCCGGGACGTGAGCCCCTGCAATCTGGCCCCAGGGTCCCTGTCCCGTCCACACCCTGAACCTGCACAAGCCTATCAAAGCCACAGAGCTGGTTCCTGTTTCTCCGCATTTGTGAGACCTCGGTCCCTGGTCCTCTGGGGTAGAGACAGCCAAGGAGAACTCAGGCACCAGCCTGCCAGCGGCCGGCTGGTCTGGGCAAGCTCTCAGCCTCCTGCGTGGAAGCCAGAGCAGGAACGACGGCCCCTGAGGGCTCGGCCCTGCCCTGCTGAGAGCCACACGCTCAGCACACTTGTGCTCAGAATCACCCAACCTAACCCAATCTCTTTTGTTTTAAAAATTTTGGTTTTGGAAAAACTTTCCAAAATTACCCCAAAATTCAAACACAGAAAGGTATACAACTCTATTTTTTTGGTCCAAAAATAACCGAGTTTCCCCACCTAGGGACAGTTACTAACATTTTAACAGAAAGGCCCCCACAGGCCTCAGACGGTGTGCGCACGTGTGAGGACACCCCCGCGGTCCCGCAGTTCCGAGCCCTGCTCTCCTCCACATGCTCTGCCATTTCTCAGGGGCCAACGGTCAGGCGAGGAAAACCCTCCCTGCTCCTTCACACTGTGGGCTCACCCCTCGGGGCCCATTCCAAAGCGGGTTCGAGGTCGCGGGGAAGGCCCATTACGCCGCCACTCGATGCTGCCCAGCATCAGGCGATGGCGAAACGCAGGACGCAAGTTAGTGGAGACCGACGTTCCGGAAGCACCCAGAACAGACCTCAGGCAGAGCCGCCCGCACCCTCTGCGTACCTTCCAGAAGTCTCGGTCAAGCGCCTTCAGGATGAGCGAGGCCGAGCGGCACTGCAGCGGCCCCGCCGTGTAGGAGGACTCCGGGAGCCGGGGTGCCACCAGCCCGGGGTGGTTGCAGATCCTCTGCAGCCGCAGGAGGATGCTCAGCACGTCCACAAAGCGCCCGCTCTTCAGAGCTTCCTGCGTCCTGTGCGTGGGGAGAGACACAAGCACTGCCTTGGCTGCGAGCCCGTGCCGGCTGGGCTCCACAGACACGCAGTCGGCGCGCTCTCCCCAGACCTGGCTCGCATGGCAACGACATCCGGACCCACCTCTGTGCGGTGAGGGTTCTCAGACTCGCTCACCACCCCCGTGACACAGGATGGGCAGCCGGAGAGCCAGGGCGCACGGCAGACGGGAACAGCCCTCCTCGCCTCCCGCGACAGGGACGACGCCATTCTCCACGGCAGCCATGACGAGCGTCGGCAGGCAGTGGCGGGGTGAGAACACCCGGCCTGGGGGAGAAGGCCCTCGAGGGGCAGAGGTAAGAGTGACTGGACGGGGTGGTCCGGCGAAGGAGGAGACCCACAGGCCTGACACCGCGCCGGCGCCACGGGGGCCACGGTGCGGGGACTGCATGGAGGCCAGCTGAGACCTCCAGGCTGGGGGCCCCCAAGGGCGGCCGCAGAGCACAGCGCGCCCAGCGGGCGAGGCAGGAAGGAGCCGTGCAGCGGGGCGGGCAGGGACTCGCGAGCAGAGGGGGAGCAGAGGGGACGGCAGGACGGGAGGACAGCCTGGACGGTGGAGCACAGCATCCTGAGTCAGGCAAGCCTAGCGGAGAGGCACGTCTGGGGAAGCCAGTCCCGCACACGTGGGATCTGCGGTGCCTGGGGACAGCTCAAGCCGCCACAGGGGGACGCGGTCAGCCCGGCGGCCCAGGCAGCTCCCGCCAGGACGGAGCGAGTGGGCGCAGGGGTGGAGCGGGGTGGGGTCGGGGACGTGGACGGCGCACAGGCGGTGCCAGAGAGCAGAAGGGGAGAGGGGAGGGCGGCCGTTCAGAGGCCAGCGATATGTGTCCGGATGAGACAGGAGAGAAAACACGAGACCAAGAAAACTGCAAATGGAGGCTCCTGAGGGGCTGAGCTCAGAGCCTGCCGGAAGGACTGTAACAGAAACCAGGAGGAGGTGGCGCCACCACAGGCGGGTCTGCAGGGCTCTCTGGGAAGGCGGTAGAAACGTGTGACACGGTCGCCACGCAGAGGGCAGGAAGGCGCTGACCAGGAGTGACGTTCAGAGCCCATTCGAGGACCCCGAGACCATCGTGTCAACATGCACCGAGGCGTGCGGGGCACGCCCGGGAGCCGCCGTGGGGTCAGCACAGGCCTGCTTATGGCCCTCCTTGACTTGACCAACAGGCCCGAGAGAAAGAGGTGCAGGGACCTAAGACAGGGAATCTCCCCGCTGCTCCATCGGGACCTTGCGGCACAGGACAACCTAGGCTCTGCTGGCCCAGTGGTTCCCAGATGCAGGGGCCTCTCCTATGAGCACACAGAGAGCATCCCACACTCGACAAGCGGGACCAAGGTCATCACTGCCAAGCGCAACCCAAGCGACGTACCACGTCACGCCACCAAAGAGCGACACGGCAGGCGTCCCGAGGACGCCGGGGCTCTGTCTGTCTGGGTGAAGGGATGCCCTGGCCACATGAGCCCGCGCCTGCTGGTCCAGGACCCGCCCTCTGCACACGCTGTGATTCTCTCCGGATCAGCACGGGCTGAGACAGCTGACCGCCAGCAGGCGCCAGCCGTGCCGCGGGCTGTCTGCTCCCATAGTGTCCAGGAAGCAGGATCTGTCACTGCACGTGTTGTCAGGGGTGGGGTCTCCACAGCTCCTATGCCTGACTGAGATGGTCAACGGCCTGCCGCAGCATGACACTGGTTGCCAAGGACTGGCTACTTACACTCCGTCCTAAAGCTGTCTAAAAAGAAGCCTATGACACAAGCAGGCATTAACAGCAAAACCCTCTCCTGCACACTTGCTGCTGTGGACGCTATTCGGACCACGTTATGCACTTAAGCACACAATGCTCGCGACCAATGACAAAAAGAGCCAAACAGGTCACGGGAAGGATCATGGACAGGACGGGGCCCCACCCTTCTAGGGTCCATACAGAGGTGCCCGTGGCCACCTGGTGTGGCCCTGGAGCGCCACCCGCGCCTGACCACACGGCACACGGGCCTCGGTCTCACATCCTACACGCGGCTGTGAACGGACGAGCCACTCAATCAGCACGGCCTCCTGCGTGAACCTCCAGTGCAGTGCGGCACCGAGCGGCTTGCGACGCTGTACTCCTCCTGGGCCGGCTCTGGGCACGGCCTCTGATGGGACCAGGGAGGGGCAGCCTGCCAGCCTGAGAGGAGCGGAGCCCCCAGGGCCGGGCGCGAGCATGGCCTCCAGCTGCAGAGGCCCACTGCCGAGGAGGAGCCTTCTGGAAGGCCAGAGGGGCCTGCTCTTCCCCAGGAAGGTGGCCAGGAGTGCGCAGCCCTGAACTCACCCTGGCTGCAAGATGACATCCTCATACAAGGCCTTCTGTCGATTGGAGAGGCGGCACTTCAGGACGTGCTCATATTTCTTTGTTAGCTGCTTCTCCACATCTCTCTTAGTTCTCCGCAAAATAAAGGGCTGTGTCACCTGAAAAAAGAAAGTTCTCCTTTGCTAAAATGAAGTCGTGGCCCATGCACGCTAAGCCGGGGGTGCTTGTCAAGCAGGGACCCGCAGCGGCGGCCGCATACCCGGTGCAGCCGGATGACCACTTTGTGGTAGTAGTCCTGATTCTCCTCGCTGGGGGCTTTCAGGGGCAAGTGCAGGTACGGCCTGGAGATGCCCGGGATAAGGAAGTGCACCATGGTCCACAGCTCCAGGAAGGTGTTGTGCAGCGGGGCGTCGATGAGCAGCAGTCGCTGCTGGCTGAACACACAACGGGAGACGACACCTGAAACGTCAAGCTGGGCGCAGACCCTGTCTCGGGAGACATTCAAGGAAAGGGACAACGATCCTCGGGAGCTAACACACACACAGACACACAGACACACATACACAGACACACACGCCCACACAGACACGCACACACAGAGACACAGACACACACACAGCGACACAGGCGCACACAGACACACACACGCACACACACACACACACACACACACACACGTCTTGAGGAACGGACTGACTTAAATGAGCGCCTTCAGTGAGGGGAGCCCTTGAAGCTGAAAGGCCATTCTGGGAGCCTGCAGTTTCCTACAGTCCCTCCAAAGAACCTTTACATCAACAATACCCAGCACACGGCACGTGGAGAGGGGTGGCCAGACCTCTGCAGGGTGAACACGGCCTCCCAGTGCCTCTCGGTCATGCCCTTCACACGCTGCATCTCGTCGATGACCAGGCACTTCCAGCGCACCCGTGTGAAGGACGCGTAGCCCCTGAAGAACTGCTTGTAGGACGTGATGCAGACGTTGATGCGGTTGGGCTCTGTCCACCCCTGCAGCACAGAAGCCAGGCCTCACTGTCTGCGCGGGAACAAGCGGCCTGGAGAGGACTTCCGTGCGCGCTCACTACCCACCTAACCTGCCCCACCGCCGTCACCCCTCCTTTTCCTTGGTAACCTGCTCTCTCATCACACAGAAAACAGCTGTTTATGTTTTTATGATCTTTTTCTTTAGGAGGCTAAGCACTTGTGTGGACAAATTAGAAACTGCTTTGGAGGCATTAACAATTGCTTTTGGAAAACAGATCAGCACACAGCATCCAGGAATGGGGCTCGCGTTCATAGTCCATCATCTTAGTGATGGAACACGCATTCAGAAGACGATAGGAAATGTGCACATCTACACTGCAGCTGACTACGTTCCAAGCTATTAGAAAGCAGATTAATTACCAGAGAGTTAAAAAAAAAAAAAAGAGAGGAAAAAAGAAAAGACCCCTCAAAGTACTCGCTTTTTAAGTAAATATTACTCAACACAGTAGAGTCTAACCATAAGCCAAAATTTTCTCTCCGATGAAAAACTGTGACCTGTAAACATACTTTTACTTAGAATCTAGTACTAGAAACTACTGGGCAGAAAATAGAAAAATAAGAGTCCAAATTTATTTCAGAAGCTCATCTGTTTGTCACAAATATTCCTAATAAACACATCCATGGGAATTATTTTACGATCTGTAATTCCGAACTCAGGATGCATCACAATTTCTTATTTCTGCCTGTGATAACCAACAGGTCTACAGTTTAAAAGGATGACAGCACCTCCAGAGACCATCCGGGCTCTGGGGGAAGTTCCCTCACTTCCTGGGAGGTGAACACAAGCCCTGCATGGCATGGCCGGTTCCTGAGTGTAGTCTATGCTTCAAGGGGGCTCTAAGCCCAGACAACTAGAAGGCCTCGTATCTCATAAACGAGGGGCTGACAGCAATTACACTAACAAGCGTGTGTAGACACTCTGAAATGTGTCTTCTACAGAAAGTAAGATGTTTTCTGTTTAGTTCTATTTCAAGTTTAAACTAACATACCTGTCTCTTTGCCTTGAGTTCTCTATGGCTGCCAACATACAAGAGCGTTTTGAGCCCCGGACACCAGCGCTTCAGTTCGAGCTCCCACTTGAGGATGTTACAGCCCCTCACAACGACAAGATGAGGGCCCCAGTTGCCTACACAGGAGACATACAAATGCCCTCTGTAACAAAAACCATCTGTCCGGGGCAGGTCCCCGGCGCTGTGCCCGGTCAGCAGGTGTGCTGAGGCCAGGGCGCGACTACAGCAGACATCACTGGGACGCGGGGGTGTCCCTGCCCGCCCTACAGCGCAGCCGCCACCATCAGGACGGGCCGCTGCCCTGCTCCCACGGCCAAGGCAGGACGCACTCAACAGAGAGGAACCGAATGAGCGAGCAGCCAGTAAAATGAGAGCAGATTCAAACACGACCCCTTAACGTAAGCAGGGGAAGGACTCCCGTCTACAGCGAACAATGCTCAGAAAGGAAGATCCTCAGCCTCGAGCCCCGCGGCCAGCGCGGCCCGCTGGCAGCCCCATGCTACGGGCGCTGGTCCAACACTCACGCTCGTCACGGTCCCCAGCCGCCAGTCAGAACACACCCAAACCCATCCCAACCCAGCCCAAAGCACACGGTTTCACTGCATTCTTTGGAAAAGTAAGCGTTTCTTAAATTTCTGGGCAATACACACATAAATTTCAACTTCTGTGCTACAAATAAACATAAACCAAGTTAAAAGTCAGAAATGGCAGGCTTGGAAAAAATATCTGTAACACACACATCTATAGCCATTACAGCTCATAAGCAAAGTGTTATTACTACTGATCCTTAAAAAGAACCACCCAAAATGGGAGAAAATATTTGCAAACAATACAGTTGACAAGGGTTTAACATCCAAAATATACAAACAGCTCATAAAACTCAATATTGAAAAAACAAACACCTCAATCAAAAATTGGGCAGAAGACCTAAACAGACACTGCTCCAAAAAAGACACAGATGGCTAAGAGGCACATGAAAAGATGCTCAACATTGCTAATTATCAGAGAAATGCAGATCAAAACTACAGTGAGATATCACCTCATACCGGTCAGAATGGCCACCGTCAAAAAGTCTACAAGCAGTAAACGCTGCAGAGGGTGTGAAGAGAAGGGAGCCCTCCTGCACTGTTGGTGGGAATGTAAGTTGGTGCAGCCACTATGGAGAACAGTATGGAGATTCCTCAAAAGCTAAAATTAGAGTTGCCATGTCATCCAGCAATCCCGCCCATGGGCATATATCCAGAGAAAACTCTAATTAGAAAAGATCCATGCACCCAGTGGCCACAGCAGCACTATGCACAATAGCCACGACGTGGAAGCAACCTGAATGTCCATCAACAGAGGAACGGATAGAGAAGACGTGGTACACACACACACACACACACACACACACACACACACGAATACTACTCAGCCATAAAAAAGAATGAAATAATGCCATTTGCAGCAACATGGGTGGACCCAGAGATTATCATACTGAGTGAAGTAAGTCAGAGAAAGACAGATATTACGTTAACACTTATATGTGGAATCTAAAAAATAATACAACTGAACCCATTTACAAAACAAAAAAGATTCACAGACAGACAAAAAAATAACAACTTATGGATACCAAAGGGAAATTAGGAGTATGGGATTAACAGATACAAACTACTATACATAAAATCGATAAGCAGGGCTTCCCTGGTGGCACAGTGGTTGAGAGTCTGCCTGCCAATGCAGGGGACGCGGGTTCGAGCCCTGGTCTGGGAGGATCCTACATGCCGCAGAGAAACTAAGCCCATGCGCCACGGCTGCCGGGTCTGTGCTCTAGAGCCCGCGAGCCACAACTACTGAAGCCTGCATGCCTGGAGCCCGCGCTCTGCAACGAGAGGCCACCGCAATGAGAGGCCTGCGCACCGCGGCGATGAGTGGCCCCCGCTCACCGCAACTAGAGAAAAGCCCGCATGCAGCAATGAAGACCCAATGCAACCAAAAATAAATTTAAGAAAAAAAAAATCGACAAGCAGTAAGGATTTACTATAGCACAGGGAACTATATTCAATATCTTGTAATAACCTATAATGGAAAATAGCCTGAAAATATATATATATAACACTGAATCACTTTGCTGTGCACCTGGAACTAACACAATAATATAAATCAACTATACTTCAACTAAAATAAAACCAACTAAGAGGAAAACGAATAAGGAAGTGAAAAGAAATTCTACAAAGGATGGGACTTCCCTGGCGGTCCAGTGGTCAGGACTCCGTGCCTCCACTGCGGAGGGCCTGGTTTCGATCCCTGGTCAGGGAACCAAGATCCCACAAGCTGCGCAGTGCAGCCCCAAAAAAAAAAAAAAAAAAAAGAAAAAAGAAATTTCACAAAGGGAAAAATACAAGCAGACGATAAACTCTCTGAAGGGCATGACCTCGTGAGTAGGGAAATGTAAATCAAGCCCAAGTGCCTTTCCCCTCCAGTGAAAAACAAGTTTGTTTTTTTTTCACTAGCATTTAGCACATTGTTCCATTTCTGGAGAGGAGGGACAAGTGTCTATATATGTGTTTGTGAGCACGTCTGTTGACACCTGGGTGAAGCAAGGCAGGACACACAGCAGACTGCCCCGAGGGGTCACCACTGGGGATGGAAGCAGGTGGACAGCTACAGACTGTTGGTTGTTTTACTTTAGAAAGAAAAAAGTGGTGAGTTTGTGAGGGATTCCAACTGTGAACTTACCAGAACCCCCTCGCTCAGAGTCTCTTGGAGTGAGCCCTCTGCTCTTGAGGAACCGGTGAACTCCAACTTTACGGTCCCACAGTGAGGAGGAGGCCAAGGACACTGGGCCCCAGGGGGCGGGGGCAGGCAGGGGAGCCAGGTCCCAGGCAGGCCCCACTCGGCCTGTCCTGTGCGGAAGCGGAGCGGGCGGCACACGCCTGCCCGCCCTCCCTTCAGGTCCCCCAGGACCTGCCAGGCCCCTGCCTCTCCCCCAGGGCGGCAAGCTTCCCAACAGCTGGCCCTCTGAGTCTGTTCCCAGCACCAAGGAGGTCCAGTGACCCCTCCGACACCCGCACTAACACAGACCTCTAACCAGGAAGAGCCAGACCCTGCGCAGCCTGCAAGGCCCTCACCTGGCCGGCCGGCGGCCTTCCTGGCTCTGCACCCTCTGGCCTCCGCACCAGCCTCAGCACTGTCCCGTGGACACACCGGCAACCCCTTCAGCCTCTGCACCCACCACCCCATGTTCCCAAGCCCCTCGATCCTGGGGGCCACGGCTTTCTCAGGCCTCTGCTCACGGGCTGTGCCAAGCACACCATACACAATGGCAACATGCTGCTTCCCATGTGTGGAATCCTTATTCGCTGTGCCTGCTGTGAGCCTCACAGGTGGGGTGGGGGGGGCTTTGTTCTGCTCACAGCTGCACCCCCGGTGCCTACAACAGTGCCTGGGACCAGGTAGGTGCTGGGTAAGCACCTATGGAACGAATAACTGATCCATTTGTTTGTTCAACCGATGAAATAAAATCCCCTACTTTTGAAAGTGTACAATGCTTCCAAGTTCTTACTGTTATAAATACAATAATGAACACTTTTTTCAACTAAACAATAAACTAGTAAGACAAGGTAGCTCTTCTATCTTGAGATAACTATATATATAAAAACTCATTTTAAAGTACTACACTGGACACTTTGTGGTACTGGGTCAAAAACAAACATATTAGCACAAGGAAATAAGGCCTCAAAGTTGATCCATTTGTACTAAAGGTAAGATCAAGTAAGCTTTCAAAACCAAGGGCAAAGAAGAGTTATTTACTAAAGACGCTAAGGTAACTGTGAAAGAATTTAGAGGGGCCAGGGAGGACGAAACGATCCCAGGGCTGAAGGAATCTCCATCCAGCCTACTCAGGGTGCCAACTCCCCCTAAACTCGAGGGGCCCCTCCCTGCTACTGAAGCTGTGACACGGAGATGAAGGTGATGGCGTGTGCTTCCTCAGGAGCTGGCTAAGTGCTGGAACGTGAGGTTCCTGCTCCCCTACCCCCGGTGCTACGGGACACTTCCCTTGCGAGGGGAAGCCTATAAGCCCCTGTCCCGTGTTAGAGACACGCACACAGGCTCGTCCACAGCCCCACAGCACAGGCGGGGAGCAGGCGGGCGCCAGGCCCACAGCCAAGCGGAGGGCAGTGAACGGGGGCCGAAGGCTGAGCGTCCGTGCAAGCTGGAAGAGCCGAGGGGTGAGGAGGCAGACGTCCGGGGCCAGGGCACGGCCTGCTGTGGAGTGCGGGCACCCCGTCCCTCTGCTGCTGCACAGACGCCGAGCCCTCACAAGGCTCCAGGGGTGGCGGGATCCAGCAGAGAGACAGGAGGGCCTGCGCCACAGCACAGGGAAGACGCCGATGGGCCTCGGCAGGGCGACCAATCACGCCACGGGGGACGCGCACCCGCCGGCCCATGGGAGCCTGAGGGGAGAGCCCGGCCACGAGGACTCATGCCGACGTGAAGTAGCGCAGAGGCCCTGCGGCCTGGAAGTCACAAAGCCCCAGTCACACAGCCTGCTGGGTCTTATGTTACGTTAGACTTTGAAAAATGGTGAGTTACTCGATCTAGTGTTTATTGTGAACGAGTGCTTTGTTTGTTCCAGTGATGAGTGCCTCTGAGCCCAGTTCTCTGAGTCTGGACCAGAGCACGGAACAAAGGAGCAGAGAATAAAGGCCTCTCCCCACCCTCACACCAGATGCACTGCCTACGGTTCAGTTTCAGCAAATACGAACTGTTCAAAAAACAACAAGCTCTTACCTTCGTTGCAGGCTAGGTGGGCAAAAAAAGCAATGATCTGCACTGTTTTACCAAGCCCAGCTTCATCTGCCAATACGCCATTGAGGTTCTTCCGGTAGAGCTTGGCCAGCCAGTCCAGGCCAATCTTCTGGTAGTCTCTGAGGGCGCCGTACAGAAGAGCCGGAGCGTTCAACTTCACCTGCAGGGGCAGACGGGCCCAACAGGCACATCTCAGAACAACCATTACAACTGTTGTCAGATCAGTCATATGATAAGCCTACTGGAAAGCCACGAAGATGATTTACAGATAACAGGAAAAGAAAGATCCTTAATTGTTTTTCCTGACAACTTCTGCCGTTGGGATAAAGAGCTCATTTGGAAGGAGGTAGCTTTTCCCCTTAACAGAGACACCATCCCTCACACAGGGCACAGCGGCTCACCGCGGTGCTGATCCGAGCACTGCCCTTGGGCAGGATGGCTTCGGCCACAGCGGTCACTTCCGCGATGTCCTTTGTGTGAGGCTTCCCGACAACCACTCTCTCTGTGGCTTTAAACTGGTCCATGATGAACAGCGAGTCGATGAGAACCACACCCTTCCGGCTCTCCCGGTCACCGGAGCAGTCTTCCACGTCTGTGATCAATGGAAAAACGGGACTTGTGAGGTTTGAGAGGCTGTGATAGTATTATGAGGCCACGTAACATGACAAAAAAAAGAGAGAGAGAAGAGAAAAAAGAAAAGGAGTTGCTAGAACCCAAACACTTCAAAGACAGAATTGAGCAGCAAATTTTTGTTTTTAATCCACTTTAGATAGTTAACAATGTATCCAGATAGACAGGTACGAACTCTTATGGAGTTTGTAGGACCGCTCTGGAAGGCCCTTGGGTGAAGTTGGAAAATGTCTGTGCAGCATCAGGAGCTAGTATCACCCAGAGATTTACAGCCATCTAAGGGTTCAGTGACTGCCCTCCACCACCAAGAATGGAAGGATCAGAAGCATCCTAGTTTGGGCAAGCAAGGGGGCCACCAGCCCCCCCGGAGTCCTGCTGCAGCGTGGGGTCCGGCAAGCCCTGGCCTCCCCGCAGAATCTTCTGGGCCCCTCCCTTGCTGCCCCCCGCAGGCAGCCACGTCTATGGACCAGAACAGGGGGGATGAAAACAACACGTGGACTCTTCCGGGCGCAGTCTGTGTACCTCCTTGGAACTCCAATAAAAGTCAAGTAAAGTCCTTAAACTGGGTGTGTTAAATTAAACAAACACAGCACAGCCTGGATAAATGATAAAACCTAGGCCCGTAAAATGTGTATAAATCTGGAGAAGAGTATTTCTACATTGTCCACAACTTGATCAAGTACTCTGATAATTATGCCAAGTTAACCAATAAAAATAAAAAGCACAGAATTTAATGAAACTATTAATATAAACTTTCATATTAAATATATTTTCAACTTTTTATCAGACTGAAAGAAGTGAAGGTAATTCTGAAACTCTGTTTTAAGCACCCTTCCTCTGTTAAGTACTTTGGCTTTTGTTTTCAAAGCTGAATTCTTCAAAGATGTTAAAACAGACCTTCGTCTTCACTTGTCTCTTCACTGTCAGGTTTAGGTTGGGGCCACTGGAAATTCGGCAGAAAGGCACCTTCATACAACTTCATCAAATCAATTAAGGGCAATTCAGCTGGAAAGGATTGTAGGAAGAAAGATTATTTTACACCAATAGTGTCAGCAGGGAAGAAAACACAGTCAGGAGAAGGGCCCTTTCATATACAGTTGACCTTGAACAACTCAGGGGTTAGCGTTGCCGACCCTGCAGTGGAAAACCCGAGTGTAACTTAGTCTGCTCTCCTTGTACGAGCTTCCTCCACACCCGACCAACCGTGGATCGTGTACCACTGTAGTGTTTACTATTGGAAAAAATCCACGTGTAAGTAAGTGGACCTGTGCAGTTCACACCCGTGCTGTTCAGGGGTCAAACGTATATTCCTTTTCCTAGCTTTAAATTAATTCCTTGGGAAATGTATGTATTTTCTAAAAGCATATTTATTTTTTTCCAAAAACTAATAATGATTGCCCGTTACTGATACAAGATATACGACCTTTTCTTTATAAAGATGAGAATCTTTGAAATGAAGAAACTCAACTTTTATTCATAAAGGAACAAATATTCCTGAAATAATCTTAATAAATGTACAGTAAAATCTACAGATTAATAAACGAAAATATAAAACTACTACTGATAGAAATAATCAGTGGAGATGATACATAAAAATACAAAACATCAAGTAAAAGTCAAAAATAAAACAAAAAATGTTCAAAAAAGATGATAAAATATTGCTACAGACTTTTTGTATAAAGAGCTCACCCTAATTGATCAAACAGCCCACCACACGAAAGCCCAATGGGAGAGGGATATGGAGCTGTCTCACACACAAAATACTCTACAGGGCTCATAAAGTATCTCTTTAACTGAGCACCTCCAGAAACCAGTGCGCAATGTATCCCCCACTGCATGGCAACCACCTTAAAACCGTAATGCTGGATGAACATAATGAATCAAACAGTCTCAACACTGCAGGTGATGGTATAAACAGGCTTAACTTTTCTGGAAACCAGTATGAAAAGCTGAAGAGCTTTAAATTTCATGCCCTCTGACGTCACTATTTCCCACTCCATGGGCCTGTCCAGGGGAGTAATCGGAAACTTGGACCCAGGTTTGTATTCAAACACAGTTCCACTGGGTGTTATATATAACAAGACAACGAACACTGTGAGCTGTGTACCTGTGATACATAAGCCTTTCTGCACGTACACCGTATGTCAATAAAATCTGTGGTCAAAGTAACAAACGCCACAGAGAAGTACCCCAGAAGAACAGTATTGAGGGCTCTCTTCGTTTAAGACTCATAATCCAGTGACTTCACTTGCTCATGATTTAAACTATTCGTCATATGGGGCTGATAGGTAGATACGTGATAAAGCGAAGACCAATTGTGCAAGGGAGGTGGCGGGTGTATGGGCGTTCGAAATAAGGTTCTTCAACTTTTCTGTTTGCATGTTTTCATAACAAGATGTAGGGAAATGTACATATACATCATATAATGGTTATCAAAGTAGGAAAAAAAGAAAAACAGCAGAAACAACTGAAAAACTACCTCAAGAATAAGATAATTCGTAAGGTGTCTTGGAACAAACAACTCACAGGAATCAACAGCCTTCACACATATAAACTAGTTTGAAGATAAAATGGGAAAGAAGATTCTATTTAGACAGAAAGTATTTCTATGCTTCTTTAGATAGAAAGTATTTAAATACTTAGAATTTAGGTTTTAAAAAGTTCACAACATCTACATAAAGGAAGTGCTGAAAGGTTCATGAGGGGCACGAGAGGAGGCCCGACCAGGAAGAGGCACCCCAGTGAATGGACGAAGACGTGCCCCGGTGACACGGCTCCCTGCGGTCACAGCCTGGTCAGTTCCCCTGAGTGGCCAGGGATAACCAGGGTGATCGCCTGCTGTGGGACACCAGCCACCGTGCCACCCTGTCCTGAGGACGCTCGAACAGCCACCCGGAGAAGTCCCTGTGTGGGGGGACTGGGCTCGCCTGCCAACAACCATCCACCCGGCCAGCTAGGGGGCCAGCTGGGGTGGACCGGAGGCTGGGCCTGCTGACGGCCGCATCTCCGTGAGACCCGAGCCAGAAGCACCCGGCCGGGCTGCTCCCAATTCCTGCCCTACAGGAAGGGGTAGAGGAGCTCCAAGTTAACACAGACAGACTCTACCAAGTCAGGGATGTACACAAGAATCAGAAAGGCCTGCAACAAGAATGCAAGACAAGGTGTAGCTCAAAGGCTAAGAGAAGAGATAAAACAGAACACTGGATTTGAACCAAGCAGTCGTGACCAACCACCACAAGCTACTGCCTTTCCAGGTGAAAATGTCCCTCTCAAATCTTTAAGAACAAGCCGAAGGCCGGGAAATCCCCTGGCGGTCCAGTAGTTAGGACTCCACATGCTTTCACTGCTGAGGGCCCGGGTGCAATCCCTGGTCAGGGAACTAAAGATCCCACAAGCTGTGTGGTGCATCCAAAAAAAAAAAGAACAAGCCAAAGGTGCCCACCATCAGCACCTCTATTTCTACACTTTATTGCAAGGAACGGTAATAGAAGGACCAGGATTATGAAGAAAAAACTGTTATTCTTCAGAGATGAAGAGGTTGTATACACACAAGTAATGTGAGAATTTAGCACAGCTGCTGGATTTAAGATCAGTAAATAAAAATCAACTGCATTTCTACAGACCAGCAACAAATTAAAACGTAATCTTAAAAAAAAAAAACACTGATTACAACTTCAAAAAATATAATGCACCTAGAAATAAATCTAATAAAAATATGCAACCATAAAATGTTAGCGGAAGCTACTAAAGGAGATCTAAGTAAACGGAGAGGCTACTTTGATCATAGGTTGGAAAAGCTCTTCATAGAGATGCAATTCTCACCAAACACCCACTAATTCAACCACATTTGAATCAAAATCCCCAAGCAGTTTTTCTCTGAAACTTGATAAACTGATACTGAGCTGTATCTGAAATAGACCCAAATTAGTCAAAGCTCTCCTAAAAAAGAATAAGGCAGAAGGACTGACCTAGCTACGCCTCAAGAATTATTATAAGGCTAGAGTAATCAAGGGAGTGTGGCATTGGTGCAAACTGACCAGTAAAACAATGAAGGTCCCAGAAAGAGCCGTGCGTATCAGGAAAACGTGACTAACACGTGAGCCGGCACTGAGCATCACTGAGGAACGATGGCCTTTTCAAATGGCACGGGGAGAGTCAGTTAACCATTTGGGGAAAAAAAAAGAAACTGCACTCTTATTTCACACTAGAGACAAAAGTGATTCTTGGTGGATTACAAACATCGATACGAGCGTAAAACAAAAATTTTTAGACAAGGCACAAAGACATCCTTTTGATCCTGAGGTTAGAAAAGCTTCTTTTAAACAACGCGGACAAATGCAACTACACTAAAATTAAGAACACCTGTTCCTCAAAAGGCACCGTAAAGGGAAGGCAGACCCACCCCGGGCTGGAAAAAGGCTACTGGGACACACGCCACTGACACGGCAATGTGTCCAGAACACAGGAAGAACACCCAGAGTCAGCACAGAAAAGAAAACCCAAAACCAAGTGGGCGAGGACAGCTGTGAGAAGACGCTGCGCCCCGTGGGTCACGCTCCCCCACCACAGGCAGATACCACCAGGCGCTCCTGGGACGCAGGGCCCGGCCCAGCACTCCAACCGCGGCGGGGCGCCGCCTCGTGTGTGCACGCCCCGCAAGCCGGCCCCCCTGCTCTGAGCACAGACGCTCGAGCGTGTGTGCGCAGGACACACGAGAGTGCTGCAGGCAGCGCCGCCTGTGAGGACGAACGCAGGGAAACCACCGAACTGCCCACCAACAGCACAACCGCTAACCCGTGACACACGCACACACAGACCACCTTTCAGCCGTGGGCACTGATTCTGTAGCAACACACCTCCACGAGGACAAAACTCGGAAACGGAACTGAGAAAGGCCAGTGGGTGAGCCTCCAGAGTGATTCCGTTTATACCAAGTTCTAAGACCCAAACAAAGCGGTACGTTCAGGATTCACGCAGGGGGAGGGGGAAACTGAGTGGAAGGAATGATAAACGCCAAGATCCAGGCCGCAGTCACCCGCTGGGACAAGGGCAGAGGCAGAATGGCGCTCTCTCCTACACTGGGTGGCGTGGCCGCTTACACCGCATGCAACCTATTGCGGTTTTCATACCTTACGTGTGTGTTTCAATAAATGTTTAATAGAGCATCACAGGGAGCCGCTCGGAGCCCACCTTCTCTGGCTAACTCCAACAGCTCCGCCTGGTGGTCCGCAGCCCCCTCCAGCGCCTCTTCCTCTGCAATCGTCTCCTCCTCGTCTTCCACTGGAATGGCCACCATCAAATGTCAGGGAGAGACCCCACGGCATCTTCCTCGCAATTACTCATGAAACGCTACAAGGCTCCAAAACTGTCATGCACAGCCATTAGAGAAGTGAAAACTAAGTCCTAATTTCTCAGGTTAAATCTGGAAGTGATAGTTCATTAAGTAAGCAAAAAACAAGGGACCATACTTTATACTTTCTCTTCCATTTCACAGTGTGAAACAGAGGCTGGTTTTCATCACATGACAGACCTACTCAGGCCAAAACAGGGAGCGATGTGGAACTTCCTGTCCACCTGCAGAGCCCACTACAGAAAGACCCACAAGCACGTTGTTCGGTGTCACTATGAATTCATCATCGCCCATTTCAGAGGCCCCAGCCCCTGCCCAGCTGAGGATTCCCCGAGCTCAGCTCCTGTCCGGCAGCTCCAGCCCTGCAACCCCACAGCCGGCTCCTGGTGGCTAAGAGTCCACCAGCACCCACGGCAGAGCCCCACCCGCCCTCGGGCCACCTCTCCATCTGAGCTGAGCCCTCACCACGGCACGCCTTCCCTCCCGCTGACTCCTGCCCCCAACACGCACCGCCTCTCCTCCCTACAGACAAAAGGCATACGCGTGCGCACGCACGCACACGGTCCGACACCTTCCCTCCTCCACAATCCAACTCCTTGTCTCTCCACTGCAAAACCCCATCATCCACCAAGGCCCCCGGCCCCCAAGAGCATAAGCCACTGAGCCACCGGACTCCCGCGGTCCAGGCGGTCCTCGACGCCCTGGCAGCACCTGGAGAGTGAGCTCTCCCGCTGCGCGTTCAGAGAGCCCTGCAGACAGCCAAAGCACCAGGGGGACAGACCTTCTTCATCGGTTAAAGATGTACTTGCTTTTCTTTTTCTTCCAGGTATCCCCGAATCCTGTGACACAGAACACAAATCGTAAGCGTGACATCTGGAAACACAGAATGAGAACCCAGAGCAGAACTGTAGTCAACGTGCACCCGGGAGGACCTGGGAGGCCGTGCCAGGCGTGTCCACGGCAGACACCGCAAAGGTGGGGAGGAGGCTGCGGGGAAGCAAGACGAAACCCACGCCCGCTCTTCCCAAACCACCAAGGTTAACACCCAGGTGAGCCTGAAGCTGGAAAGAACCAGCTGTAGGCCCAAGGGGGACTGCTCTCCAGCGAGAGAGAACGCTATTCATGCCTACGACTTCCTGCAGACAGACAACCCCTCGCACAGCGACGCGACAGTCCCGAACTCACCACAAAGTTTTCTCGTAACGCATCAAGCCCTGTAGGTCTCGACTCTTTACCTAAAGAGACAGGTAACGCGATTCGCTTTCACTAAGGCAGTGGAGGAGGTGATGCTCCTCACACGACCATGGGCACCTGTGCCCGCCCCCCAAGGAGAGCAGAGGACAGCAAGGCGGGTCCCACCTCCCCTCTGCGACGCAGGGTGGCACAGCCACACCGCCACGCCCGCTCTCGGCTTCAGCAGGAACCTAGAGTCTCCAACCTGGCAAAGCTTCTCGCTCATGACTTGCATAATCTTAGAGCTCCGTGACTTTCAACAGGGACCACCTCCTTCACCTCAGTTTCCTCACCAGTAAAAGGGAGGGATCCTCCCCGCCCCCTCCCCAGGTTTCCAGCGATGGGGTAGCTACTGCTGAGCACCGTGGGAGCAGCACGACGCCTAGACGCGGGGACCGTGGAGGGGCGGGGGGCAAAGCCGGGGGAGTTCATCTCACTCTCCGGGGACACAGGGGACAGGCTCAGAACCCCAATCCTGAGAGCCCCCCAGAGTTGGTCACCCCGGGGCTTATTGACTCATACTAGTGAATCTCAGAAGAACTGAAATGCCAGGACCAGGCTGCTGAGGAAACAGCCTCGCCGGGGAGGCTCCACGGGAAGCCGCGGTGTCACAAGGCGCCGGTGAGCAGAGAATCAAGCAAACACAGCCAGCAAAAGGGGAAGGCTTTTAAAAGTAATCATACCTTTCCGGGAAACTTTCTGGAAATTTAAAGCCTTCTTCCTTTTCTCTTCTAATTCTACTTGTAGTTTTATTTCCACAACCTAAGTGCAAAGAGTTAAATAAATAAGCAGATTACTAAGAAATACAAGTTCTATATGTGAAAACATTAGAACTCACGCCTGGAGGCCAAAGCACAGCCGTCCCGACCCCATTCAGATTAGAGCTGACCCCTGGACAGCGCGGATTTGAACTGTGCAGGTCCACCGGCACTCAGATGTTTTCCGGTAGCAAATCCTACAGAGCTGCATGGTCCGCGGCTAGCTACACCCGCAGCCACGGAGCCGCAGGTGCAGAGGGCAGACGATGAGCTGTGTGCAGAGTTTCAGCTGCACGTAGGGCTGGCGGCCCTAACCCCCCACGCTGTCCAAGGAGATACATTCAGTTTGGTACTCTTTCATTATTTTGTGTCAACTGCATCCTGCCCAAATTCTGTCAGACGGTAAGAAGAGAAATTTTACAAAAAGGAAGCGAGAGACAGAGCAAGCCACTCTGGAACTAAGCAGCCTTTAGTGACCTGCGCCAATACTAAACAGAACTACCGGAAGGGCCCCTCAGGAAGGCTCCCAGACACCACAGAGCGCGCAGGCCACGGCTGATGGGGATGTTGATGCACAAGGAGAAACACAGAGGCAGAACCAGGTCTCCTGATGAGCCAACAGCCCAGAGATGCCCAGGAAGTGCGGGCACCCGCCTTTCCAAATGACGCCACAGGCTCCACCTGTGGGATTTCCCCGTGGCACAGGCAGGCTGGGCTCAGAAGGCCGCCTCAGCAACCCCGACACAGTCTGTGCTCCCAGGAGCCCATCAAAATCTCAGAATTTACCTGTTCAATATTTGACCAAAAATATTCTATTTCTCTAGCAGTTGATGCAGCTATTCGTCTCAATCGGTTCTGTTCTTCTCTCCTTCCCCGCTCCTCCCGAAGCTGCTTCTCTTCGTGATGACGCACTACAGTTCTGACAAGCTAGTAAATGAAAGTCCAAGAATTTTACGTTGTGCGCTGTGTCATGCTATCAGAAAAAAGATACATAACGTTTCTTTAAAATCTTCTCAGCCCGTAACTACATATAATCCACAGAGAGACACACCCTCACCTGCTCTAAGGGCGCGTGGGACAAATGCTGATTCCAGTGCAAACCACCACCAACGGTCTGCCTGACTTTCCTACAAGTGTTGTTTTACCAAATACACGTATTTTTCTCCAAAATGGAATATCATACTGTGCTACAATCGTCCTTTCCCCCTTTAATACGAGGAGCATCTTTCCATCAATCAGCACAGATCAAAATCATTTTTAATACGTATCATTTCCACTGCGTGAATGCAGCCAAATTTAACTCCTAGGATTAAAAAAGTTGGGTTGGGATAATTCACATTTTTTAAGGCTTTTGCTTTAAATTGCCAAACCGCTTTCCAGAATTTCTACTCTTTACCTCCTCACCAGCTGTACCTCCAAAAGGTGCAGAGAAGTAACTCAGAAAGGGACACATCCTGAGCCCCGAGTGCAGCGGAGCTGCCAGCCCTTCAGCTCTGGGATGCCCCCGAGGCGGCCGCCCAGCACAGGACTCCCAGGGCCTTGTCCTAGTCAGCGTGCACCCCTTGCACAAAGCCGCTGGCTCCCGGGGGTAGAGGGACGGCGCGAGGAGGGGCAGCACAGCGCGCAGCCGCGGCCCCCGGCTCAGCTGCCTCTCAGTCCCACCGCTCGGTGTCCATCCCTGCCCCTCGGCCCCGGCCACTGCCCTGTCCAGCCCTGCGTCCACATGCTCAGGACCATCAACCTTCGTGAAAAAGGAAAAGTTTAAGGAGTGATCTGGTTTTTTTCTTAAATACGCATGAATCTGATTAAAGACCCTTTACGCTCAGACCCTGCTGTTACCCCCTTGGTCTCGGCTTCTCTCTACCAAAACTACGTGGGGAAAGCAAGGGGGAGAATTCAGAGGTGGGAGGTGGACAGGCCAGGCACACAGGAGCAATCCCCAGTCCTGAGAGTATAGGAAATATGAAGGCAGCATCCAGGTCCCGAGGAATAAAGACACACAGTGATGGAGGAAGCAGCAGCTGGGCCTGGAGCTATGTACACATACGCAAGGACAGCTGCTCTACACTCTGGGACCCAAGAGCCCTAGAAATCTGTCACTTTCCACACTGCCAGCTTTAGCAGTAACATCTCCTAGGTCCTACCCCGGGCTGGGTGCCTACTTTGGGAGCAGAGAGAAGGTAATAAATTCTGAGCCAGAACTGGAGAGAAGCTGGACCGGAAGACCAGGCAACACAGAGCAGGCAGGCTGCGGGGAGCCAGAGGGCCGGGACGAGTGCCCGAGCTGCCGGCCAGCCACCTGGCCTCTTCCCCCTTCCTACTCTCAGCCTGGATCTGGGGGGCTGCAGGCATCCTCATGCCAACTGCCGGGCAAAACTGGCCAGAAAAAGAACCCAAATCCCAGGACAGAACTGCAGCAGAAGGGCCGTGTCTGTTCCCAGCAGTCCACGCTAGAGCACTGGGGACAGCCCTCAGAAATGAAGCAATGTAGCAGTTACTTTCTAAATAGCAGCAAAACATTCTTCAGATACATCGTAAGTCCAGAAACTCTTTAGAGGGACTTCCCTGGTGGTCCAGTGCTTAAGAATCCGCCTTCCAATGCAGGGGACGCAGGTTCGGTCCCTGGTTGGGGAACTAAGATCCCACATGCCGTGGGGGAACTAAGCCCGCGCACCTCAACTAGAGAGCCCACGCGCCGCCAACTACAGAGCCCACGCGCTCTGGCGCCTGTGTGCCACAACTAGAGAGCCAACACAGCCAAATAAATAAATATTTAAGAAGAAAAAGAAACCGTTTAGAAAGTGGGGCTGGGAGACCTCCGTCCGCACACTTAAGCCCCTGGCGCTGCTTGATGACCCCTGGGCACCGCGGTGGCCTGTGTCTCAAACCCACCTTCTTGGCAGCGGCCACCTTCCACCTCCTCTCCTGGGCGAAGTCTGTGGCCATCCACTGCATCTCCTCCAGCAGGTAGTCCCAGTGCGATTTGGACCGCGGGGCCTCCTGCAGCTTGGGCAGCCGTCTGAGGGACCACAGGCCTTCTTTCCTTAAATCTGCTATCCGCTGATGGATCTGGTTCTCCTGCAAGGAGCACAGGGGTGGAAGACGTCCGGCACAGTTTAAGTGCAAGCCACCGATGCACACCCCAGTCAGTGCGACCCTGCTACGTGGAAGTCTCAGCAACAAAGAAGAGTTGCTGAACAAGGCTCTACGAGAGGGCAGAGGCAAGGGCGTGCGACCCCCGGGAGCCTCATCCTGGAAACCCAGGACAGAGCTCCCAGGCCAGCGCTCACGGCGGAGCACTTACAAATAACTGCTCAGTCACCCAACAAACAGCAAATGCTCACTAGGTGCAGGCCGTGAGCTGCACTGGCCCAGGCAGCCTCCCGAGGGCTCTGAGCTCTCAGCCTGCACCCCACACCCCCCTCCCCCTGACTGCTGATACCAGCACAGAAAAGACCTTCTCCACACCAGTCTAGCTGCCCCTCCGGCAGGAGAGGGCCAACTATGCGGTTTTAATCTTGGTTTCTCCGGATCACAAACCTTACTATCAGGTGTTCCGTCTTATACTACTGCCCCCTTAGAAAGTGAAAGCACACGCGTTTCACAGGCTGGAGTATACGGTGAGCTCTTCTTGAGCACTTTCAAGAGCTTCTTTAGGTGCACTTACCAGCGCTATCTGTTCTGCCAGCTTGTCCTGAGAACCGTCGTGGGGCGCAGCGGCATTCTGAGCGGGGCTCTGTGGTTTCGGGGGCGCTGACACGGCTGCCCCTGGGGAGCGGGCGATGACCGGAGACAGCGACTTGGCTGCCGGGGAGGGTCTGTTCACCGGGGAGGCCCGGGCAGGCGAAGGCCCCGGGCCTGAGCCACTGGCGGGAACAACGGTCGAGGCAGAGGAGGCGGAGGGCAGCGGCCGCGGGCAGGGCTGGGCGGGGTCCATGGGCGGTCTGGGTGGCGCCGCCGTCTGGCAGGGAAAACAGGGCTCAGCGCCGTGCCCGGAACCCACAGGCTGGCTGGAGGCCCCTGTGCAATGCCCCTCCCTCTCCCCAGCAGCGCAGACTGACCAGTGGGCCCACTGCGGACCACAGGGCCACGCAGACTAACCGTGTCTACAGAAGAGAAGAAGCCCTGTTAGTCCACAAAGCCACATCAGAGCTCCCTGTAAACGGTGCCTTCACATATGGTCTTATGTCGGGTTTTTTTTTTTTTTTTTTTTTTGCTTTTTCAAGTAATTTTTTAGAATTTTTAACTGTAGGAACTTCTTAACTGAGAAGTACCAAATGCTCACCGTGCACCTGTTCTCTGAAGGGCAAAGACAAATTCCACGCGGCCCTCCCGCGGTGGGCAAGCTGTAAGGTTAGAAACCCTCCTCTGTGCCGTCCCGAGAGCTGAGCTTGTAAAACTGAGGAGCCCCTCCGCCCAGCCCTCCCCGGGCCGAAGGTGAGCTTAGGAGGAAGTGGGGGGACAGAGGGCAGGGAAGCCAAGGCCCTGCCGCGCCAGGAGGCCTGAGGACAGAGCGACGCGCACGCGGCACGTTTATACCCCGCGGTGCGGATGAGACACCGCGGCCAAGGCCGGGCCCCTCACGGCGCACAGCTTCTCCGCCCACCTCTAGGGAGATTTCCTCCACCTCAGTGGTCGGTAAACTGTGGCCGGCCACACACTTTGGCAGAGTTCCACAGGCCACGGCCGCTCATCTGTGGCCCTGGCGCTGCTCTCAGCTCCAGCGGCGGAGCTGAGCAACTCAACAGGAAGCACACGGCCTGCAGACCCTGAAATACCGTTACACTCCCTCTCTGTGGCCCTTTACAGAAGAAGTCTGCCGGCCCCGCCCAATCTGGAAGGAACAGAATTCCACGGCTTCTGTAAGGAGCTTCTTCTAAAATCACATCCCACAGCTCACACCGTCGACAACAAGGGCGGGAAAGAAACCCAAGAAAAACGTCAGTGCTGCGTGAGGTCGGTACCAGGCTCAATAACACTATTCAAAAAACAGAGAGCCTCACTTCCACGGAACCCTCAAGCCCGTGGAGGCCCAAGAAGCTCAGCGCCCTGGCGGGGGAGGGGGTACTCCTTCCCAAGGCGCACAAAAGGCTCCAGAATCAACCCAGGGGGCCAGTCACAGCCCCTCCAGCACTGGCTGACCAACCGTGCCAAGTTATCTGGCCTTTCTGGCCTCGGTCTTTCCATAGCTAACGGGCGTGATAAAGATTCTACCACAGAGGGCTGCCAGGCAGAGGAGAGCAAATAATGGCCCGGAAGTGCCCATCACCACGCCTTGCACCTGGCAGGCGGTGAGTGAAAAGTAGCATCCTTACATGAGAGCAAACTTCTACAACCACCAGGAGAACTCGAACTCCGAGCCCAGCTAGGAAATCTCCTCGTTAACGAGGGAGAGGGGAGAGGAAGGGGAGGTTTTCCTAAGCGGCTGACCACACGCTGCTGAGACAAGCCTCTGAAAACACTGCCTCTGGCCCCTTTGGTGCCCCAGACCCATGCTTCACAAACGCACTGCTCCTCAGGGGCCCCACGTGGTCTACTGTACACGTTTCAAAAAGACGTCTGGGTGAAGTTAATTTGTGGACGAGGAGGGGCATTATAAACCCTGGAAACGTGTATCAAGCCTGGAAAGCAGCCTCAACCACGCTGGTGGAGTGGAGCGTCCGGGGGAGGCACCGTGGACAGAGCCTGGCAGACGGTCAGGCTCATGGGAGCCCCACGGCCCCCAGGCCTTCGCTCCTATGACCCCGCGTACTCGGCACATCAGGTGGGACCAGGGCCACCGTGCCCTGTGTGTGGCTCCCTGTGCCGAGAGCAGCACTCAGAATTGTGTCGTTTTCTGACATTTTAATAACACTAGCTACAACTGCACAGTAAATTTACGTTGCAGCTACTGAACTGACTGTTGCACGGTGGAGAGCGAAGTGCTGGGAGAGAGGGAGTTACCCAGCTGGGCACCATCCCGTCCAGCACATAGCCTGTCTCTTCTTCCACCTCTAGCTCGGGGAACGGCAGGGGCCCGGAGTACCTGCGGCTGGGACGGGAGCGGAGGGGCCTGCATCTGCGCCTTCGCGGGCACCGGGACGTGGAGGGCCGCGGGGAGCTGGCCGGGCGGGGGTGCCGGGGCGGGGGCGTTTGGCGGCTGCGTCTTCACCGGCACCGGGAGCGGGGTCTGCGTCTCCGCCGTCTGCGGCTGCGGGGGGAACTGCAGTGCCGGCGGCAGGGGCGCGGCGGGGAGGCCGGCCGGGGGCAGCCTGGCGGGCAGCTGCGGCGGCGGCGTGTGCAGGCTGGCGGCGTTCTGCACCGGGGGCCCCGTGGAGGGGTCGTACCGCTGCTGGCTCTGCTTCTGGCCGGCGAGCTGAGTGGCCTGCGGCGCAGGTGGCATTCCCCCTGCAACAGAGGGCAGACCCAGCGGCCCTGACTCCCGGGCTCGGACTCCACCGGCCAGGGCTGCCTCAGACCCTGCGCTCGCAACACACACACTCAAACGGGAGGTTTACCTGGTGGGAGATCTCTGTGTATTAGGTCTAACGTGATAAATGAGCACACAACAAAGGAAAGAAAGGCCTCGGCCTTTGCGCATTAGCATCAAGCAGAGCAGGCACGGGATAACCGCAGGGTCCCTACCACAGCAGCAAGTCAGAGAAAACACAGGAGGGAAAACCGGAGGGAAGCTGAGGACAGTGGGACGTGCGGCTCCGCTAAAGTGACAAGAGCTGGTCTCCGGTGGTTTCTTCATACCGTGTGAAGTGGGACTCAGAGGAACATCCCAATGGCAGAAGCCACCTCAGATATGCTACCTGGGCTGCACACGTTTTAGTCTGCTGCTGCTTCCTTAAGCCCTCTCTGCACTCCCTCTTTCTGAGCTAAGAGAGCTAGTTCTGGCGCTGGGTCTTACCTTGAACTGTCGGCATTAACTGCTGGAGAGGAACTCCTGTATTCACCCCTGGGTGCTGGAAAACTACCCCTTGGTGACCCACTTCGAGTCGAGGTCTCTTAGACTGCTCTAGAATAATTTTCAGAAAAGGTGCAGTTTGATGTAAAAATAAAACCACAAAAGTAGTAGAAAAAACATGTGTAAGTGTTTTTATCATCTTTGAACAGAGAGGCCTTTCTATGCATGACCCAAAATGCAGAAGCCATAAAAGATAGGGTTGATAAATATAATTTCTTTCCGTTAAAAATTTGTAAATATAAGGAAAAGCATCATAAAAAAGGCAAAGGACAAGCGTCAACCTAAGAGACAATTATCTGCAACATACACAACGGGCAACATTCATAAAGCTCTTACAAATTAATATGAAAGGGATCAACAACCAGAAAGACAAAATGGGCAAAGAACACAAACAACGAGCAGAGGAACACATTCACAAATGGTTAAGAACATGAAGAGGTAACTGAAACCGCATCAAAATTAAAGAAATCCATTATCAAAACAAAGATTTTATTTTTTACCCATTGGCTCGACAAAGATTAAAAGATACTTAATAAAATGGCCAAAATGTGAGAGAAGTAGAAATTGCTGATGGGAGCAAAAGCTGACCCTACCCTTTTGGAGGGCAGCTTAGCCTCGCTAATACTCAACTATGCACACATTTTGATCTAGCAATTTCACTCTCGGAGCGCTGCTTTTAGATACGTGGACAGACATGTATAGAAAAAACTGTGAAACTAAATGTTCGATCAGGTTTTGATCACAACAGAAAAAAGGTGATACTAACAAATGAATGCTAACACGGGTCTGATGCATAAAGAAGGAAGCACCCATGCAGTGGGTGCAGTATTTTGCAGCTATCAAAAAGAATGAGGTCCATGACTGGGAAAGATGGCCTAGTCAGTTAATATTAAAGACATAACAGTGTATATATATAGGATCACATTTGAACTTTTTCAGAATGACACACCTGTAGCAATGCTTGTCTGTGAAACTGAACAAACATAGCCAGCTCTGTGGCTAGGGAATGGGGAAGGAATACCAAACCAGAGACAGACTTAAACTACACCCTTCTAAACTGTTTGAATCTTTTACACAAAATGTGTATTAAGTTCCTAACTTGGAGAAAAAATTCAGTTTGAAAAATGAATGACAATTTGAAAAGGCAGATGGCTTTACACTTAATCATGTCATGAGGACTAAACAGCCTACAAATGCACACAGAAAATCAAACTGGAATATACCTATTCAACTGACAAATTTCTAACCTCAGTACACATAAACATGCACATAAATATTTTGTTTAGCTGATTACCACCAAAAGAAAAATTAACTTTCAAAGTAGAAACTAACCAAAACTAAGTTCCTTAGGGGCCACGCTTTAGAAACAGGTGGCCACTACACTGGAATTCCCAAACTAAGAAGCTAACTGGCTCCGGGGGGCCCTTCAGCCTGTGCTCCGTGACATACCTGCCGGAGGTCCCGCCTGCTGCCTCTTAAAGGGGTCCGTTTCGATCACACTGCCAGCCCCTGCCACAAGGGTCCCTGCAAGGGCTTGTTGCTGGAAAAAAAAAAAAAAGGAAAAACTGAGATTTTCATAATTTAAATGCATTACAAGAATGAATGTAAACTAAAACTATCATAATTATCCCAAACACTGACTTCCCTTCTTTTTAAGAAGAGAAATGTCATCTACCCGATGTATTATAATAATTTAAAGTTCTAACTTACCTCTGGAGGATAAAAAAGGATTTGCATTCTGGTTTTAAATGGAATTTCAGTTCAATGCAAATCTAGAGTCCTTCAGAAACGATCTGGCTTTGCACACACAATGACAGCAGAAGCTAACGCAGGAAACCTCAGTCTCGGCAAGGACTACAACTTAGCCTCCTGACCAGTCACACTGCCTGGTGTCGCTCAGCCCGCCAAAATCACAAAAGCTGAATGATAAGAAGACTGAAATTGTCTTCCTACTGGAAAATGGTGCTAAAACTCCAATGAAGCACTATCTAATTGACTTCAAAATGGTACTGCAGTTAGTACCCTACTTGATATATAACTGTGTGAAATATATACAGGTTATTTTAAATGTTTAAGTGAAAAGCTACCGGCAAAGACAGAAACTAGCTGACTCTGGGCGCCCTACACCTTTGACACCTCTGCACTACCCCTGAAGGGCTACTAAAGGCTAAGCATGATGTTTAACAGTTGCTAACTTTTTAAATAATTCAATTATATCCACTCTACTTAGCGAGGCATTTTAAATGCAAAAGCTACAGATGTCTGAACGAAGAAACTGCCTGTGAGGGTGGCTACTGACCAGCATCCCTAGGAAGGGACACTTCACTGCCAGGACCAGCCACGCTGCAGGTTTTGCCTCACATGGGGCAAGGCCTCAGAGTAATGAAGAGGGAAAGTAAGCACCCCCTGTTTACATTTAACAAAGATGGGGGCGGAAGGAAGAGAGGGAAGGAGGGAGAAGAGAAAAGAATGATTTAAAAAGCAGACAATATGTGAACAGTGGTTGCCTCTGGGGACAAGATGACAATCAATTTATAATTTGTGTGTGTGTGCACTTTTCTAAATTTTCTAAATGTTTTACAATGAACATGTATTACTTCTGTAATCAAAAAAAGGTTTTGTTTTTTTTTTTAATAAAAGAAATTGATACAGGGTTCTGTGTCCAGTAATGGCCAAGTACTTCCTGTTGGACTAAACACATTCAAGATAAATACAAACTCTAAAAGAAATATAAAAAATGTGAAAAGGTGGGCAGATACAGCGTGGGACTCGATACTGGCAAGGAGGGAATGAAACTAGGAGACGCTTCTGGGTTTACGGCATTTGGCACAAGGGCAGGCCCCAGTCTCAGACCCAGACAGGGAGGGTCTCACTGGCTTGAAGACTACTAGGATGGAGAGTAGGAGACCAGAGCAGAGACAGGTAAGGGAGAATCGCCACAGGAGGCAGCGGAGATGGGCCCCAGGCTCCCCTTTTTTCTGGCTGCCTCCTGACCACCCACATGCCAAGACGCCAAGCACAGGCCAGCATAACCACACTGAGATCTCAGGAGGCAGAGGCTACGGTTTCAATCCAATCACATTAACTAGATGTGAAAGCAAACCGGCAGAACTCCTCAGAAGGATATAACAGATCTCAGGGTTTCTGCAACCTATCATTCACAATACCCAAAACCCAATTCAAAATCAATCAACGTGATACACCATATTAACAAATTGAAGGAGAAAAACCATATGATCATCTCAACAGAAAAAGCTTTTGACAAAAGTCAACACCCAATTCTGATAAAAACCCTCCAGAAGGCAGGCACAGAGGGAACTTACCTCAACATAATAAAGGCCATATGTGACAAATCCACAGCCAACATCATCCTCAATGGTGAAAAACAGAAAGCATTTCCTCTAACATGAGGAACAAGACAAGGTTGGCCACCCTCACCACTATTATTCAAGATAGTTTTGGAAGTTTTAGCCACAGCAATCAGAGAAGAAAAAGAAATAAAAGGAATCCAAATCGGAAAAGAAGTAAAACTGTCACTGTTTGCAGATGACATGATACGATACATAGAGAATCCTAAAGATGCTACCAGAAAACTACTAGAGCTAATCAATGAATTTAGTAAAGTAGCAGGATACAAAATTAATGTACAGAAATCTCTTGCATTCCTATACACTAATGATGAAAAATCTGAAAGAGAAATTAAGGAAATACTCCCATTTACCATTGCAACAAAAAGAATAAAATACCGAGGAATAAACCTACCTAAGGAGACAAAAGACCTGTATGCAGAAAACTATAAGACACTGATGAAAGAAATGAAAGATGATACAAACAGATGGAGAGATATACTACGTTCCTGGGTTGGAAGAATCGACATTGTGAAAATGACTATACTACCCAAAGCAATCTACAGATTCAATGCAATCCCTATCAAACTACCAATGGCATTTTTCACAGAACTAGAACAAAAAATTTCACAATTTGTATGGAAACACAAAAGACCCCGAATACCCAAAGCAATCTTGAGAAAGAAAAACGGAGCTGGAGGAGTCAGGTTCCCTGACTTCAGACTATACTACAAAGCTACAGTAATCAAGACATCCCTGGTGGCACAGTGGTTGAGAATCTGCCTGCCAATGCAGGGGACACGGGTTCAAGCCCTGGTCTGGGAACATCCCACATGCTGTGGAGCAACTAGGACCATGAGCCACAACTACTGAGCCTGCACGTCTGGGGCCTGTGCTCTGCAACAAGAGAGGCCGCAACAGTGAGAGGCCTGCACACCGCGATGAAGAGTGGCCCCCGCTCACCGCAACTAGAGAAAGCCTTCACACAGAAACGAAGACCCAACACAGCCAAAAATAAATAAATAAATAAAAATTTAAAAAAAAAAAGACAGTATGGTACTGGCACAAAAACAGAATCTATAGATCAACAGAACAGGATAGAAAGCCCAGAGATAAACCCACGCACATATGGTCACCTTATCTTTGATAAAGGAGGCAAGAATATACAATGGAGAAAAGACAGAAGTGGTGCTGGGAAAACTGGACAGCTACATGTAAAAGAATGAAATTAGAACACTCCCTGACACCATACACACAGAAAAACCTCAAAATGGATTAAAGACCCAAATGTAAGGACAGACACTATAAAACTCTTAGAGGAAAACATAGGTAGAACACTCTATGACATGGAAATCACAGCAAGATCCTTTTTGACCCACCTCCTAGAGAAATGGAAATAAAAACAAAAATAAACAAATGGCACCTAATGAAACTTGAAAGCTTTTGCACAGCAAAGGAAACCATAAAAAAGGCGAAAAGACAACCCTCAGAATGGGAGAAAATATTTGCAAACGAAGCAACTGACAAAAGATTAATCTCCAAAATATACAAGCAGCTCATGCAGCTCAATATCAAAAAAAACAAACAACCCAATCCAAAAATGAGCAGAAGACCTAAACAGATATTTCTCCAAAGAAGATATACAGATTGCCATCAAACACATGAAAAGATGCTCAACATCACTAATCATTAGAGAAATGCAAACCAAAACTACAATGAGGGGGCTTCCCTGGTGGCGCAGTGGTGAAGAATCCGCCTGCTAAGGCAGGGGACACGGGTTTGAGCCCTGGCCCGTGAAGATCCCACATACTGCGGAGCAACTAAGCCCATGCGCCACAACTACTGAGCCTGCGCTCAAGAGCCCGCAAGCCGCAACTACTGAGCCCATGTGCCACAACTACTGAAGCCTGCGTGCCTAGAGCCCATGCTCCGCTACTAGAGAAACCACCGCAATGAGAAGCCCACGCACCACAACAAAGAGCAGCCCCCATTCGCAGCAACTAGACAAAGCCCACACAAAGCAACGAAGGCCCAATGGAGCCAAAAATAAAAACAAACAAATAAATAAATTTATAAAACAAAAAAGCAAAAAACTACGAGGTATCACCTCACACCGGTCAGAATGGCCATCATCAAAAAATCTACAAACAATAAATGCTGGAGAAGGTGTGGAGAAAATGGAACCCTCTTGCACTGTTGGTGGGAATGTAAATTGATACAGCTCACTATGGAGAACAGTATGGAGGTTCCTTAAAAAACTAAAAATAGAACTACCATACGACCCAGCAGCAATCCCACTCCTGGGCATATACCCTGAGAAAACCATAATTCAAAAAGAGTCATGTACCAAAATGTTCACTGCAGCTCTATTTACAATAGCCGGGACATGGAAGCAACCTAAGTGTCCATCGACAGATGAATGGATAAAGAAGATGTGGCACATATATACAATGGAATATTACTCAGCCATAAAAAGAAAGGAAATTGAACTATTCGTAGTGAGGTGGATGGACCTAGAATCCGTCATACAGAGCGAAGTAAGTCAGAAAGAGAAAAACAAATACAGTATGCTAACACATATATATGGAATCTAAAAAAAATGGTTCTGAAGAACCTAGGGGCAGGACAGGAATAAAGACGCAGACATAGAAAATGGACTTGAGGACACGGGGAAGGGGAAGGGTAAGCTGGGACGAAGTGAGAGAGTGGCATGGACATATATACACTACCAAACGTAAAACAGATAGCTAGTGGGAAGCAGCCGCATAGCACAGGGAGCTCAGCTCGGTGCTTTGTGACCACCTAGAGGGGTGGGATAGGGAGGGTGGGAGGGAGACGCAAGAGGGAGGGGGTACGGGGATATATGTATATGTATAGCTGATTCACTTTGTTATACAGCAGAAACTAACACAATTGTAAAGCAATTATACTCCAATAAAGATGTTAAAAATATATATATATTAAAAAAAAATTACTCCAAAACACAGAGACAAGAAAACACAAGCCATACTCAAAACAGTCAATGGACACCAACCCCCAGACGCCTCACATTCTGGAAGTAGCAGAAGGGATTCTACGGTAGGTTTAATAAGGACGCCCAAGGACACAAAGGTATGTTGTAATGAAAGACGAGAGGAAATCCTGACAGAAAAAAAGAAACGATTAAAAAACAGAACCAATCTGAAAAAGAATA